GAGGCATACAGTGGCATAATGTGCACCTCTGCCTACCCCTTCGGGGATAAAAGGCGTGATGTTATGTTATGTTAAGGGCGAGGCTATGCCAAATATCAAGTAGGTTCACTTTCGTACTATATATAACATCAGGCATTTTATCCCCGAAGAGGTATGCAAAGGTGCACATTACGGCACTTAATGCCACTGTACAATGTAACACCCACTTTTCACTATTTATGTTATGAGTCCCATGTAATAGGGGGTGAGTCTATTGCCATAAACCGGGCACAAATGTTCATAAATAATTGATACTTAAACATTTAGAAAGTCCGTGCTATACTACTGGGAATTTTTTTAATACTCTTTCTCATTAATAATATAATTGCGTTATGTGTGCACCTTTGCCTTATACCTATACCTTCGGGGATGTCGCGGAGAACCTAACGGGTAACCGGGGCTCCGGCTCGACGTGCAGGAGAAGGAACGGGGTGATTTTTAGTCAGTAAGAGTCTGACACTCCCTTCCGCCTCACCCAGGCGGGAGCAGACATTCGATGATTTTCCCCCCTTAAAAAAAAAAAAAAATACCTTCGGGGATAAAAAGGCGTGATGTTATGTTATTATAATTGCTTTTTGCTTTATTTTTTAAATTTGTTACACTGTTCACACGACACTATTACAAGAGATATATCTTGCACAATGTTTTTAGCGAGGAAATTATTTTTTTAGGTATTTTATTTTAAACGCTTTACGTAACATAACTTAATGTAAACCGGACGTAATGTGCGTAGAATTATAATTAACTTATTAGGTATGAGAAATACGATAGTCATTTATCATTTTAAAGCAATGAATATGTGTTTACTGAATAAAATTCTTTTATTTATATTTTGTCGTAAACCATAATGAAATTAAGCACATAATGGCGTCTCCATTAAATTATAACAACAGAACAAACGCAACGAATAAAATCGAAAAGAACAATTCCACATTTAAATTTGAACTTCGTGCATCTCCGGCAATCTAAGGCGCTCGTGCCTTGGATTGGTGGAAACAATGCTGTTATAAGATGGCTGCTAATGGCAACAATAGGCAAGATAACCGTCTACCACCATTATTCCGCACGGATTCAGAATAATGTACTAGTTTTGAAAGCATTTAGATTGTTATTATTCAACCTGAGATTTATTATAAGTCTAGTTAGTTTTAGTATTGTGATATTAGCCGCTTCAGCTTTGATAAACCGTTAAATACGAATTATGGGTGTAACAAAATTGTAACGTTTGTAATCTATTAGGAGCCCTTGGTTTACTTGTTTCTGCTTGATTTATGTGACTGCTGTGTATATCATTCATCCGTGAGTTACTCTTACCATGACTATGTTGTATCTGTGGTGGACTATGGTGTGTATTTGCCAAGTTAGAAGCGGAAATGTTCGTATTAAATAATTTCTAAATATTGAAATAAATGATTGTATGTGACGCTTCCTAAAGGCGTAAGCAGATTAATAGGTGATAAAATTATGCATATAAATAAATAATTGCATTTATCGTCGTACCAGCTGCACATACTTGTAGTCTCCGTACAGTACGCGCCAATAAAATCATTTTATCGACTTGACCACCCCGTATAAATGTTACAAATTACAAATTTACAATTAACCATCGCGAAAATATAAAACACATCCTACACAATACAAGATAAGGATCAGTTTTGCAATGTCAAGTGACTTTGCAGCTGAATAGTTAAGTTGGTCGATAATTCATATTTAGTACATGGTTAATAGGTATCAGGGGTATAAATTGTATAGGACAACCATAGTCTGTCAGTCTGTCTGTCATAACTCTTAGATAGACCCACAGGGATACTTGTACCTATTAAAATTGGTTCACATTCCCATAATTGTAGGTACAAGTGTCACCAGTAATTACTGATAAAACTAGTTTATTTCTTCAGGTTTTCTCTCAAAGAACATGATGTTAGTGATCATAGACTGAATTATTTATTGTTATTAGATAGCCTTTATATAGGTTTTCTTTTAAATGGATTTTTGTAGCAATTTATCTATAGTAAGGACAAGTCTTATAGGGATTTTTTATCAGTAGATTTACCATAACTATAGTAGGTAAGTAAGTAACATGATCAGTAAAAGTATTGTTATAACGCACTGGTGTACCTATTTTTTATAATTTTATTATGTTTTCGGCTTACTCACGTAATTATTTGACGAGGAACTCGAGTAAGCCGAAAACATAATAATTTATTTAGTATGTCTCACGAAAGTTATAATACAAATATTGTATAATTTTTTCCCAAAAATTAGAAAAGTATAAAACACATGATTCAAAGTCAAAGCATTTATTTCAATTAAACCATAATTTGGTACTTTTGAAACGTCAATAAATACATAATAAATAATAGTCTGTCAGTCAGTCCGTCAGTGAAACTAGGTGCTCATTCCAAAATGGAGAAGAACGAGCAAGAAACTCCAATTGTTACTCTTTTTAAAAAAGTATGTTCTACAATGTCTCTGATACATATTCTAATACTGTACGTATATGTGAGAACAATGCAAAGACATGTTTGACGCATTATAGGTACTAATTACAAACCTTACTAAAAATAAAAAAATACAAACAATAACATAATATCTATCTAAACAAGTATGTCAACATATAAAACACAAGTGGAACACGAAACAGAATTTGTGCGCCAATTCAATTCTCAACCACACCACAGAGGTAGAAACCAATAAGTTTTGAAATATCACCAAACGAGTAAACCATAGAGTTCCGCGCCAATATATCACGGAGTCCATAGACAATGGATACAATCGTCTAATTATATTGTGGCCGGCGCCGCTGTATCGGGCATAGATAAAGTTGATGCATTATTTTGTTAGACAATTAGTGCGTCTGTTACGGACGCAATTTGTTCAGCAAATAGCTCGCTGGTTTTATTGGTAAACGAATAGTACATTGCTCGTTACAGAATAAATATTTTTAGTGGGTGTGAAAGATAACAGCATAATTCTTAGTTCTAGGTTTTCCCGCCCCTGACAATGACAGAGATGATTGGTAATTTGGTACTCACTTTACGCTGATTGCGGTAATAATCTGAGTAACAGGTGATATTCATAAGTACAATAACTTGGTACGAATTCAGATTTCAGAAACATATAAATCCCGATTTTAGGAAACGCAATATGACGTCATGAATATGGAATTTGGGTCAAGTAGTCATGATGAAATGATGAATGTGAGATCACAAGACAAGCAGCAAGATTTAAGCAGTCGTATGATGAATGTGATTATTTTTATTAGTAAATTCTAGTGATAAAAATATCAGAGAGAAAATAATGCAATAAATAAAATATCTTTATTGTACAGAAATGTACGGAAAAATGAATTGAAGTGAAACAATCGAAGAGTGCATGACACCATACAATATTACAGGCGATGGACAGGAACGATAGCACGCGTGCCGCACTCTCCGTACTTGGTGCTAACAGAGCTGCTACTCGTAGACTTACGAATTCCTACAAACGGCAGCAGCTACAAGATCCCTCAAGACTTTCACCTTTTATTATTTTGCTATAGGTACCATTAATTTTTTTATTGGTAATGTGTTTTGGCCACTATCCCTAACTTATTTTTTTTATGGCATAAGCCGGTAAACTAGCAGACAGATCACCTGATGGTAAGCAATCGGCGTCGCCCATGAACACCTGGAACACCAGAAGCGTTACAAGTGCGTTACCGGCCTTTTGGGGATTAGGAGTTCGAGGATCGTTGGGGATTCAGGAATTGGAGAGATTGGGGAAGGGGAGAGAGGTAACTACATGAGTTTGGCCTTATGGTAAGCGATGATGCGGCCTACGATGGAGCAATCCCACCTACCTATAAGCTATTTAATCGAGATTTAAATACACCCAGACTACTCACCATAACACAGGTGCACCCTCTTTATTATCATGACCCAATAGGATCGCAATCCGACACAACGGGGGAAAAGTCATGTTTAAGATGAAACCGACTTTACCAACGCTTTCTGAGGCACAAGAAAAATGTAAGCAACGCCAAAATTTCCATTAGGATAGAGAGAACACAAAGTTAATGAGATAATATGAAAATTTCCAAAAATTATGCACATTATAAGAAAAGGAAGTTTCTGTTACCTGTTTGGATGAAGCCAGAAAAACTCTCAATAAGAAATTCATATAACCTACATATAAAAACAAACACAAGTTCTGTTTAATTAACATATCCTTGCTTTAATAATTGAAAATCTTTCTACGATAGTCTTAGTTCCACAAATTAGTTCATGCCACCTTAAATGGAGTCTAGATTACAGTGAAGCGTGAAATGCCCGGTATAATTCGGTACTATCAGCTGTCAGGCGGGGGGGTCAATTAACTGCTGGCCAGCGCACGATTGTGTAAGCTATTGTTAATTGTTTCTGGTCTTACCTCCTTTGTACTCCTGTTTGTTTGTGGTACTCGTGTTTTGGCGGGAATATCTATGGATTTTTGTGACAGATTAATGTGTGTAGTCTTGTTTTTTTTTTTAAATGCACAGTTCAGCCTGCGATATTCACTTTAACTCTTATGATGATTCTATGAGTCCTGTATAATAAAAGATCTACCTGTTGCCAAATATTGGAGCTAAATGGCTGTAACTACCTATAGGCAAAAATTATTAAATCATCGTCAACCGACATCGGCTCCTAAAGGTATTAACGTGAATAATAAAAAAGGATTTTGTTTTTTTGACGTCTCCACTGGTCAATTATTTATGGTCAAGCAAACAATAGGTGCGCCAATTGGAACTTTGGATTTGGTGGCTATTACGTTTTTATTATTTTACATTTGTACAGATTGCGTTTAACTAAACTATTTCCAATTAAATTTCTAATCTTCAGCAGCCAATTAGCAGATTGTTAGTGTAAATTGGTCTGTGTAATATTACGTGATTGGCTGTTGATTATTGTGGACTGTAGCCAGTTCAGTACCCCACAAAGATGAGAGGACTCGTGTTGGCCACCGTTTTATGTTTGGCCAACAATGTTGGCGTGTTGGACGGATATGTCGTAGGGGCTGGTTGTGAGTTTTAAAGTATCACTTTGTTTTCCAAAAAATAGGTATTATATCCACCCATTTAAGCTGAAAAGTTAGTACGTTAATACTTGATAGCTACTATCACGGATCGGAGTTAAAAATTCGTTTACCCATAAAAGTCAGCGACACTAACAATAACGATCTTCTGGAACATCGTAGAATCATCTCCTTATTATTTTCCAAATTTCCAGTGAACGTGCGTTTTGGTCAAATGCTGTACACAGACAGTAAGTACCAAGTTCTTCGTGAGGAGATGGTGAAAGCCAACACAAGGAACCTGGTGTACCACTGCAGAGCTGACAAGAGCGACTGCGATGCCGCACTAGCAAAAATGAGGTACAAAGCTAGCAAACATTTCTACGCACTATCGAAGGCTGTTGTTGACTACGTGAAGAACAAACGTCAGGCCAGACCCACCGGATACGTCGGTAAGCATTTTATATCCTAAACTTTTCAACGATTCAACCGAAGTCAGAAGTTTCAAACACTGTTGTGACTGGACTTTCCCTAATTTTCCCTTCGGCGCTCTGATTGGCCGGCTCAAGTGAACCAACCAATCAGGACGCTTAACTCGCTCGATACTGTTACGATACGAATGCGATAGTTATTCGTGCTTGGCCCTCTGTACTTTATTGTAGGACGGTGTTGCAGTTTTAAAAATAAGCCGATCACACCACTTTACTTAGCATCAAATACCTTGACGCCTGCCTCCCATGGGAGTAGGCAGAGACTATGGAACGCCAATTGCTACGATTCCTACATATCTCTTTCGCTTCATCAACAGTCATCAATCTTTTCATGCATGCTCGTATTAAAGAAGGGGCTCCACACTAAAGAAGGGCTAAATTAAAAGTACCTACCCTTAACCGACGAGCATGCATGTAAAGATTAAGCAAACCAACACTCTAAATAGATTTATCTACATTTGTGGCCCATAACTAAGGTTGCCATACCTTATAGCCAGGTGGCAACGTGCAGATACAATAGAAATGTGATGGGAGCAAGTCATATAGTAACTCCTAGTTTCTGCTTCATCATCATAAAGGATGGGATGGGGAGGATCAGAGATCGACTGCTCAATAACAACCTCCCCTTTCTTCTTCTATCCCTCCAAACTGGATCCCTTGACGATCACAATTAAGTTAACATGAAATCAAAGAATGCGCCTACTGCTAACAAGTTTGCGCCTACCATGAGAGTCATACCGCAAAAATACAAGTTTTATGCATATGTTTAACCTAGTCCCATTTACCTCAAGGAACTGCAACGTTCTGCCAAGACAATATTTGTGTTCCTGACACCGACCCACCCATCGTGTTCGGAGGCTGCTTCACACTGGTCTCCTGTGGAGGCAACCAGACTTGGCACTTGGACCCCATCGTGTACAAAAAGAAAAAGGGACGATTTATGTAGATTTACATACAATAAATTATATTATTGTACTGTTTTCATTTACATCTCCTATTAGCGTTAACACCCCCATTTTGCTGGTTACATTTGAAGTTTATCTGTTAGTTCTAGTTTTGGTTCGTAACTTAAAAACATCATCTAAAAAAACCAACACAGTTAGCTTAACTTGAAAAGTGAAAACTTAGCGTTTCTAATTCCATTCAAAACTGAGAGAAAAGTGCAATAACACATTCCATTAAACATTCCAAAGATGTTCAAAAATTTGCATTTTTTTAGTTCAATGGCCCGAGTGCATTATACTGTCAAACACCGCGAGGACACCGGTGACCGCAACCTATTGTTCTTTAATTGTGTCTATAATGACGGTACTCAAAGGGTTAAGCAAGTAAATACTGCACCGAAGGTTTTGCAATTTCGATCGTACCATGAAATGACGTTCTAATCATCGTCCCATTAGTTGAACGAGAGCAATTAGTCTAGGTGAAACTAGTTGCTATGAAGGATGCAATTTACAGATATTATTACTAGAAACTGCTGTCTACTCCCACAATGATATCTCCTAACGATATCACAATACTATCCTATTCCCCCCCTTAATCCTATCAATCCTATATCAATGAGTAAGCTCAACATACTGTACATTTAATTAATGAAATAACAGACAATAATCAAAACACACAAACATAAGTAGAAATGAAACGACTAATGTAACCAAACGACACTTCACATATGCAACCAAAAAGTTCCACTGATATAACACCCGACCATTTGGATGCCAAGCTAAAGAAAAAGAAAGAAAAATTAAAAATAAAAAGATTCGTTCCACCTGTTGTATTGTGTAGTTACAATGCGAGTTTCATTCATTGTTTTACTATAACCAAGGAGGCTTTAAAAGACTTTTACAGATGTTCAATAGAATCGTTAAAATGCTATAGTGGTTCACACAACACGATGGAGTTTTTATATCTACTTACAGTTTTTTTGCACATTTACAACGTCGCGGCTGAAATCAGGACAAATGTACTAGTAAACAAGTAAGTAAACTCTTTTTTAATTCGTGTTAAATTACTTCACATTTACCTTAAATGTAACGTGTTCAATGTAACATTTACGTTAAATGCAATATTAAATGTAGCATTTGAAAAACAATAATAGAAGATTACTTTACCATATGAAAACTATTCATCATCATCAACAGCCTATAAATGCCCACTGCTGAGCAAAGCCTCTTCTCCTGAAAACTATTGTCCGCTGTGTTATTATAGAATGCGCAATAGGAAAAAATAGCCGATCAATTAACAGATTTCTTCAATACATGTTCCTAATTGGGATGGTGACAGGGTAGGTATGAAAAGTAAAAATCTAATTAGTCCGTAAGTTAGGTAATAAAAAAATATTTGACACGTATTTTTTATTTTGTCGTATAATAAAACAATACTTAGATAAAACGAATTAAAGTTTAGGAGTGGGGGCTAAAACGTCATTTTTACGTATAAAATGTACATAGAAGTGACGTCACACAACATTTCAAATCAATATATCATCGAAAGTATTCGTTTCTAAAAGAAAATAAAAAATACGTGTCTAATGATTTAAAATAATCTACCAGACGGACATTAAAATAAAAATTAGGCAACGACCCTATTCTTATTCCTTTAATCACATTTGCCGCGAATATTTCTATTTGTCATCTTGAATACGTCACTTTTCAGACTTACAAAAGTGAGGCCTGTCGGTGCCCACGTCGGGAAAAGCTTCGTCCCACTCACGGAGATTCCCCCGCCCCATGTACCCCATTCAGACCACGAACAAGACGAACATTCAGAAAAGTCTGGCAGAAGACATTTAGATGAAAACTGTAATAAGAAGCCAGGAGGCAAGGATGTAAACGAGGGCCCCAATGTCGACATTTTCCCAGAATATTATGACGATAAAGTCGCCAAGACTGTCGCCACCGTCATATTTCCAGATCACATTGACCGTAAGTATAATTTTCCTTCACACACATTAACCTGTGCAATGTCGTAACGCAGATTTACGTGACACATCTATTGTTTTTTGTTATTTTATTTTAAAAGGCTTCGTGCACACACTTATAGCTACAAGGTGGGCTTAATGCCATGGGCTTTCTCCTCCAACTAGACCTCTGGGTGATACAAAAACAGAAACAATGGTCGATGCATTTGATTATTGTGTGTCATATATCGACAAACAAGAGGTTAATAGTCCAAGATAGTCCACTACTCTGAGACGGATTCGCCATAATCCCCCATTCGACAAGCGATTTAAAAATCACCATTTAAAAGGTTGAAGGTATTATAGAATGCTGCTGTCCGGTCTCAGTTTGTAATGCCTTAATAGGCTCTTACGACATCCATGCGAAGAGTTTGGGTTGTAATACATATGTATATTGTGTTTAACTCTGCCGGTACTTAACGGTACAGTTTTCATCCGCTTACACTCATTTCATAGCGAATAGACTGCATTTTGTACAAATATCACTTTCTTGGTAGACAATCTTTTAATTCCTAATAGTTTATGAGATTTCTGACTAAATAGGTACCTATAATCCGAAAAAGAGAACAATTTGTGAATTGTGAATACAAAAATAAGATACTTAACTTATTTTTGTTATGGGACAACCCCGCCACAACCTCCAAAATTCGCTGCAACCCCTGTACCACGATCTAAAACAGAAACTACATGAAAACACCGGAACACTGAAGTCTGGTGCGTCCCAAATAACAGTTAGTAATTACAATTATGTACAACATCAATTTATTTCACAGACAAGCACTTTGAAGTGACGACTCAAGTGCCATACTTGACTGTGGGACCCATCGAAGCGATAGGCTACCACCCTAGTACGATGAAAAGTGAACATCCCAGCGAGTGTGAGAAAATATACCAGGATCATCTTGATGAGCAATATTCTGAAGAATCCAAGGACTATTCCGAGGAATCTCTGGAAATGGCCCGACTTCCCCTCTTCCCCACCAATGATGGGTCAGGAGAAGACAAAGTAGATAAATTGTACAGCGACCTAGATATTTAGTATTTACTTCATAATAATTATGTATTTAATTGTATACTTTTATACTTGCCGTGATTAAATTGTTTTTACAAGAATTTCTATATTACGTTTGATGTGTTTTATTTTATTTTTAATCAAATTTATATTTTTACTAGATTTTACCCGCAGCTTCGCTCACGTCACAAAAGAATAAAAAGTAGCCTATGTGACATATACCAATACACACAGCGTCATCTATACCAATTATTTTGTTTTTCCTTGGGAATATCAAATTTTTCCGTAATAAAAAGTACCCTATTATTTAATGTAGACTTCTAAGTTTACGTCTGCAAAATTTCAAAGCAATTGGTTTAGTAGTTACGGCGTGAAAGCGGAACAAACAAACAAACAAACAAACTCACTTTCCGATTTATAATATTAGTAAGGATGTTATTCGTGATTAGAGTTTTAGTTCATTGTTTGGAGATTTAGTGAATTTGGTATGTAAGTATGTACTTCACAATCATAACTAAGTATTAGTCAAATTCAATATTAATTAACCGCTTAAATACACCGATACGAGACACAATAGAAAATATATTAGGTATGTCTCGCGTGGATTCACGTTTAGACACACGAAAGGTTAGATTGTGAAAAATCACCGATTCCTATGAATGTAGTACGATGTTATGAATTGTGTGTGACGTTGTGTTTTTTGCGTCAATTAACATATCTACATATTTATTAAAAGTCAACTAGAAAAATTCGAAAATTAACATAACATAACATCACGCTTTTTATCCCCGAAGGGGTAGGAAGAGGTGCACATTATGGCTCTTAATGCCACTGTACAATGTAACACCCACTTTTCACTATTTACGTTATGAGTTCCATGTAATAGGGGGTGAGCCTATTGCCATATACCAGGAATAATTCCAAACTCCGTGCTACTACTGAGAATGTATAAAAATCCTAGTAATACTTTGCCCGACCCGGGAATCGAACCCGAGACCCCTTGGCAGTCGCACTTGCGACCACTCGACCAACGAGGCAGTCGAAAATTAAGTATCATGGAAATGTGATTATTTTTTATTATTGTATTGAAAAGTCGAAATAATTGTTTTTGACTGAGGACTGATTTTCAATCATCAGATTACTTACTTCCCAACTTCTGAACTGTTGAATAAAAATGATATTTGCCAGTTTTTAGTGTGGAAGAATTGTCAAATATTCAACACTAGCTTTTACCCGCGGCTTCGCTCGCGTCACAAAAGGATAAAAAGTAGCCTATGTGACATATACAATACACACAGCGCCATCTATACCAATACTTTTGTTTTTCTTCGGGAATATCAATTTTTTCCGGGTTAAAAAGTACCCTATTATTTAATCCACACTTCTAACTTTACGTCTGCAAAAAATTAAAGCAATCGGTTGAGTAGTTACGGCGTGAAGGTGGAACAAACAAACAAACTTACTTTCAGATTTATAATATTAGTAAGGAGTAAGGATTCCTCTGATAAAACTTATCTGACGTTGGAACAAATAGCCCTTAAAAATGTACCCAATTAGATTCAACTATGTACTTATAATAGCAACATGGACTGAAAATCATTAAACCAGACTAACAAAAAAGATTTTTTTTATAGCAAAAGCCCGTAAACGAGCTAACGGATCGCCTGATGGTAAGCAATCGGCGCCGCCCATGGACACTCTAAAAACCCAGGCGTTACAAGTGCGTTACCGGCCTTTTGGGAATTGGGAATTGAAGGATTGTGGAGGATTCGGGGTTTCGGGGGGTAATTAATAATAGATAGGTATATATAGGTCACAGGGAGCTGTTGGATGCAGATATTATTATGATGATCTTAACCCAAAAAGCGCCTTTCAAATTACACATATAGTACATTTGCCTGCCAAGTATTTCATGCAAAGGAATTAAAACACCTTTTTGTTTGACTTATTTATTAGTAACATTGTTTCCTTATATACCTCTAGATACCTAATTATTAGTACTTTTGTTGTTATACGGGGCCCGCTTGTAGGTTGTATTTGTTTGATACTTTCACATCTTTGTCCTTGTCATCCAAAACTTCTTCCGTGTCGTCGTCATCGAAGTCTTCCATGTCCAGCGGATTCCTAGAAAAAATATCCATGAACATTAGCCTTACAACTCTTAATCTAGGGTGAACTCATCTAACTTCGTGACAAAGGCATTTGAGTAATAAAATAGCAATAAATTATTAATTAATTTAATTCAGTCTCCGCATGAGTTTTAATAAGTTTTTATGAGGAATATTAGCACAAATAATCAGATTTTTTTCTAGAAACCTAAGAGTTCTACCAAATTTACTAAACCGAATTATTAGGCGAGTCACAGAATTAGATGAGTTCACTATATAGGTATAGAGGTATATAAAAATAAAACCCGTTTCCCGTTGTCACGCCATAACTTGAGAATGGTTGGACCGATTTGGCTGTTTTTTTTTGTTTTGTTTGTTATTGTCAGGAGAAGGTTCTTATGATAGAAAAAAACCTAAAAATCTTATGGGAACGGGAGAAACCGGGATTGCGCGTACGAAGTCGCGCGCAGAAGCTAATGAGCTATTCTCGTATATTTCAGAAGCTAGTAAATAATATAATCTTAAGTAAAATAGTGATATAAACACTTACTTGTTCCAGTCGATTTTGTGTCGTTTTCTGTAACAAATAGAATTGGAATTGTAAAGTTTTTGACTGACTCAAGTACACATACAAATAATGTAACTAGCGAGCAAAAGGTATCTTATCTTTTCACCAATTGTGTTATGAGTTACCCTGATTATGTGTCCTAAGGCCTTAGTACGAGTACGAGTACTCGTTCGGCGCTCTGATTGGTTGGTTTATTGGCGCCGGCCAATCAGAGTGCCGAACGCGCACTCGTTTCGAATACTTTAAACATAAATCAAACTCGTACTAAGGCCTCTGTAATAGAGGGTGAACCTGTTCCCAAAATAGGTATATTCTACGGGTATAATTCCAGACTTAGGACAGGAAATACTCAATGGTACCTTCTTCAACCTAAAACCTCCAGCAATTATACTTACGACTCTCAATAAATTGACTATCCATACAAATCGAACTAGTATTTCCGGATATTATCGCGTAAACCACACCCCTTATGTAAACTCTTTAGCATTAAAATATAATAATTATAAGTATTCTTTTATATTTACATTAAATACTATTCGTAATTTTATCTTACCTATTAGTAGCTATATAATCTTGGTCCATATATTCTTCTGATACTTCGACAGAGAGAGGCTGTCCTCTATGGTCCTGCAAAATTCCGAAGTACCGAGGCGCTCGCGTCACCGTGTATAATAGAGCTTGAATACAAATACAACAAATAAATATAGAACCATTTTATATCGGTAAAATACATCTAAATTCGATTCCTAAGATTTTCTCAATATAGAATAAATAAATTATACAAATTCACATATGTATACACACCGTGACCCCACACAATAATTTGTGGATCACACAGATTCTTAAAAAAAAAGTTCTCTTCATTTTTTTTTTCAACTAAGTCCAAGTCAACACTGCAGAGCCGTATCGCCCCTAAGTGAAACTAGGCCTAGTACCTAGGGCGCCAGGTTACAGAGGGGCGCCACGACTCTTCGAATTGCGTGGCGCTAAAAAAATTAGGGGCGCCGATGAGGTGCTTGCTAGTAAGCTCTCTAGGTTTAAACAGCCTCTACAATACTAAAAATTCTGAGTAACCAAATTTAGCTGAATATCAGTACTTATGTACTTATACACAGTTCCCCCGACACAAATGGTCACAACACTCATAGCATTATGCCGGCACCAATGAACCAACCAATCACAGCGCCGAACGCGTACTCGTTACGATTAATTTAAACGTAAAACTAGCACTAAGGCCTCTGGTCTACGTCAAGTGTGTGGTCCTGTAAAAGGGTCTTACGACCCCCGTGGGTTGTGTAGAGGTGGTAACCACCTGCCGTGACTACATAATATTTGGCACAAGTTTGACTATAATCAAATTATTCAACTTACAGTCATCAACAGCTTGAAGCCCTTTTAATGCCACGCATAAGACTATTAAAACTACTTGTAACTTTAACTTTGTTTCACACATCTTTCTGGTTTTTAAAGGCAATAGTCTCTCGTTAAACTCAATGTAAAAATGAAATAATTGGTCACAGAATAAAACTCTTAGCTCACTATAGCATTATAGAAGTCATAATTATTAAAAAAAACGCTGCAAACTGGTTTGCCGGTTAGTAAAATGTAACGTACAGTTTTGGATTCAATTTGGGGTCTTGTTTGCCTTTGCGGTAAAGAGTTTGGAAAACATACAAGTGTTTAATAAATCAGCATTACTGTTTTGGCAGTTTTGTCATAGACATTACGAACAATGGATTACGTAACCTGGTTTCAGCACGTGACCATATTTTGTTGTTCTTCTTTTTCCTTTTTTTGTAGGAAACCAAATTTTAGTTACAATTTTTGGAACCGTCATTATGCGTGCGATGTGCATTATAACATACTAGCTTTTACCCGCGGCTTCGCTCACGTCACAAAAGGATAAAAAGTAGCCTATGTGACATATACCAATACATACAGCGCCATCTATACCAATACTTTTGTTTTCCCTCGGTAATATCAAATTTTTTTTCGAGATAAAAAGTACCCTATTATTTAATCCAGACTACTAACTTTACGTCTACAAAAATTCAATGCAATCGGTTTAGTAGTTACGGCGTGAAGTCAGAACAAACAAACAAACAAACTCACTTTCCGATTTATAATATTTGTAAGGAGTAAGGATTTCTAGCATACACAGAACAAAGTGGTTATAGTCCTCCTTTGGTTTATGCCATATTTCTCAATTCTCTTTTTAGCACATAAAGATCAGCTTTTCTAGAATTTAAAAAGCATTTATGGTGACCTGGATAATTGTGGGTCAAATATATCCTCACGAAATGTAAGCAAGCCTGTAGGTGCAGGATTATCCACGTAACAAGAATAGCATTTGGTAAAAGAGGTCCTGCGAAATTAAAATCCTTACTTATATTATAAATCGGAAAGTGAGTTTGTTTGTTCTACTTTAACGCCGTAACTACTAAACCGTTTGTTTTGAAATTTTGCAGACGTAAAGTTAAAAGTCCGGATTAAATAATAGGGTACTTTTTATCCCTGAAAAATTTGATATTCCCGAGGGAAAACAAAAATATTGGTATAGATGGCGCTGTGTATATCGGTATATGTCACATTGGCTTTTAATCCTTTTGTGACGCGAGCGAAGCCGCGGGTAAAAGCTAATATGTAAATATTTGAGGTGATATTTACAGATCTTAGAGACAAACATTTTAGGCCTTCTGCGCGTCACTGTTTATTTTAATAATTTATTTACTTTAACACTTCGTTCGATCCACGCGAGATACAATGTAATCTCTATTGTGTCTCATATTATAGGTATTCAAGCGGTTAATCCGTACCTAAAGAGATACTTGTGTAAAATCAAAGATTTACTTACGTCCCCGTGATTCAATAATCTGCTACGGTCATCGTCGTTTGCCAACCTGCAGCTATAGCTGCCTGCAGTGTCCATCTTATTCAGGCCATGTAGCTGTCCTGCACGGGAGTAGCTAATAGGTACTTATATATATAAACGAAAGAGGGTGACGAAGGTCATTCCCAAACTTTTAATTCAGAGGCCTCTAAGATTCTGAGTGAAATTTTACGTATTCCTTGAATCGAACCCAGCACAGTGTTACACAACACTCGACCACTGAGGCAGTGTAAAAGAATACAGCATCACTAGCTTCTGCTAGAGGCTTCACCCCGGGGTCCCGTGGGATGAAAAGAAGCCTATTCCAGACTATAATCAACGTCTATTCTAAACTAGCTTCTACCCACGACTTCGTACGCGTAATCCCATTTTTTCCCGTCCCGTCCCGTCCCGTCCGTAAAAAGTAAAAAAAAAAATGTTGGTTAAAAAGTATCCTATGTCGGTCTCCTGGCTCTAAGCTACCTCCCTACCAATTTTCAGCCAAACCTATTCTACCGTTCTTGAGTTATAAGTGGTGTAACTAACACGACTTTCTTTTATATATATAGATTTCATTCTGATCCTTTCAGCTGTTTTGCCGTTAAGGAGTGACAAACAAACATACAAAATTTTGCATTTGTAATATTGGTACGATACATCATACATCATTTCAGCGTAGGATCATTTTTAGGTACTTACATGTGAAACAAACTAACTGTCCAACCGCGGTTTTGGCCACATGTTTTTTTATGTACCTATATCTATTACTGGTATTATCGTTCTGTTATTGTTAAGAGAAAGATAATAATATGATAGAAAATATTCGATACACTCTCAGACAACATCGGGGAAATAAACCGAACGAACCAGGAATAAACCGCCAAACTATAGATACGTCAAAAGTCACATAGGTATACCAAAAAGAGCAAAAACGAAAATAAAACAGCCACACATGTTACTTAATTAGTTAATCTTATATTTTAAAAGTTTACAATTACAATTATTTCCTATAGAAAAGGTTGCCTTCCCCACCCCAGAGTCTTCTTCCACCGTAGCCTATTAAGTCTTGCCGGAGAGAATTGTACTTCTTGAAGAACAACTTCTTTAGTATACGCTTTCTACGCTTGTCCTCTTTTAAGCACGACTCGAGTTTGTCCATACACACGTCCTCTCTGAAAGAAGTCAGTCATTAAGTATTTTCTTATAAATAATTTATAATATATTTTGTATATATTCGCCATTATATACAAAATTTTCCGACTTTTATATGAGAGAGACTGCCATCCCATGATTTGGATTGATGATTAATCTGTACAGCTTAAAGAACTCAGTCAAGTCACCAAAAATCTTAAGATGCAACTCCAGGACACTTTTTTTTAAGGGGGGAAAACCATCGAATGAAAACCCGCCTGGGTGAGGCGGGAGGGAGTGTCAGACTCTTGCTGACTAAAAACCACCCCGTTCCTTCTCCTGCACGTTGAGCCGGAGCCCCGGTAACCCGATGCAACTTCAGGACAGTACCGAATAAAAAGATGGAGGAATACATAATTTTGAAGCAATAATAAAAATTCCAGATTTTTAATTAAGATTGATGACTATTGATCTTAATAAAGGTAATTGGCCTCACCCATTCTCCATCTACTATGTGAATATTTTCATGCAAGTGATGCATATACGGTAGAAGGTGCCCAGTCAGAGGTGGATTTAACCTAAAGAACACCCTAAGCAAGCAACTCATGTCGCGGAGAACCTAACGGGTAACCGGGGCTCCGGCTCGACGTGCAGGAGAAGGAACGGGGTGGTTTTTAGTCAGTAAGAGTCTGACACTCCCTCCCGCCTCGCCCTGGCGGGAGCAATCATTCGATGATTTACCCCCTTAAAAAAATAAATAAAAAGCAACTCATATGCGCCCTTAATTTATTTGGCGCCCCGCCACTATAAAAAATGTATCTGGTGCCCTAAACAATTGCCTAATTTGCCTTGAAGATAATATGGCCTTCACCCAGGTACTCTAAATTTGGCCCCACTCACTTATAATTTTGATCCAGTAGTAACTTTATAGGCTCCGTCTTCGTAAACTTGTCAGGAAGTCGGGAGCCCGGAGGCAGTTTGGTAAGCTCCTTCATGATGCCCATGATCGTATTTTCCAACTGTGCCAATTTTGGCACCATTAACCTTTTGATCACCTGCAAAAATAAGTGATAACCTCATGGTATTTTTATAGTACAAGATGCGAAACGTGCAAGCCAAATTATTTCCTATATTTATATTGTCGGCCAAATTGAAAGATGATGTAGTGACAAGGATTGAAAAGGGAATGTTACGCTGGTTTGGACATGTAGAAAGAATGGATGAAAGTAGAGTAACGAAAGAAGTATACAGAGCGGATATGAATGGGGCCGTCGATAGAGGGCGCTCTAGACGGACATATAGTGACTAGATTGGCGATATATTAAAGAAGGGCCAAATTAAAAGTACCATTAACCGACGAGCATGCATGAAAAGATTGATGACTGTTGAGGAAGCGAAAGAAGTATGTAGGAATCGTAGTAATTGGCGTTCCCTAGTCTCTGCCTACCCCCATGGGAGACAGGCGTGAAGTTATGTATGTATGTCGGCTAAATCATTTAGTATATAATCAAAAAATAAATAGTGATTCATATTCAGTATCGTTTCTGTGCCTACATTAGCCAAGTTATACAGAGAAATAAAGATTGCTATTTTTTTCTTAGATACCACTTAACTTGGCTGAATACACTATTTGGTATTACCTACATATTATGAAAAATTCAAAAGCATTAAATATACCTTTCCACATCGATTACCAGTTTTACACGGGGTCCGAAACTTCCGACCGAGGTCCATAGTCGGTAGATTCTGTATCTGAGTGATCACATTTGAAAACGTCCCTGTGGCTGTTTTCTGAGCTAAAAACAAAATTACAAAAACATTTTGACACTTCCTCCTATCAAAAATTAGGCAACTCGAGAATGGTTGACTTCTTATAGTGTTCCTTATTGTAATTATCAGTATAATGTTCTATAACTGTCTAGTCAAAAGTTCAAAAATAAAGAACCAAAATCCATATTCACAAGACCCCCAAAATCACTGATTTGCTTTTTCCCAACTTACCCATCAATGCCTTTTTCGTTTTACCCTGTCTGGCAACATCGGGTTTATTCTGACCGTTGTATTCATCAGAGTTTTTACCACAATCTACTAAGCTAACAAATAATAGCGTAAAAACTACATTTAGTGAAAAATACTTTTTAAAAATCATTCTATGTGTGTTCTAAACACGACTAGTTGAGCCTGCGTCTCTTGTAAAGGAAGTAAAAATATGTGAAATTTCAACGAAGTGTGCCTATTTACAAAACATTACCGCTATAGGGGAAACTTCACGACGTTTTATGGTTGGCCTAAACAACAATATAAATTGTTACATATTGCTGTGTTTGTAAATTCACGTCACGCGACATTTCAAATCAATTTAACGTCGAAAGTATTCGTTTCTGTAAGAAAATAAAAAATACGTGTCTAATGATTTAAAATAATCTATCAGACGGACATTAAAATAAAAATTAGGCATCTACGCAATTGTCTAATACCTTTTTTTGTTAATTTTGACATTACATTAATAGTAATCTAACAAAACGCCCTTCCTCTCTCCTACCGTTTTTAAATATTACTGTGCCCGACGGGGTCCATAATTGTTACTATTGTATTTTCTAACCACCTGTATATGTAGGTACATTATGGATGCAACAAATACTTGATTATTGGATTACTTGATTAAATAAGGGAAAAAAATATGATTAGTAAGTTCTGTGCTGGGTTCAGTGCCGTTTATTACTAATTACCTACCTTTACATAAATTAAGTACTTACATATTTTTGTAATATTAACTGCTTCATTTGACCTAACATTACAAGTAGATAAGGACTTAGTGCTTCGTCACGCAAAGTAACTTTTGGTTAAGAAATGGTTCAAAGATGGTGATGAAAACTACAATTCATATTTTAATGAAATCTCAAATTAGTCTAAAAATATCAATCTGTTTACTGTCGGGGATATAGCTCAGTGGCAGAGCAATCGACTGCAGATCGATAGGTCCCCGGTTCAAATCCGGGTGTCCCCTACTTTCTTTTTATGTTTCCATTTTAAAATGACATTTTTATTACAAGTTAAAACATATTTTTATTTCTTTTATTAATGATGTTTCGAAAGTTTTACTTAGAAATTAGAAATAGTGGAGGTATTAAATATTTTCAAAGAAAAATTATGTAGGTACCCATGTTAAAGAAATAGATAGTGCTTAAATTAAATAAGGCTTTTGTGGTAAAGATGTGTTATATTTTACGAGCACTACTCAGCGCGAGCTTTGTTATATTCATGGAAACTAATGAACCAATTTTAATGTTTGGTTCTTTTCAAGCCCAACGCAATTTAAGGTCTAAAAATTAAAATTAAAGTCATTTTCGAATACGGGTTTTGAAAGAGCGATAATTGAAGTTTCCTTAATTACTTGAGATCAGCTCGCTTTTAGAATGTAATGGTTAAGTGTGGGAGAGCCATGCTTCGGCACGAATGGGCCGGCTCGGCACTTGTAATACCTCTGGTGTAATTGGTGTCCATGGGCGATGCCGATTGCTTACCATCAGGTTATCCGTCTGCTCAATTATTTACCGGCTGATCCCTTAAAAAAATTCTTCACAATGACAAATGATTTTAACTTCAGGTGCATGTTCCTGGTAATTTTAATGATTATGATGATAATTATAAATATTTGCGGTATTGAAATGTATTTATAGTTTACATTTACAGATTTATAATATGAATTATGTATATCGAATTATATTTTGAAACATTGTCCTTCATATCATCCATTGATCGATAGCGCAGATCATGCTTAATTTAAGAACTACTGAATCTGTACCTATAAACATTAATTATTTTTGTTTGTTTTTTTTTTAAGGGGGGAAAATCATCGAATGATTGCTCCCGTCTGGGTGAGGCGGGAGGGAGTGTCAGACTCTTACTGATTAAAAACCACCCCGTTCCTTCTCCTGCACGTCGAGCCGGAGGGAGGCTATAGGTCACATAACATCACGCTATGACTAATAAGATAGAAGTCGAGTAGGGGGTAAATCTGCACGGGTGCGGTGTATTGATGTTTGTAATGGTGGTGTAGCTTTAGTTTTTGGTTAAATACTCTAAGGATGTAGCTAAATAAAAAAAACACGATGACATACTCAAAAGGTCAAGGCTCAAATTGAAAAGTAAGTCAAAGTCTAACAAAACTAAACTGTCAATTGTCAAATTATAATCAAACACTCCGCCGCCTAGTGCCAAACAAGAAATTGTCACATTTTTTTGGTTGAATTTGTTCTATGTACCGGCAATTTATTAAAATGTTCGGAAAATCTGAAAAAGTACATTTGTTATAATATTGTAAACGGCATTAACTTTCACAAATGCTAAACAAAATATAATTGGATATTCAAGAAAAGTCATAAAATCAAATTACAATGACTGGTAACGAAGAAAAGAACAGTTGCAAGAAGAATGATTTTACGAACGGTATTCTTAACAACATATTAATAAAATCAATAGATAATTTAGATAATTTATCCAATGTCACGGAACTGGACATGAGCAATGGTAAAATACAAAACCTCGACGGAAATATTAAATTCCCTGCAAGTTTACTCCATCTCAACTTGTCTAACAATAAATTGTCTGAGGTGCCCAGTAATGTGCTCAAACTGGACAATTTGAAATCCTTGGATATTTCCTTCAACTCGATCTTGGCTTTCGATGATATACCAAGTTTCTGCCATAGTATTGAAAAGCTTAACTTGTCAAGAACTCTTTAAACGGACCACCACTCTGGGTGTGGACCGAAAAGCCTAGAAACTTAATATATTTGAACATAAGTAACAACAAGAACTTATGCTCCAGTTTTACAGATAATTATTTAAATGAATTATGTCAGTACAAAACTCTAGTCAATGAAATAGACATGCATAATTGTAGAATAAATAAGTATGTGAAGCTGCTTGCCTCATTTTGTCATACTAGAGTTATTACTCTAGGCAATGAAGACTATGTGCACTATCTTGTGAACAACTTGGATCACTTTCCATGTGAGGGACTGGAGGAGTGCAGGGATGTAGAAGTCTTAAATCTAGCAAATACGCAGCTGTTCCACATTAACTCTAATATTGATATTTATACTAATTTAAAAGAATTGAATCTCTCACAGAACAAGTTAAACAGTCTACCAAATGAATTTTACAAATTGGTAAAGTTGGAGATTTGTATATTGTCATACAACAGTCTGGATTACCTGCCTAGCAATGTATGTGAGTTGACTAGTTTAGTCACACTGCGATTAGATAATAATAAACTTTGTATGCTTCCGGAAAACTTGCATGAGATACCCAACCTCAAGGTCTTAGATTTGTACAATAACAAATTGAATGAAGGACCAAGCAACCTGAATTTGGAAGAGGTTGATCTAGCTCAAAACTTGTTTGATGAGCCTGATGATGAAGAGTATTTGTTGAAGAAACAAAAGTTACGAATTAGTTACCCTGATAGGAAAAGTGGAAGGTTAGTATAATATGTAGGGTGTAGTAAGGTGACACTAGCTGGGTGTTGAGCTGCCACGGAATGTGTAGCGGCTTCAATTCCCACATGGAACTACTCTTATTGTGTGACCAACAAATTGTTGGGTGTCATGTGTATTCTTTGTATGTTTGTAAACTCACCCACAACATAGGGTATATCTTAGCGTAAATGTTTTTCAAATTAGTTAAATAAAAGAAAAATATAAATAATACAAACATCATTATTGTGATTTTGGCTTAATAACAATATAATATAATGTATATCTCTAAAATATACTAGTGTATCTTTCATTTGGTTTATAAAATCATTGTTTGAGTCTTGCACCTACCATTTACTCTTCTCTGCATCACCCAAAAGTCAGACTGGTAGAAAATGCCTGCATCATTAAGTCCACCTATTTGTACATTTTGTGCATGAAGCATATTAAATAAATAAATATGCAGTCAATCAAAAACTTTGATCAACTCAAATATATTTAATTTCAGAAAAGTAGAAGTGACTGAACAAACTGAGCCCAGCCGTTCATCCAGTGATGAAGAAGAGCTCTATGAATTGGCAACAAATGAAATAATACATGACAACCAAAAAGGTGGGTTACAAGAGTATACCATATTCCTTCTCGCTCACACATCATTATTTTTTTCATGTTCTTGATGACTTTCTTTACATTCATCTACACTGGAAGATCAGACAAAGATTATGATAGAAACAAAGTGTAGGTTAACACAAATATATTTATCACCACCTACTAAAGCGCGGCTACACCAGCACTGCTCGGAGTCTATGGATTGTAGCATGATGTTCTATAGTCTACCTTCCTCGATAAATGGACTATCATCATCATCAGCCTATAAGTGCCCACTGCTGAGCAAATCTTCTTCTCACACGGAGAAGGTTTGAGCATTAGTCCCTCTTGCTCAATGCAGGTTGGCGATTACATACTTATAATTAGAAATTATATGCCCCAGGTTTCTTCACAATGTTTTCCTTCACCATTTGTCAGTGGTGTCATAATATATAACTCGGAAAAAGTCATATCGGTGCTTGCCGTTGGTAGGTTTCCAACCCGCACCCTTATGCATGGAAAGAGGGCATCTTAAACCTCCGAGCCACCACTACATGAAGCATAAAACTATTTTTTTCAAATCATAATTTTCGAAATTAGCGTATTCAAACAAACTCTTGCGCTTTATATTATAGTACCTTAACCTTATACTATTCATTGAATAAAATAAATTTCCAGATAACCGAGCAAGTTCTCCTGAAGATTGGGACTCTGATGACTATTGGATCCCTCAGTACGATTGGCCAGCTACTCCACCACAATCACCCTGGATATATTACGTACAGACGAAAATGAGAGAAGGGAATTTCTGCCCATTGGATGCACACCCTATTTCAATATCAGATTTAGTAAGGTATGACCGACTGTACAATCCTCATCTTGTACATAGTTTAGACGGTCATTCTGACAATTATTCTGATGACGATAGCTGATTATATTTTTTTCTTTTTCATCTGCATGCGATTTGTTAAACCTACCTACATATCAAAATTTTTTGGACGCCTTTTGATTTTCTTCTTCTATCTATGGTGTTTCAAGCATGACCTATTCTGAGTGGGGCTACTGTGTATTTGTTCATCAGATGGCGCTAGTGTGAGCTACACGTCTTTCGTCCAATAGGGAATTAGCTATGTTATGTGCTAGTGTTATATCATTGGACGTTCAATATTTGACAGCTGCAGTGATTAGACAAAAAACCTATTCCTGCATTTGCACCATCCGGTGACCAAAAAACGGTAGGCCCCATTGATTCTGAATGAAAATGTTGAAATAGGTAATAAATTGTATATTTCAGTAGAATATAATACAATAAAGTATTATTTATTTATTTATATGTGAATATATCGACCTTTTATGTAACCATAAACTATATTTTAGGTATCTTTGTTTTTCTTTTCTATTGAGGATAGGTTTTTTGTGTTAAAGATAATTGGTATGATTTTATTAGTAAATCCTATCTTTATATACAACTTAGTATTCGCATACATATACTTAGATATTATATTTTCGTGTTATGCACATTATGTTATATACATACATGTGTAATATACTACTTATTGCTACTACCTTATGTATGTATAGTGTTTAAGTTGGTATTTACCATATCTTTATTTTATGTCTAGCTGATAATAGACTAGACTACTTTTAAAATCGTTAACATAAATCTTCCTTATTCTTCTAATTACTGCTATAGTGCCATACCTACTAAGTTCACAGACAACTATCTAACTCACTTATCACTCCATTACCATAACGTCCGTTGCGTCGCGTAGTCGTCGTAACGAAACAACGCATTGTACGGACCTCAGATAGTCTCTGCCTCGGGCTCAGCCTTAGCTTTGTATTTGGGACGAGCAACCTCAACGAAGCCAGTATGGATGGATTGTTCTGTTTACCTCGGAAAACCTCAAACACGTACTTTGCGAGTGCAACCTCTCGCCTGACCTCCAGCTTATAGTATCCCACCATGCCAATAACAAACAGAGAAGGATACATGAGTGGGTAATACGGGTACACTCCATATTGTCTTAGGTACAGGTACCTAGTAAACTTGTTTTGCATCTTCTCCACCATGAGGCTGTATTTCACCTCATGGGGGTTCCAGATTATAGCACTCGTCTCTAATTGACTCCTAACCAAAGCATTGTATAGTATTTTTATTGTTGCTATACTTTTAAAATCCTTTGTCTCTCTCATTACGAAACCCAAACTTCTGTAAGCTTTAGAGCAAACCTTCGCGATATGCTCCCTGAATGACAAATCTTTGGTCATAAGCACACCCAAATCCCGGACCGATTCAACACGAGGCATGACACTGTCTTCCATGTGATATCGATGATGCACCGGAGACATGGCACGCGTACAAGACATTATATTGCACTTGTTGACATTGAAGAAGAGTTTGTTTTTCCGACTCCAATCAATTACCAGATCAATGTCATTTTGTAGGCCCTTACAATCCTCTTTATCGACCACATATAACCATACCACCATAATATACCAAAGTTACATTGGACACATTAAAATCTTAATAATATTACACTTTTTCCTGTAATAACTAGTGATAGATAGACTTTGATTTAAAAAAATATTATTATGTATCTCAATTCAATGAAAAACATGTAACAAATTAATGTATTTAAATATTTATATAATTGGTCCACATCAATACATAGTATAAAACAAAGTCGCTTTCGCTGTATGTCCGTATGTATGCTTAGATCTTTAAAACTACGCAACGGATTTTGATGCGGTTTTTTTTAATAGATAGAGTGATTGTTAAGGAAGGTTTGTATGTATATACATATTGCACCCGTGCGAAGCCGGGGCGGGTCGCTAGTTTTATATAAATATTAATCACAGACTATAACTCTATACTACCTATTATGTACCTAGATAATGTAGGTCCAAACTGAATCAAAATGTATGGCTTACATTTTATTTATTACGTGATTACTATTTAATCTGTAGATCCATATTAATTGCAGCTATATTCAAATATTCAAATACTTATGTTAACAAGTGTTTTGGTGCTAAATGGTAATAAAACCAATTCTAAATTGCTAAAATGAGCCTTAATAATTGTATTATTATTGCATGTACTATTACAATAAATAATACTTAATTAGAATTTAATTGTTTTATTTATTTCATTTACAATTTCTTCTTGGATACTGTTTCTGTTGTCTCTTGTTACCTAAAAAAAAAATAAGAGGCTTAATTGTCAGTAGCAAGAGGAAGAAGAAGATTGGAACACAGAAAGGGTTTTTATTTTTCAACACAGAAAGGGTGTTTAAAATTACATAACATCACACCTTTTATCGGGACGGCAGAGATGCACATTACGGCACTTAATGCCACTGTACAATGTAACACCCACTTGTCATTATATAATTTTTTTATGGATTTAGCTTAATGTGAAATTGTTTTGCTTGTCCAGCAGTTGTATGTATTAAACATAATGGAGTTGGTGGAAAGCGGTCACTAGTTCCCGCTTGGGGATTGAAAAGTTGCAAACATGCTAGAAAATCTGTAAAAAAAAATATTCTTATTTACCATCCAAACTCTAGCTTGACTATGGTTTCTAATAGACTCAATTAATTTGTCACTTTTTCTAATAGGGATGGTCGCCAGTACTGTGTATTCTGATGAAGGACTAAAAATTGTCTGAATGGCATTCTTGAATTTTTCACTAAAAAACTCCATTTTTCCTATTTCATCTATGACCAGTAAGTGTGCTTGAGTGTTATTTGGCTGTGGACAAAGAAAAAAGTTTATTGACCAAAGATGCTGATAATAAAAAATAATATTCTGTAGATGTAACCTACATACAGTCACTGTAAATGACAGCATGTTTTCTAAGCTAAAACACTTCAATTTAAATTGCATTATGGCAGTTTTTTAAAATTATAATAATATTCACCTTCACAAGAGAGGGCAAAGCAATAATTTCAAATTCTTCTACTAGAACACCATATTTTCCGACTTTATATTTGACGGGAATATTCAACAGACTCTGATCTCTTGCCAATCTCCCTCTAGCACCATCCAAACCCACTACATCAAACCCCTCTCTAGTTCTATCATATCGAACTTCTTCGGTATAGAATCCCGAAGTTTTAACACCTTTGCCTACAATCTCCGCTACTAATTTCTTTGTCAGCGTAGTCTTACCCACTCCTGTAATAATAAAATTATAAACATCTAAACAATTACTGTTTTTAATCCTCATTATTTTTATGGTCATTCATGATCTAACCAGGTTCTCCGGTCAAAATGAAATATTTATACGTTTTTGTAGCCATTTTTTATTATTATTGCAGCACAATCGATGGATTAAGTTCAAAATTCAAGTAAAATTAAATTAATTCTTATTATTTCTTATTTAGGTTATGTATTTGTTTATGTTCCTAATGTCAAAACGTTTAGCGCCTTTATCAGGAATAACTTTAACCGACCTAGGTTTATAAAATTATCTGGTTTTGTAGTATCAAATCTTAGTTATTGAATGAAAAACACATTATTTTATCTATTTAAAAATGCCTAATTCGGACGTAATGCGATATTATCATTTATTGTAAATATCGTCTGAGAAATTAAAATTTGTTTATAAGAAACTAAACGTATTTGACATTTACCGTAATTTACTTAATGATATGATAATACAAGCAAATTAAAAAGTCGTACATATTGAAGACAACATTGATAATCTGCGTCCTTTTAAAAAAATCATATAATAAACCACTGAAGAATGCAACTAATTTTCTTCTCTTTCACACTTCTGACGAATTTATATTTTTGTTTCTTTGGTTCTCGTTTTCAATATTCTTATCAAAACTTATCGTAGTATCAAAGTTCATTCTTACGCAGTTATTTTCGCCGGCGTTTAAGTTTAATCTGGCATTTATATCGTTCAGTATTGGATAAGAAAGGCGGCGTTATAGTCGTTAAATAATACTAATCACAAAAAATGGCTTCCGTCGGTGCTGTAACCCGTATTTTGTTGGGAAAACATGTGGTGAGCAGAGTGGCGGCCACCAATTCCGGTTCTATTAAATTCTATAGCACTGGTAAGCTATCAAACTTTCTGGATTCTATGCTTTGTAAACTGTGATGTAAGCGATAACAAAATTAAGATCACGAAAGTAAGTAGGTAACTGTTTCTGCATAGTTATCTACAAAAAATAAGGTATATTTATAATCTGAAAAAAGATATCTTTTAATATAGAATATACGTAATTAATCTCACAGGTAGAATACCCAAACCAGTTCCAATTATAAATTTTTACTTTTTCTTTGGATATTAAGTGTGTCTATTTGAGTAGGTATGCCTTTTCCATGTAACCAAAGTTTACAAAATAATAAAATTTAAGTATCTATGTAAGTATAGGTATGTTAACATCATCTGTCACCTTTGACCAGACAATTATTTAAATTAGCATATTCGGTCATTGATCATTTTAAGGTTCAGTTCAATACTTAACTAAAAAGTGTATTAAATAACACAATGTTTGGTCAGTGGGTCATCTTAGGGGCGGAGTGCACAAAAAAGTATTTCATTAAAATGTGATGTAAATTCTAATAAGTATCAACAAACAACTGAGATGTAAATAAAGTTTATACACTATAAATTTTTACATGGCAACTCCAAAAAGAGTGTACATGTTTAATGTTTTGATGTGGTTTTGCTGAATGTTTGATTTTCCAAAGTTTTTTTCAGATACTCATTATAAACTATCACTATACTAAAATGTTTTTGGTTTAAACTTAATTTGCTAATGGTAAAGGTAAAAATTAAAAGTTTACATTTAACAGGTAACTGGCAGGTATTCTATTACCTATTCTTAATTCAAAATTTAAAAAATTGTGGTTAAGTCTCAACTCTCAAGTTTCCCCTATACTTCTTGTACTCTTTGTGACTTTGTCTCAAGTCTATAAACTGAGATCAAAGATGGCGGACAGTGGTTACATTAATTACAAAGTAGATAAATTAATATGTGACCTTGACAATACTATTTTTTATCTTATCACTACCACTGTGTTAAATTGGAGGAAGATTACACTGTCACGATTAAAATTATTATTGAATAAAAATGATGATTTGCTATTATTTTACTATCTATTTCACTGTAACTATTACTTTAACAGACTTTGTAAATTAAATTCACTGACTAATAACTATCTACATAATAACTATGTTAATGACTGTATTTTACACAGTATTTTTTTATTAAAATAATTTTCTTTCTCTGTTAAAAATATTCAAACTGCTAGAATAATGTCTATTTTAAAAATAAAGTTTTTTTTTAAGTAAGTAATAAATATTAAAAACGTAAGTTAGAAAAATCTTAAACACATTTTTTTACATTCATAATCATACTAAATTTCATTTAAGTACATTAAACAAATCATTATTAAACAATTCATATAAAATACAGAAAAATAATGAAATGATTAATATCTATCTGCAGCACCAGCATATGAAAACATCAAAGTGGAAGTAGTTGGCAGCAAGAAGAATGTAGGTCTGATCCAGCTGAACAGGCCTAAGGCCCTGAATGCCCTGTGCGGCCCACTCTTCGTGGAGCTCGGTCAGGCAGTGAGAGACTTCGACGCTGATGAAAAGATCGCTGCTATTGTCATTACAGGTAACTATTTTCTTTCCTTCTAAAGGAGGCCATACACGCTAGGGTTTGCATGATGGTTATAACTTTGCATTTTTTTTTTTTTTTTTAAACAAATTTATTCCTTTCAATTTTACAAAGGTATGGCCTTATATTTAATCTCGCCAAACTTTGACGTTTGATGGCGAGAGACGCTCGTTGTACAAACAATATTAATAACATCATAACATTTTTGCTTAACATATAGGTACACTATAACCCAAGCATGACATAGCAAGTATTTACATATATTTAATAAAAAAAAAACACTTCTGAGACAATAACAAGCAATTTTTACTAAAACCCCTGAGTAATTAAAGAAATATGAAAAATGAAAAATCTAAAATTCCATACAAAATCCTGCATGCAAAACCAACTTAACCCATAGATCCCCAAGCGGTCACTGGTGACCGCTCTCCACTACCTACATTGTAGACCTTATTTCTAATGCTTAGAGACTGCTTTTGTATGAACAAATTTAGGGGATGAATTTCAATAACATAACCAAGCACTAATGTACCGATAACTGTACAGTTTAATCACATACACGCTAGGGCTTGCCTGTCAGTAATGCGTGCACGGCTAAAACCATCATGCAAAACTTAGCGTGTATGGCCACCTTTAGAATAAAAATGTAGGTATTGCCTCTTAGTCGTCCCGTGTTCGATACCCGGGTCAAGCAATTGGCGCACGAATGACTGCATGTTTGGCGCAAATAATGAAAAATTGACTTTCTTATTAGCTATTTATTGCCTTATCGTTACTTCAATATGTTTGTAAGTATTACTATTTTTTTTTTATAATCAAACCTTTACGTAATAACACGCCCAGTAACCTAATCTAGTAGAATATATAATCTAGTGTGGCCTATATCAGTAGATAAGTTATAAGAAAAACAACAGAATCATCAATCGACTTAGGCACGTCTTAATATTACGATAAAAAACTGCCTTATTGATCGAAAGATTGTAAATGCTATTTAAGAGTCGTCAGTTTCAAATCCTCATATATGGCTATTTGTTTTCACATTTGCGTCACACTCAGGCCCCGAAAAACAATTAAACACACAAAGAATGCTGTCAAAATCCGTGATAGTCAAACCCACAACACGTCATACGGCTACTGATCACCTAGTCACTATGCCAACCCAGTGGTCACAGAGCTACGAGTAATTAAAAATGAAATTAAAACAAGGACTGCACGGTTGGTGCGGTGGCTGGGCAACCGGCTGCCGTGCAACGTGTCGCGGGTTCGATTCCCGAACGGAACAACACTTTGTGTGATCCACTAATTGTTGTTTCGAGTCTGGGTGTCATTGTGTATGTGAACTTGTATGTTTGTAAACGCACCCACGACACAGGAGAAAATCCTAAGGTGGGGCAACATTTTTAAAAACTAAAAAAAAAATTATATGTACAGACGACACTGCACATGCAGGTCAATCAACTCCTTTCTATTAAGTTCCTTTATTGGATTTTCAACGAAATCAAAAATACAATGAACAAATTTTCAGATTGAGATATGTCACTACCGATTGTTATTGTACCTACTTATTATTAAGACTTGACATACTCTGGAAAATCGACGAGGTCACTTGATTCTCTGCTGGAGTTTCTTACTGGCAGCCCACCAGGATTAAAGGAACCGACAGATACTTAAGAGTGATTGAATTTCAAAAGCGCTTGTTTGCTTTTAGCTTATTAGCTCTTTAGTCTGAATTACCTAATGGTTTTTTTTACTTTTCGCTCAGTAGGTACGTGTAATTGTCATTGGTTTGTTCCAAGTTCTGAATTTGAATTAGGATCATATGGATATGTTTTGTTTTTGTTTTTTTTTTAAAAAACGTAGCCCCACATTAGGATTTTCTCCTGTGCCGTGGGTGCCTTTACAAACATACAAGTTCACATACACAATGACACCCAGACCCGAAACAACAATTTGTGGATCACACAAAGTGTTGTTCCGTGCGGGAATCGGACCCGCGACACGTTGCACGGCAGCCGTTTGCCCAGCCACCGCACCAACTGTGCAGTCTATGTATGTGTATGTGAATATGTATGGGTTATTCCGATTATTCCGTTTAAATTTAATATGGTGTTGGTGTCATATGGTGGTAAAAATATTTTCTTTGTTTCCAGGCAATGAGAAAGCTTTCGCGGCCGGTGCTGACATCAAGGAGATGCAGAACAACACTTTCAGTCACAACACGAAGAAGGGTTTCCTCAAAGACTGGGAGGATGTCTCTAACTGCGGCAAACCCATCATCGCAGCTGTCAATGGATTTGCTGTAAGTACATATAACAGAGAACAGGTTATACGTCAACAGTTCGCGAGAGCTCACTGTAGGACATGTGAAAGAAAAGAAAGAAAAATCATTTATTCGACCACAGAACATATAAAGGAGTATTCGACAATAGGCACGCACACAGATACAAAAAAATACAAAATTAAAAAAGAAAAGAACAAGTAAATACACTTATTTATACAGATATAGAAAAAAAACCCAAAGAAACGACAACATATAACAAAACAGTGACAATAGAATACTAACACAATAATTAAAAATTAATAAAAACAAGATATAAATAAATAAATAACATTTACGGTGCGTGCCCTTGCCAAATGTGCTTCCTCTAAATAAGAGGAACCCCTCTTATGTAAATTATTATGTTTTCGGCTTACACACGTAGTAATTTGACGAGAAAGTCGACTAGTTTCAAGCCATGCTAGAGGCTCATATTCATGAGCAGCATTTCGCGACCCGCGACGCGGTGACTGTCGCGCTGCTACCGTACCCTCTTATGTAGTATGGAGATTGTGGGAAACCTCCCATAATCTCCATACTTGGTAGGCCGGTTGAAGATCGCTGTTTGAATGGATCAGGCTTATTCGAGAACGCTACTGACATCATCACATGTGTCTGTCGCCCCTTAGCCAGCTCTGACAGCCGCAGGACGCTAAGAAAATTAAGGGTGGTGACTAAAATGTATTCTACTTTGCTGTCACCACGCAACGTGAAAACACATATAAGTCCCGGCGACTCTAGGAGCTTGAGGAAGACATAATATGTTTATGATTTTTTTTTATGATTTTCAAATTCAAATTCTTTTATTGCATATCATGTGTACAATTGGTGTTACATGATCTAATTAAACTACTATCAATACTTATTATATTATAACATAAGAAATGTTGTTTTCATTAAACATTAAAATATTATCTTTATTTTATTATAATATGTATTTACATAAATTTCTTAATAATGTATAGGTATTATTGTATGTAGTATATGTATGTATATATGTATATTTAATATGATTTTTTATTGAGTCGGTATGCATTGAGTGTTAAGTTTTGCTGGTTTGGTCATCAAAAAACTCATTCAACATCTAGTGGCTGGTGTGTCGATAATGTTACTATACCGCTCCAATATAACAATTCCTTTAATTGAATGTGTGAAACAAATAAGTTTCGAAAAGAAATTGTACAGTCCCCAACTTCCCGTGTCACCATATCATGTCACAATATATATTTAAAAACTTACTGGAAAAAGCATATTACTCTGTCACAGAATATTTACAGCATAAGTCTAGATAATGTTACCTCATTTGTAAAATACTAGTTTATTGTTGCCTAATAGTATTATTGTATTTTTCTTTTTAAACTTGCGCGCCTTTAGGGTAGAATATGGTTAATGGACACTATTTTGTATAAGAAGTTTTCTTTTTTACCCATGTTCGCAAATGACGTTTATCCTGTTTTTTCTGTTCTGTGATTGTATCGATAGAATCTTCGAGGTACCTTTCGTTCTTATAATCTAACTTATTTGTTTCACCGTTCGATCAACTCTAAAGGCTATCAGTAACAGTTCACAGAGGCACCCATCCGCAGAATTTCTCACTGGCATAAAATAATACGAGTTATATTCATCACTACATCACTATCACTACATAGTATAAAACAAAGTCGCTATCCGCCGTCTGTCAGTCCCTATGTATGCTTAGATCTTTAAAACTACGCAACGGATTTTGATGCGGTTTTTTATAATAGATAGAGTAATTCTTAAGGACGTTTTATATGTATAATACAAGCATATTGCACCCGTGCGAAGCCGGGGCGGGTCGCTAGTATACTATAATTTACACTTGTTACTTTCAGTTGGGTGGTGGATGCGAATTGGCTATGCTCTGCGATATTATTTACGCTGGCGAGAAGGCCAAATTCGGGCAGCCAGAGATCAACATTGGAACCATTCCCGGGGCTGGTGGCACCCAACGTTTACCCAGATACGTTGGCAAGTCCAAGGCAATGGAAATTGTTCTCACTGGCAACTTTATTGACGCTGTCGAAGCCGAAAGAATGGGTAAGTTTGAAAAAATTCAATAAGTGTGGGAGAGCCATGTTACGGCACAAATGGGCCGGCTCGACCGGAGTGATACCACGGCCTCACAGAAAACCTACATTAAGCAACGCTTGCGTTGTGTTTCATCGTGTGAGTGAGGTTACCGGAGGCTTAATTACCCTCCCCTTCCCCAATCTCCCCAATTCCTGAATCCCCAACGATCCTCAAACTCCTAATCCCCAAAAGACCAGTAACACACTTGTAACTCCTCTGGTGTTTCAGGTGTACATGGGCGACGCCGATCGCTTACCATCAGGCGATCCGTCTGCTCGATTTTTGGTTTTGGAAGCCTATGTTCAGGTTCAGCAGTGAAAGTCTTATCTTGTGGTTGATAGATAATGATATTGTTTTTGTTATTCAGGTCTCGTGAGCCGTGTGTTCCCAGTCGACAAACTGTTGGAGGAGACAATCAAATTGGCTGAGAGGATTGGTACCCATTCCCCACTGATCGTAAAGATGGCCAAGGCAGCAGTCAACCAAGCTTACGAGACTACCCTTAAGTCAGGCCTACAGTTCGAGAAAGCTTACTTCTATGGAACCTTTGCTACGGTGAGTAAACTCTCCTTAAAACCGTCAAATACCTAGGTCATACATCACCTCACGTTTTTTTCCTGTCTGAAGTTAGGCAATATCAAAGTCTACACAGTGCCATCTAGTACTATTCTTACACATTTCAAATTTCCTCAGCGTCCATCGCATTGATGTTTCTAGTCATACAGTTTCATATATGGCCGCTGCTAAATGAGTACTCCGCAACTACTGTGAATTTAATTGAGGATCGTTCGATTGCGGTCGGCATTATGTTCGTGGAAATGCATTACGAAACAGCGATATAGATGAGCGGTCTATAAACTTAACTGAGCCAGTAATGCAAATTCATAAGAGTTAAACTTGTTAAATCTTAAAATTAAATCCAAAATGTCGATTCGAGTGGAGAAGAACGAGCAAGAAACTCCATTCGTTACTCTTTTAAAAAAAATCTGTTAAATCCTTTGTGTTGCTTGATACAGATGAAAATGAAGTAGCTAGAATAATCTCTGGACTAAAAGATGACTGTGCGGTCGGCTGTGATAATATAAGTAACAGAATAATAAAACGTTGTAAGAGTATACTAGTGCCCCTTCTAACCTACATATTCCGCTTATGTCTATCCAAAGGAACCTTTCCTACATCCCTAAAAAAAGCTTTAGTAATACCTTACACTGCTCTCGATTCTCATCATAGGTTGTTGGTGTAATTATGTATATTTAAATGTGACATTTATTTTACAGGAGGACCGCAAAGAAGGTATGACGGCGTTCGTCGAGAAGAGACCACCAAACTTCAAGAATGAATAATTTTGTTACATTTGTTTACTGCAGTTTTCGTATCCCATATATTGTAAGATAAGGTGCTATTATACACTGTAGACTCACGTCACCTGTTATCCAATTTGCATTTTGTTTATAATAAATGAATTTATTTTTGATCATTATTTAATTTTATTATCTGTCAATGGCCTCTCTCCACAAGATTGTTAAACTTCAATGTGTAAAACATTTAAGAAAATTATTATGATTTTGTCTGAAATATCAAGTAATATTAGGTTCTAGGAGCCGTAGCAAAACCTTCTTACACCGTTGGTTCAGCGCACTGAAGGAACTTTGCTTCTCCATTTTGCCCTAACCCGCGTTCCTAGACAGTTTCTCGCCAAGCAACTCAAATCTCCCTCAAATACATCATCACATGTTTTCGGCGGTACCTCGGTTGCGCAGCGGTCGTCCTCAGGTTGGTTGACCAAGATCTAACTACATATTTTATATTTCGATCCTAGACCCCTTTGCTACCTTTCATGGGTTCGTTTGTCCGACTTGTGGGTGGACGTCCTGCACTCTGTTCACCTATGTATGATAAACATAACATCACGCCTTTTATCCCCGAAGGGGTAGGCAGAGGTGCACATTATACCATTGTACAAAGTAACATCCACTTTTCACTATTTATGTTATGAGTCCCATGTAATAGGGGGTAAGCCTATTGCCATATACCGGGTACAATTCCAGACTCCGTGCTACTACTGAGATTTTTTTTTAAACCCAGTAATACTTTGCCCGACCCGGGAATCGAACCCGAGCCCCCTGCCCGGCAGTCGCACTTGCGACCACTCGGCCAGCGAGGCAGTATGATAATTTAAAGGTAGGTAATGGTAGCTTGTTACATCAAGTACCTACGAATGCAATAATCTTTAGTAAACAAGTCAGAACTTGTTTACATGACTAATGAAGTAATGATTATTGCATTCAGATAGCAAATTACTCTGATAGGTAATCTAGCACTTATTTTCTTTATTTCAAAACGCCATCTAGTGTTAAATGGTGCGCTCTGAAACCCCTGGCTCCTGCTCCCCGGTTAGATGACCATTCGCCGAAAACCAAATATATTGAAAGTACGTCTCTACCTACTTCTTCAAAGTCATTTAGTAAGATTTGAAGTTATGGTACTTAAGTATATTACTACTTTATTATGTTAGTGTATATAATTATTGAGTGAAATTACTCTATTTTGAAACGATACGTGACCTTTTTTATTGGTGAATGAATGGTAATCTTTTCGATAGCAATTTCGTATTGCACGTGTCTAATTAAATTATTATCTTTACATTTCCTAATTCTTTGATGAGAGAAGTAAAGATGTAGGTATCCAAAATGTTTAAAAAATCTATTAGGCTGTTTCGTTTTGCAACCTTTGCTTATCAATAATGGCGTCATTGGTTGCTGTCAAAATATAACACGTCCAAAAAAGGGAGTCTAGGAGCTGTCAAAATATGTACGTGGTTTGCAAAAAAAATCAACATCTCAATTTACCAGTATAAAATGATAATCCTGCTAGTTTGTTGTGTACGCATGAATTTCCTTGTGTTTTAATGAATTAATTTGCATTTCTAGCCTATTTGTTGATAATGCGAAAAGAACTTAACTAGTCACATGTATAGTTTCGTTGTGTAGGCAAGTGATTCACGTTTTTATTTTAAGAATCTGTGTCCATGTTTTGGGATCATGTATACCGTAACAGGCACATCATGCAAGAGTTCGAAGACATAGAGGTACACAAAACCAGTGTATCAGTGTTTGTGGCCCTATTTTATTTAGAAATGCTTTACATTTTAATCATGACGCTGTCTATTCTAAATAGATTGAATCAAAACTTACCGTCATAAACGTACCTATATTTACATTAGCCGTAAGTACCATATTTATTAGTATATAAGATTTTATTTCTGTTTGTTTATCTCCGACAAATATATAAGACTAATTTTTTGTTAGTATTTATTAAAATTATTCATAAAGAAACCAAACTTTTGATTTACACATCATACTAACTATTACTTATTGAATCAAATAAAAAAGAAGCTCAGCATAATTTCTAATATGTAACTTTATAAATAAACAATATTTAAATAATCATTGAGTACCTACATAATACAAGTTATATTAAGATAAAATTCCTTATAAGAACAAAATCTGTTGCTATGGCTAAACAATCCCACATTCTTCATCCTCAAAAATAGGAGAAAGATCAATAAATTGTACATGTATTCTTAGTAGCCACCCACAATCATTATTGTGAATGTGAGGAGATAATGTTCTCAGACAACAGTTACTAAGTTGATTCAGTATTCATAAAAGTGTTATAGAGAATCTAATAAGTATATAAGTATTAAATGTCATAAAATCATTAAAAAAAAATTCAGTTTTAGTTACAATAAACCAAGATGATCCGCAAACCAAATATCCAGGGCAGATTTTATCTCTCTCAAAATGAAGAAGACACCATCCACCTTGACAATTGCAGAGTACCACAGCACCATATTGAAGGGATTCGTTTCCTCTACAAACAGTTTAAAAGGGTAAGCAGCTTTTAACACTTTTGAACATAATAGTAATGAACTTTATAACAAACTCTAAGTTTCTGAATTACACACACTTGTTATTCTTATATCATTTTTCAACTTGGTAATTGAATATAGATTAGATGACCTCCCCATATTATATTACCATCAAGCTGGTTTAAATATTAGAATTGGAATGTGGTTGATAGAACCATATTGAGCTTATTAGATATGTCAATTTCTCTTGATTACAAGGACATAATTTATTTGTATTGTAACTTTCGTGAGACATACTAAATAAATTATTATGTTTTCGGCTTACTCACGTCATAATTTGACGAGGAACTCGACTAGTTTTAAACTGTCAAGCACCAAGCGGTCACCGGTGACCGCGACCTATTGTTCTTGAATTGTGTCTATAAAACCGGTACTCGACGAGTTAAGCCATGCTAGAGGCTCATATATTCATGAGCAGCATTTCGCGACCCGCGACGCAGCGACTATAGCAGCGCGACATAATATATGTTTGAAAACATGTTTTTAGTTATTATAACTATGAATTTATAGATCCACCATACATTGACTAAAACCTTTGTCCTATGAGGATACAAAAGCATTATTAGTAATTCACTATAGTGATAACATCCTTATAATTTGAAATAGTAAAAAAATTTACAATAGGGTAGATGCCTAATTTTTATTTTAATGTCCGTCTGGTAGATTATTTTAAAACATTACACACATTTTTTTTTATTATCAGTAGGTACTTTAGTATAACTATTTTACATATCTAACCTCAGAAATGTTTAGGCGGTGAACCTAACGGGTTACCGGGGCTTCGGCTCGAAGTGCAGGGGAAGGAATGGGGTGGTTTTTAGTCAGTAAGAGTCTGACACTTCCTCCCGCCTCACCCAGGCGGGAGAATTTATACGATGATTTCCCGCCTTAAAAAAATCGTCACGACTGTTTCCCATGGGGGTAGACAGAGACTATGGAATGCCAATTGCTACAATTCTTACATACCCCTTTTGCTTCCTCATGTCATCAGTCTTTTCATGCATTTTCATTTTCATTGCACTTTAAATTTGGCCCTTTTTAGCTATAGCTATTTTTTCATTCCAAAGTGTAAATTCTTATAAAATAGAAAAAGGACACAAGTATTATGTATCACATGTAAAGTGGGCATTACATATTCACATACATATGGCCCCACTCCCTGATATTCCATGGAAAGCAAGCCATCATGTTACATTCGTAAAACTTTGTTCTCCAGAAAAGGAATGGAGTGATTATAAATGATCCATTGGGTTTTGGAAGAAATATCCAAATAACTTTGTTCCTGAAGGCTGTGCAGCCGTTGCTCAGCAGACCAGTACTGATCTTGTGCGAGGAGGGCAGTGAAAATGACTGGTACGAACGGTTTTTTACATGGACAGATTTATCTAATGGTGAGTTTTAAAATATTTTATACTTAACCCATAGATCCCCAAGCGGTCACCGGTGACCGCTCTCCCCTAATATTACATTACATTATAGACTTTATTTCCAATGTTTAGAGACTACTTTTGTATGACCAAATTTAGGGGATGAATTTCAACGGGTTAATGTTGTTTAAAAATAGTACTGTGAGATAATTATGGTATTTGAAGTAATTTAACTAGAATAGAGATATTGACGTTACAATATCAATTGAATTGTCCAAACTAAGTGATAAAGTTCACATACAACATTATACATTTTTATTTATCATCACTACAACTAGTAACTTTGAAATACCACAGTACCATTACCAAATGTAATTGTGCACAGTTCTTGCTTTCTGTTATTTACCTGTGTGTTTGAAATGGTATTAACCATACCATGTTTTATTGATAAGTCCTATATCCTTATAATTTGCAAAGGAACTTCTTAAGAAATTAAGATAAATATTATCTAAGAACCACACGGACGAACACGCAGGCACAACTAGTATAATTGGGTAGTTTCCAGGATATCAAAATTAAAAAGCTTGTTAGTCCGTCAGTTAGATAATGAAAAATATTAGACACGTAGTTTTTTATTTTCTCGTATTAAGTTGCAATACTTAGATAAAATGGCGCTAAGTTTAAAAGTGGGAGGTCGTTACGTCATAACGTGCTACAAAATGAGGCACGCTGTGACGTCAAATGATATTTCAAATTAATATATCGTCGAAAGCATTTAATTTTGTGAGAAAAGAAAAAATACGTGTCTAATGTTTTAAATTAATGTGCAAGACGGACATTAAAATAAAATTTAGGAAACTACCCTATTAGTTATAATAAGGTTTCACTTGCTGTTCTGCTCGTATTGATCGTGTAGCCCATAGCCTATATTATATATATATTATAGCCCATAGCCGTTCTCGATAGATATAGATAGATCTATAGAGATAGATAGATAGATGTACTATACAAAAATTTAGGAAAAGTTGACTTCACCTCGTTCTTTTTTTTAAATTGACATGCAAAAGAGCTATTTTGTAGCCTATTTGCAAAAATAAATTTACTTGTTTCACAATTCGGACCAGTAATTTAGAAGATTAGTGCGTTGAAACAAACAGTCTCTTTTTATGGACTAGAAGGCAATGGCAGACAGTTCACCTGATGATAAGCAAGCAGCACCGCCCACGGACATACTGTTAATATATTTCGTTTTATATACCTCGTGTGTTCATAAGTTTTGAGACAAATTAAAAGTTGCATATCTTTTTAAATAATAAACTTATATTTATAAAAACAATAACAAACATTAAGTAGATAGTAAGTAAAAATTAAATATAATTATTATTCAAAATGACCACCCCTGTTTTTAATACATGCCCTTAGACGATTTGGCCAGTCATCAATGGCGGCACGAATCTTTTCCAGAGGAATTCGCTTCGCTTCTCGGACAAGAGCTCGCTTAAGTGACTCCAAGTTTGGGTGGGACTTTCGGCAGGCTCTGAGCTCTAATTCGGTCCATAGAGAATAATCCAGCGGGTTGAGGTCGGGGCTGGAGGAGGGCCATTCGTTCGCCGCAATGAAGGCCCGGCACATTTTCCTTCAGCCAAGCTTGGGTGGTTTTAACCTTATGGGATGGCGCCGAGTCTTGCTGGAAAACCCAATACTTGTTATGGAATAGGGTATTAGACAGTGGTTTCACAACAGTCTCTAGAATGTCACTTTGATAATTTTTGGCTTTCACCTTGACGCCTTGTTGGCAGAAATGAAGCTGAGTGACACCTTCGTACGAAACTCCCCACCATACCATGACACTAGCCGGATGATGAGTACGCGAGACATTCCGTGCTGAAGTGGGACATCCTTGCTACTTTTGGCATACACTTTATTGTTTTGTCGATTGAACTTTTCTTCGACGGTAAAGATTTTCTCGTCGGTGAAGAGTATCTTCCTCGCATCGTGTCTCCTAAGCAGTATTGGACAACGTTCGCGTCGCAATTGACGAAGGCGATCGTTTAAAAAGTGTACTTTTCTACGGCTATACGCCTTAACCTTGAGATCATATTTCAGTATTCTGTTGACTGAAACGCGCGAAATATTGGTCTGCAGAGCGAGTTTCTTCTGAGTGCGACATGGATTTCGGCGAAGTCGCTCTCGGATTATTTTAATGTTCGCAGGCGTCCTCACAGAGCGTGGACGACCACTTCTTTGCCGATCATGTAAAGAACTTGTCTCCTGGTATCGTTTAATAGTGTAATACACGAAGTTACGGCTCACACCAAAACTTTTCAGTTCTCGGAAAATGTCCATAGGTTTTCTTCCCATCTTAAATAATGAAATGACGGTCGCACGTAATTCTTTTGTTCCCTCCATTACGAGAAAATCTAAATAAAATAATCCGAAATCATAGATATTAAAAGTGACTGCACGGTTGATGCGGTGGCTGGGCAACCGGCTGCCGTGCAACGTGTCGCGGGTTCGATTCCCGCACGGGACAACACTTTGTGTGATCCACAAATTGTTGTTTCGGGTCTGGGTGTCATTGTGTATGTGAACATGTATGTTTGTAAACGCACCCACGACACAGGAGAAAATCCTAGTGTGGGGCAACGTTTTTTAAAAAAAAAATAAATAAAAAAAAAACATTCCAAATTCAAAATTAGAAAAAGAAATATACAGCAGCCAGTAATTTTATTTTATTTTTATAAGCAAAAAGTTTGTCTCAAAACTTATGAACACACGAGGTATAAGCTCCTATAGGTCGTAGCGTGATTTTTTATAGCCTATAGCCATCCTCGATAAATGCGCTATCCAACACAAAAAGAATTATTCAAATCAGACTTGTAGTTACGGAGATTAGCGCGTTCAAACAAACAAACAAAAAAGCAAACTCTTCCGCTTTATATAATAGTATAAGATAAGATATATGTATATAAATAACACATCAACTATGAAAGGCACAATCATCAAGACTCTTATGACCCTGTGCGCAATTGTCAGCAATTTTATGCAATTATTGCAAGTCGCCACGTCCGTCGAGCAGATTTCATTCTTGTGTTTAACATTGAGAGTTCAATTTCATTTTGTTTATTTATAATGCATTGTGTAGGTAGGTCGTGGTGAGTGATAGCAGTTTGTCCACGCGACGGCCGTGTAATGTATTGGTATTTAGTTTTCGGGTCGAATAAAGGAGGCCATACACGCTAGGTTTTGCATGATGGTTTTAGCCGTGCATGCATAACCGACAGGCAAGCCCTAGCGTGTATGTGATTAAACTGTACAACTGTACAAGAGCCATGCTTCGGCACGAATGGGCCGGCTCGACCGGAGTGATACTACTGCCTCACAGAAAACCGACGTGAAGCAACGCTTGCGTTGTGTTTCGTCGTGTGAGTGAGGTTACCGGAGGCCCAATTACCCCCTCCCCTTCCCCAATCCCTGAATCTCCAACGATCCTCAAGCTCCTAATCCCCAAAAGGCGGATGACGCACTTGTAGCACCTCTGGTATTTCAGGTGTCCATGGGCGCCGCCGATTGCTTGCCATCAGATGATCCGTCTGCTCGTTTACCGGCTTATGCCATAAAAAAACCTATGATTTTGATGATCTTTGTTTTCAGATGTTGTTATAGAGGCGAAGAATCCGATGTTGAAGAAGGCGGTGATCATCAACACCATGGTGAACCTGCACCTGTTCTGCGCTCGCGACTGGAGCATCATCATCGTGGACGGAGACAAGGTCACCTCCACCAACCCCTTACTCAAGTTACCGTTAAGATCCAGCTTCAAGATATGGAACACCCAAGTTAATCTCAAGGTATACCTATCACCATTTCATCACCAACCTATAAATGTCCCACTGCGGACTAAAAGCCTCTTCTGACATGGAGAAGGAATAAGCATTATAATTCGTCACGCTTACTTTTTTAAGCCCAGGTTAATTTCACCGCACGACAGTTGTGTCTAAATTTTTTTTTTTTAAATAAAACGTTGCCCCACTCTAGGATTATCTCCTGTGTCGTGGGTGCGTTTACAAACATACAAGTTCACATACACATCACACCCAGACTCGAAACAACAATTTGTGGATTACACAAAGTGTTGTTCCGTGCGGGAATCGAACCCGCGACACGCTGCACGGCAGCCGGTTGCCCAGCCACTGCACCAATCGTGCAGTATTAGCGGTTTCACACGCTTTGCTCAGCTCCTATTGGTCGTAGCGTAATGTTTTATAGCCTACAGCCATCCTCGATAAATGCGCTATCCAACACAAAAAGAATTATTGAAATCAGACTTGTAGTCACGGATTTTTATTTTTATTATATTTCAGTAATCACAAAAGTCAAAATAAACGTTTTCTTTTCCACGTAGGTAAAGCATACGTTCAAAGGTTGGCAGAAACTTAAGAAAAATAAAAGTAATTAAGGTCCGCTAATTAGGGCGGAGTTGCCTGAAAAGATTTTTGGTTTTCACACAAATTATAAGTATTTTATTTAAAAAAATCTCTTGTGAGTAATGTTTACCCTTCAAGGGCCCCCCCTAAACAGTTTTTATACGGTGTCCAAAGCACACTACGCCACTGGTAAACGCATCCACGACACAGAAGAAATCGTAGTATGAGCCAACGATTTATTTTAATGTATTTAAAGAATATTTCACGTTATTTTTTCCAGGAAAATCTGGACAGGTTTGAAGAAGTATACAAATGGATGTATCCGCAGGAAACATTTGACAAAAATTACTTCACTGCTAACTCCGACAGTGCTGTGGATGTGATAGAGAAGTCTATTCTTCTGGATTCCTTTCTAGAAGATATTCTTCTTCGACGGGAAGATCTGAATTCTTCTTATGAGGTAAGCAAACCATATAATAGTTGTGTAAACGGGGTATGATGACTCATAACCTTCCGTATTGCTTCGCCGTAGTCGGCTTAAAAATAAACATCAATGTAGTCCGTCAAATTACATGATGAAGAAGTATAAGCCACGTATTTATTTCCAAATTAATAGATACTGCTTAAATAAAGCAGTTTAGTTAGCCTAACTTTATTGTTTATTACTTCTATGTACATTTTATAGTCACAAATGGAACTCCATCCGTATCCGTACTCCGCTCGTATATTTAGCATGACTATGCTATAATATACTTCGCATCGCAGAGTATCTAAAAATTTACAATTTTCCAACATTTTAATTAATTAAATTAGGTATACCCTTAAACGTAGTAAACTAAACTCTGTAACTACCTATAGGACTCAAGGCATCGAAATCACTTTAAACCTTAAAAAAATAAAACTTTCTACTTTTAATTGTAAATGTGTAATCATTTCAGAAATACCAAAGAGAGGTTGTAATGCCACCACCAAAGAGTACATCACTAATGCCCTCGATACTGCCTACCTTCAACACTCCGAACACAACCATAACGCCGGTGCTAGGCCCGGCGCCGCCGCCCCCGCCCCCCGCTCCGACGCCTACCGTTACTATAACCAAGAAGAACAAAGACGCTACCGGGACTAAAATAAAACGATCGAAAACAAGAATCGACGCAGAGACCGCTAACAAACCGTACGAACCTGTACTACCAATAACTACCAGTATCACCAAAGTTATCGGTGAAACATCCAAAACTTATGACACGTTCGACCGCAATGAAGACTTCAGTATTGAAAATTATAAAAGAAAAAATAAGGACAGTGTAGACGTAAACAAAGATAAACCAATTCAAATAATAGAGATTGACAATCGTTGCGACGTAAAATCCGGTTACGAACCGGGCGCCGAGTCGAAATCAACGGACAAGTTGGAAGAGATGGACACACTTGTATTTGGCCACGACACTTTCATTAGCAAGGTGTCGGATCACTACAAGGCCGGCCACACGGCTTCTGATAAAAAGGAGACAGAACCGCACACCATACTCACGTGCAAACCAATAGGAGAACAAAGTACACACAAAGTATATCCAGACAACAAAAAATGTAGCAGTACAGTCACTTCAAGCTCTAGAAAACTTTACGAATCATCGCACAGTGACCCTGAGAGAGATAAAAAGAATGATAGGACAAGTTCGTCGACACGAGATGTAGACACTGCTAGAGTGAACCTCGAGGAGCTGAATAAAGAAATGAGGGATCTCGGCACTAGAGATAATTCCGACAAAGTTGCTAAAAGACAAAAAACAGATAATGCGCCCAAAACTGTACTAACATTTGAACAATATAAAGCGAAATCAAGTTTATCAATCAAACAAGCCAGTGGTTCTGGCACCAAGGGCACAGAACAAGTAACAAATAGTCTTAAACGTAATAATATAGATGATAAGTTGAAAGAATGTGAAGAAAAGGTCTCTAAGAAATTCAAGGGATCTTTTTTAGATAGTCTGTTTTGAATGTGTGTGAAGCTAAGCTAAGTAAGTTTGTGTTAGGTCGTAACAATAAATGTTTTTAAGAGCCTGTATGTACGCTTGTCTCATTCCGCCTATCCTAAACTTAACGTATCGTAACTATATTGTAAATTACTACAATAATAATATAAGAAATCTTCATTGTTTTTTGTGTTCATTCGTCTGCCTCATAGTTACTAGCACGATCGCTGTCAAAGTATTTTCTTTTTATATCTAATTTCAGAATAATAACTAAAGTGCCTCGTTGGCCCAGTGGCCGCAAGTGCGACTACCGGGCAAGGGGTCTCGGGTTCGATTCCCGGGACGGGCAAAGTATTACTGAGTTTAAAAAAAATATCTCAGTAGTAGCACGGAGTCTGGAATTGTGCCATATACCGATATGGCAATAGGCTCAATAGGCTCCTCTATTACATGGGACTCGTAACATAAATAGTGAAAAGTGGGTGTTGCTTCTGAGGACAAAATAATTCGCAACTGCATGTAATGTAATTATTGCATTTTATAATTTGCCTAGCATGACTCCGATTTTCAAAATATTTTTAATACTAAAAACTTTTTTTCTTATTATTTTTTTTTATTGGGACAAGCCCGCCACAATCTCCCAAAACCGCTGCAACTTCTGTAAGCCAGGATCTACAGTAGATACAACCATGAAAACACCGGAACACTGAAGTCCGGCGCGTCCCAGGGACATGACTAACTTGGTTCTAATAAAAAAAAAATGGACTAAAAAATAAGTGGGTCCTATGTGTGAGCTGTTATACTTGCTTTCAATAATAGGTTTGGCAAAACGCCTAATCGCACGGAAATTCGTTCCAGATTCCACAAGGTCCGTATAATAAAGCTACACCTGACGAAACAATGAAATTATTTAACATAGTGTTACGTTAATATTGCCAGAGATCACACTCCCAGAGTACATGATGGGCCGACAGCTCGTATTGCAACTCCTCTGTCGAACATTGGCACCATGGTGAATCAATAAGTTTAAATGACAACAATTTACTTTTAAAGTTGCCGTGGCCAGTAAGAAATTGGGCAACACATTGATCCACCTCCAACCATGTCCTCTCCAGCCGCTCATGCACGGATGGGAACAACTGATATAGGTAGCGGCCGTTAATAGAAGATGCCCATCTACCCTGCCATTCAGTTATAAGCTCGCCCCAAACGTCCGTTATTGGCTTAAACAATCTAGCAATTTTATTTCTATCACGTTGTGCTAGAAAGCTTGATGACAAATTGGGTCTCGCACTGTAGTACATAGCAGCACGTCGCTGCACCTCAAGATCTACCGGAAGTACGCCCGCGAGCACATGTAGGGCCTCAGTGCTAACCGTCCTATAAGCCTTACACAGGAAAATTAAGGCTAGACGCTGGCCTTAGAGAAGATTTCGCCGTACCGCGCTTATTGTGGCCCTATCAGCCCAAACAGGTGCCCCGTAGCACACGCATCGCAGGTAGGTTGCTCCGTATATGATCCTGAGCGTAAGAAAAGAGAGAGCCCAGGTGGCTTTTGAAATTCGCGTCAGCGCATTTTTTTTTTTTTTTAAGGGGGGAAATTCATCGAATGACTGCTCCCGCCTGGGTGAGGCGGAAGGGAGTGTCAGACTCTTACTGACTAAAAACTACCCCGTTCCTTCTCCTGCACTTCGAGCCGGAGCACCGGTTACCCGTTAGGTTCTCCGCGACTCCGAATCGGCATCGGCCCTATTAGGCCCCATCTGTGGTGGTCTGATGGCTCTTTGAGGCGCGCGCGGAACGCGACGCGCCCTACGCTCGGGTCTGTTTCTGATCGGACGGGGAGCCACCCATGCTCGCCGTCCGCAGGCCCGCATAGAAGTTATTTTTGGCTTTCTCACTAATAGCCTTAATATGCTCAATGAAAGAAAAGTTTTTTTCCAAAACTAGACCAAGGTAACAAACAGACTCCTTTCGTTTTACGGAAACGTTGTTAAAAATAGACGGCCACGACTTTAGATTTCCTTTAAGCAATAGCTGGTAAGTGTTATGGGGTGCAAAAGTCAAGCGATTTCGTTCGCCCCATCGCGAGATCCTACTGAGACAGTCTTTAGCCAAATTCTCCAGTCCGGCGCGGGTATTTGACTGTACTAGCAAAAATCCGCATATCCAGTCAAAGTACAATCACAAGGAAGGGCGAGCAAATCATCAAATCCTAAATTCCATAATACGGGCCAATAACCGAGCCCTGAGGACATCCCATTGATAACGACTTCGACCGAGAACAATGACCAAGCTTCAGTTTAACGGAACCGTAAAGGAAATACGTGTATATTAATTTATATATGTTACTAAAACAGCCACGACCTTTCAGTTTTAAGAGTAACATTGGCCACCATGCGTTATCAAAGGCACTGGAAATGTCCAGAAAAATGCCTACCATCTACTTGTGCTCAGACGAATTTACCATGGATCGGACAGAAAGAGCCGCGTCGGTAGTAGACTCACAGTAAAAACAAATTGATTGTTGTGGAATTTTGGTCCACCTGGCAGTAAACGAGGAACGATAAGTCGCTCAAGTAGTTTCCCTAAAGATGGTAAAAGCGTGATAGGCCGGTATGACTTAGGGTCATCGGGGGGTTTATTTCCATTCTTGGGGATTATGCGAATGAATCCACGACGCCATACACGAGGAAAGGCACCTTCAGCGATACAATGGTTGTATACAGTTAGGATCGCATCAGCCGCGGATTTACATGCTTCTATTATCATTTTATTTGAGACTTTGTCTTCAGCAGATGTTTTATTCAAAGGCAAAGTTTTTTAGTATACTAAAATGTTGCCAGCAGCTTTCATATAAATACCATCTCCATTGAAACCTTCTTACAGACACTCCACAGAATTACCAAAAACTTGTTTTCAGAAACCCATTAGCAAATATATTATCCATGCAGGTAGTGTTCTACAGAGAAGCATTAAAATTCGCTGTATTTTGGATTTTAGTAAATTTATGAGTTTTATATACCTATAAAATGTTATGTCAAAAGTGTTATGTGCATTTAGTCAAGTTTTCAGGAGGAGACAATAAACTGTTTTATACACTTACACTGAAAGGTTGATGGACTTAGCAATAAATTAAAAATGCAGTGTGATGGCAAAAATTATGATACAAATAACTAAGATGAAAGTGTACCAAGTAACATGTATACTGTTCATCCCCAATAATTTTATTTTCCATTTTGGTGCACATATCAGATTTATCTTAGAAAACGGTAAAAATAAACAAAAACTGTTGATATTCAATCTGCCAAACTATCTATGTGATGCTGCAACTTCTGACATGTGCGTTTTTTGTCACATAACCCGTAACCAATCGAACACATAACCAATTTGTCATGGCCAGAAGTGCACATATAAGATTGGTCTAATCGATTTCTAGAGGGAAATAACACATATTTGTTTTTGTAATCGATGCGCTATCCGATTTGAAGGACATCTTGCTAAGAAAAAAAAAACTAAATATTTGCACATATCAGTTTTGGCAGGCGCACCGACGACATCTGTATTCAATTCCTCACATCCTTATTGAGGTGTCTTTACAACTATATAGATATACGCACTAAAGTTAGTGCGTTAATAAAACAATCGTATCAAAACATCAACGTATTTATTTCTTATAATATAATAATATCTTTGTATGTGTAAAGGTAAATAGAGATACATAATTATATGGGATATACAACAACAATTCACAATAAGTATATTAAATTTTACAGGGTCACCATTTATCAATCCAATATATTTCGATTGAAATCGAACGTTGTTTACGACATGACGACCTTTTACAGATTCATTAACAGTAAATATTTTTATTATTAAAATACAAGTTTATTTGTTAATTATGTAATTTAGGTACTAGTCACAATTTGTATTTTTTTTAGTAGATAGGTAAACGGTATATTATAATGTATACATAGTATGGCCTGCCTCTGATATACGATGTCTCGCTGGTGAATACAAAAGCGCGGACGCTCGCCGTCGTCTGCCTGTTACTATTATTTTAAATATACATCTTCCTTTCAATTGCAATTTACATTTTAAGTTCTAACCGATTAGAAATAATACCGAGGTATAGGTTTAAGATCTAAATTAATATACAAAATTTATTGAACTGTAAAATTGCATCAATATAAAACGAAAAAGCCGCTAGATTTCCAAATAAACCTGTGGCTACACAGTTGACAGCAAATATAGTTGTGGTTTTGACAGCAAATAGTATATTTTTAACAAAGTAAACGTTTAAACATAATTTTATAAGCAAACTTTCCATTATTTGTTTTATATATATAATTAATTATAAAAAAAAAACATTTAAAAATATAATAAGCCCACCAATAACGGGAGAAAATCCAAGCTACCGGTGGTCAGGGCTCCAGAGAGAGGAATTTCCGGACAATACGCGCCGTGTCTAGAAGTACTGCTTTCTGCATCAGGCCCTCAACCCAACCATCTAAAGCCTATTCAGGTGTTGGTCTACTAGGGTTTTAGCAATAAGGCCATTGGCAGATACGACTATTAGCAAACTTTTTATTAGTTTGAGACTAGGCCAGATTAATTAAATAAAAAACTTATTTACCAGTACATAAAATAATCATATTAGAGAATCGTAAATTCTTGACATAGATGCGCCAACCGTTCAGTTAAATAGTACTCAGTAAAACCTGGTTCTGAGTTAACCTTCGAGTGACCACATAAAGGTTATTCTAAAAGCTACTAGTACATATTTTTATACTTTTAAATAACTAGATATCTCTGATAGTAGTGACAGTGTGAGCCACATATGGACCTTTCTTTCGTACTGGCCTGCTGGGGTACAATTAGTTTAACCTGTATTTTTCATTTTATGTGATCTCAGTGATTAGACAGTAAAACCAGATTGACATTCTGACTGGTTAATTAATTAGGTAATTGTAAAATTAACACGAAATCTATCTGTTCAATCTCCATGATTAGATTAAATCAAAAGATGTTAATCTGAAAGGAACATGCACCATATTTTTACCCGACTGCCAAAGAAGGAGGGTAATGTTTTTCGAGTGTATGTAAGTATGTATGTATGTCTTTTCCTTTGTGACCACCTGTTTATTGTAATCGAACGAACTTTATAATCAGCATAAATAATATTAAATATAGTACATTACGTGGCGACAAATATTGCATATACATACGTATAGTCAGAGATACTCAGCCAAGTCGCCGCGTATGATGCTCATAATGTAAAGACATGCGCTGCGACGCACAATAGACTTTTTTGTGTGTTCCTAAATTCTTGTTGTGTGTCGTAGCAAAATAAATGGTTTTTCTTTCTTTCTTTCTTTCTTTCTTTCTAAAGGTACTAGTCGAGCACTCTTTGAATTATGAATAAAAAAGGTTTATACACATAAATAATCATCATATCACACAAAATCGTCTCCTTCCAAAAGTCCAATATTTATATATATAGCCGGGTAATATATGTACAAATTATAAATATTTAAGTATTTAAATTACGAAGCCATTTTTACGATTACAAATGCGATTATAAATAATTGTAATATACATAAAAAGTTAAAAATAATAATTTAATGGGAATCTATAACATGAGTAAATACCTAACAAGATGTATAACCACTTGAACATCAGTAACAATCATCATATAAATTGCCTATTAGTCGTAAATTTCACGGATACGCTGTTCAGTACAATTGATTTTATTTCCTTGAAATTTTACTTTGTAAGCGATTTTATACAAATAAAGTATTATATATATACAATAAAATACTCAAATCTATACTAATATTATAAAGCTGAAGAGTTTGTTTTTGTTTGTTTGAACGCGCTAATCTCCGAAACTATTGGTCCGATTTGAAAAATTCTTTCTGTATTGGATAGCCCATTTATCGAGGAAGGCTATAAAATATATATCACTCTACGATTAATAGGCGCCGAGCAGAGCGAGTGAAACCGCGCGGAAGTAGCTAGTAAAAAATATAAAAATAAGCCATTTTGTTTACACAATTTTACATACAATAATGTTAGCACAACCGTTTTGTGTACGCGGTAAATAATTGTATAATTTTCCTGGTTTTATATAAAAACATACTTATGGAATGTTCTAAAATAGTTTGGATTATAAATAGCAATCGATTTGGCATTATTGAGACGGGCTACACCATAACCGCTAGGCTATACTGTAACTGTCAATTCTAAGTTTCGAAGTGAGCTCCGCATTCTCGCTCATCATTGGTCAAGATTATTCTCACAACCAATGACGTGGCGGACCGCGATCGAGTACATTTCGATCTTTCGAATTGAGTTACAGAATAACCTGTTAGAAATACCATCCCTTTTTAAATAAAAAGCATATATACGGTCGAATTGAGAACCTCCTCCTTTGTTGAAGTCGGTTAATTATTGTAGGTTTTATTATATTAAAAATTAAATGAATTCACCCACTTTGCCATTAAGGGAAACCATATTTGTCAAGCAAAGCAGCAAAATGAAATCCGAGCAATTTATTGTACTTTTTAACATCTTGCATGCTTTTGTATGAATGACACATGTTTATGCAAATAAAATTAAAAAAAAAAAATTATATAGAGAGCCATAAAAAACGGTAAAAGTTCCTACTTCGTTAATTTTCGTTAAAATGTAATAAAAATTGCATACTTAAACAAATTAATATTAAACTTATTCCATTTTACAATCGGAATGTTGAAGAAATATGGATATTTTTAATGTTCGTGTAATTTTCTAGTAGTGGACACGACGTTTTCTATTTTTTGTAGAAGATATATCTTTATATTTTAATTTAAAATATCGGTTATAGATATGTTTTAACGACGATGTCGAACGAACGCCCAAGCGTAAACTTTAGATAATTTCATTAAATTTAAATATTATTTTATCACATAACGGACTAAAACGTTTTAAATTTTCGAACTTTCTGTTCTCTGACGTCATTCCTATACAAGTTAGTTACTGTGTAGAAGCACCTGTCGAGAACAACAAAAATCTAATTAATTACTTAATAGGGCTTACTTACAAAATAAATAATATTGCCATTTACCTATAGAAATATATAATTAAAGAATATAACATAGACAATGTATGTACATACAAATTTTTTCTTAAAAATAATTGTCACTTCGATAAAATGGAATGTGGAACGCTGGAGAAAATGTAAAAAAATTGTCTATAAAATATTTTTTTTTTAATAAATGTAAATATAACCACTGATTAATTCATAAATGGAATTAAAATTGGAGGCCAATTTGTAGGTAGCAATGCATTTTACATTTTTTTTTTGAAAGCGAATCCGATGTTTGTTTTCAGTTATTTGGGTTAACAATTATTTCTTTACATTTTATTTCTTTGTAAAACCATTGTATTACCGAGACAAGCCCATTTAACCTACTTCGGGACAATACGATATAATTTTACGGTGTATATGTAACTAATATGGTTTATATAATTCTGTTATGGTAGGTATACAATTATGCATTTTATAAATGTTGAATTTGTAAAATTGATTTCGCGCTAACCAGGATTCGATATCGTTTTCTATATTTCTTCAATCTAATAACAGTTACCGATACCAAACTGTAAATTTACAAAACATAGGTAATCGACTGAAATAAGGTAAACATTGAATACTTATTCAAAAATTCAACTCAGATGCTATAAAACTTGGTAATTGGGATGATGACAGAGTATGAAAATTAAAAATATAATTAGTCCGTAAATTAGGTAATGAAAAAATATTAGACAAATATATTTTTATTTTGTCGTATAATAAAACAATACTTAGATAAAACGAATAAAAATGTAGGAGTGGGGCCTAAAACGTCATTTCTACGTTTAAAATGTACATAGAAGTGACGTCACGCGACATTTCAAATCAATATATCGTCGAAAGTATTCGTTTCTGTAAGAAAATAAAAATACGTATCTAATGATTTAAAATAATCTAAGCATCTAGGCTGTTGCGGTAATGTTAAAAGAATAAAATAGGTAGCTAACCTGCTTTTTAAACTGTCAAACACCAAGCGGTCACCGGTGACCGCGACCTATTGTTCTTTAATTGTGTCTATAAAACCGGTACTCGACGAGTTAAATAAAAACTTTATAAATTACATTAATAATAAGATGCTTTGAATAAAATATACTTAAATATAATATTATCAAACTTCTACTGCGAGAGAAAATCAGTCTGAAGATATGAACAATCGTTTTTTTTCTTTAAAGTTAAACAATAAAGGAAGACGGCAGATATCGTAGTAGTATAACGTTATTTTTCCAAACATTGAACTGTAAGTACAGTACTAATACTATTAAGAAACAAAACTATATATATAAAAGAAAGTCGTGTTAGTTACACTATTTATAACTCAAGAACGAAGAAGCTTAGAACCAGGAGACGGACATAGGATACATTTTATCTAATTTTTTTTTTACTTTTACCAAAAATCACGAACGGGAACGGGGGGAAAATGGGATTGCGCGTACGAAGTCGCGGGCAGAAGCTATTAGTTAAATATACGGTACAATACATAGATTAAAAATATGGCATAAATATGTTTATAATTTCATTTTAGGTACATCGATTTCGCATTGACAATATTAGGAACGAGTTGTTTGCTACCGTCGCTACTTCGGTTTGATGTGGAGGTACTCAGCCACAAATACTCTGAATATTTTGTTCAAGTTCTCTATAGTGTTGAAGTCAAGAGCGGAAAGGTTGTCGCCAGGGGTGTGCCACACGCTGGGGAACGGAGACGGGATCACGTGCAGAATATCCACATCTAAAACAAAACGAGAACAATAAAAAAAATTATAAACTAGGTACGTACGTTTAAAAATACACAGTTTATAAACCCAGTAATACTTTGCCCGACCCGGGAATCGAACCCGAGACCCCTTGCCCGGCAGTCGCACTTGCGACCACTCGGCCAAAGAGGCAGTCATCGCGTTATATTCGTGCACAAACATACATACATACAGGTTAAACTGAGAACCTCCTTTTATTCTTTTTGTAGTCGGTTAAAAATCCTTACTTCCTTACTATATATATATGTATATTATATATTATATATAATATTATAAATCGGAAAGTGAGTTTGTTTGTTTGTTTGTTTTACCTTCACGCCGTAACTACTCAACCGATTGCTTTGAACATTTGCAGACGTAAAGTTAGAAGTCCGGATTAAATAATAGAGTACTTTTTAACCCGGAAAATATTGATATTCCTGAGGAAAAACAAAAGTATTGGTATAGATGGCGCTGTGTGTATTGGTATGTCACATATGCTAATTTTTATTATTTTGTGACGCGAGCGAAGCCCGCGGCTTCACACACACACAGCGCCATCTATATCTATTGGTATAGATGGCGCTGTGTGTATTGGTATGTCACAAAATAATAAAAATGTAAAAGCTAGTACATTATATATCCCAGAGCCGTATTATCTGTAAGGCAAACTAGGCAAGTGCCTAGGCCGTCAGGTTACTGAAGGGAGAGACAAAGTTACGCAACTAAATGATAGCTTTAGCCCGACCCAGTACCCGAGCGTACGCAGTAAGCCTCGTGAGCATAGTATAAAGAAATCTTTATACTAGGCGCGCGCCTCATATAGAGCCATCAGACCACCACAGATGGGGCCCAACAGGGCCGATGCCGATTCGGAGTCGCGGAGAACCTAACGGGTAACAAGGGCTCCGGCTCGACGTGCAGGAGAAGGAACGGGGTGGTTTTTAGTCAGTAAGAGTCTGACACTCCCTCCCGCCTCACCTAGACGGGAGAAGTCATTCGATGATTTTCCCGCTTAAAAAAAAAGCCCGACCCAGTAATAGAATCCTAGACCACTCAGTACTCCAGAAACAAGGCATATTGATGTGTTTTGCTTAATATTCATTAGTATCGGCCTTGTCACTACTACGTACAAACAGCCATTTACTTTTAGCCCACGAGTTACTTTCAAGGCTAACAAATAATACCTATAAATATCACAATAGACTTACATCTAGTAAATTATTAATGTATAGTAGCTACCTATAGTAACATCATAACATAATATACCTTTTTATCCATGCACATTTCGGCACTTAATGCCACTTACAATGTAACACCCACTTTTCACTATTTATGTTATGCCACTGGACTATCACACTATTTATGTCTTGAGTCCCATGTAATAGGGGGTGACTATTGCCATATACTACTGAGATTTTTAAAAACCCAGTAATACTTTGCTCGACCCGGGAATCGAACCCGAGACCCCTTGCACGGCAGTCGCACTTGCGACCACTCGGCCAACGAGGCAGTAGCTACCTAAAGTATTTCGAAGTAAAGAAATCTACCCATATACATTTCAAAAGTGCTATAGAAATCACCAATAACAGTTATAATTATAAGTTTGTTATCCCCAACCCGCATTGAGCATTGATTATAACCATGACCATTAACCTATATTATATTTTGTTTAAAACTTGTGGCACCGACTTCTTACCTATCAGTGGGTGGGTGACCAATGTATGACTAATAATAGTTATTTTTTGCTTTTTAGTTTTGACCTTTTGCTTGTTTTTAGGTTTTGGTTTTTGAAGTCGGTTTTTTTAAACGCAGTTTTTGTTTTTTATAAAACCCGAACTCTGACCCTGTGGAGACTGAACCTCGGCTCAGCAGCGTCATTGAGTTAGGGCAGCAAGTAAAGAGAGGCTGCTTAAAATTATGTACGTATGCAGACAGCATGAGATATTTATCTATTCATGCACAACACAGACCGTACACAGGAGAACAAATTATAGATCAGAGGTACACAGGTACTGTATATAAATAATAACAATCTAGACACTATGTGTTACTAAGTAAAGAAAAAGACAAATATGTAAAACAAATCTTTAATCTAGACCTATACCTAAAACTACAAGTCTTTTAAAGATGAATGTTGTGGACTTTGAATCACGTATGTTAGGCGGTAGGGGGGAACGGAAGAGTCTGACCACATGTGTACGAATAAGAATAGAATTCAGTATTGTGTGAGACAAGAGATTGGATATTAAGATGAGATCGGGAAAGTGCCTCAGGAGGGAACAGAGGAAAAACGTTCGCAGGGGAAAGGACATTGTAATGCAACCGTTTACGAAGTCCGCCTTCCTAATTTTCGCACTTACGTACGTCATTCATACCACATTTTGTATGCATATAAAATTATGTTATTATGATAACATGATTTATCTAGATATATTATTATGAACATTGATGAATGGGTTTTATATGTCAACTATAATTCTCAAAATTGATAAGATATTAATGATAAGCCCTGATATTATTTGTAGTACCTATCCAAGTATCTAAAGGACATCAAAAATTATTGGGATTTTCCAGCTTTGATTTAGGGTTCAGACCACAGGACACATAAAGAAGGTGTTGCGACACTCGTGTCATACACCCGTATTATTGTTTTTTTTTTGTTATTTTGAAACTGTCAGTAGTAAAACGGAGTCGGAAATCTGCCCGATTGTAAGACTTACACCATGCGATTATTTGAAATTTTGGTATAATTCTACAAAACTTACAAACAAGAAAATGTTTAATCATAAATATTGCATTTCGGCAATGGAATTACTTTTGTATTGAACATAAATATTACAACCATCATTTCCATTTCTTTGTAAAAGCTTATTAATTATTAAAACAAATGGCAACTTACTTCTCCTCATGAAGGGTATGTGGTCGTCTTCTATGACGGATCCAGAGCTCCTGAGCCTGAAGTAGGTCTGTTCTGCATTTCCCTTGGAGTAGGACTGGAACTGATCGAGTTCAGCTAATCTTTGCTCCGCAACAGCCAGACGGACGTACCACTTCTCCGTCGACTGGAAGTAACTGTAGAACACTGGGTCTGGACAGCCAATGAGATCCAGGAGCACCATCACGTCCTGCGCAGATAATACAAAAATAAATTAGTATAAAGTAACTCTAGACATAGTATTATAGGAAGAGGCGGGGCGTGCGAGGCACCGAAGTGCTGCGCTGCCTCCTTACAACCCAGCCGTCGCGAAAGATACTCCGGGCGTCTCGGACGATCTCAGGGCGGTGCGCGGTGGGGCGATCTCCGGCTACCGTAAGCACGGGCCTGCGGACGGTGAGCATGGGTAACTGGTAGATGGTTTTTAATCAGTAAGAATCTGACACCCCCTCCCGCCTCACCTAGGTGGGAGAAAATATTCGATGATTTCCCCCTTAAAAAAACAAAAAAGCTAGCATAATATTAGGTTTTATTTCAGTATTAGATTGATGACATCAATGTACCTACTACGCGTTGTTGAAATAGTCACAAGTAAGGACCGATTTTCTAAATTATAGGCAGTTTAATACGGCGGAGTCTAAATTGTGGCCGGTTCATAATAGATGGTTCACTACAAATGTCAAAACTTGCGATAGGGATGACAAGCACTATAGATCGAGAGCCCGCGGCTCCCAGACCAACCTCATTTTATAAAACCTGATTTTTCTCTACACGTACATACCTCTAATATAGGTAAGGACGATCAGGGACTATGGAAATGTCACCCTTCGTACATGGCAATAGTCACCCCCTTTTACATGGGACTCATAAAATAAATAGTGAAAAGTAGGTGTTACATTGTAGTGGCATTAAATGCCTTAATGTACATTAAAATTAGGATAAAAAGGCGTGATGTTATGTTATGTTTTATAATCTAACTGACCGACTAAAATCTCCATACGCATCTTTCCTATGGCTATTGGACCATTTTGTACAGTTAGGTACGTAAATGATTTTTTTTAATATAAAAATGTATTCTTAACCGTCGCCGTCATGTAAATGGAGGTAAAATATAGATTATATAATGTGCTTTCTAGAAAAAAGGTAAGTACTTAATTATCATTAAGTCCTTGGTCGTCGACTTTCCCCTTTCATTACGTTAAGTACGCGGGTTAAATTTCAAACGACTACCTACTCTAACTACTCAGTGCTTGGGTACTTTGTTATTAGCTTCGAATGACTAGGGACAGTACAGAAACAAGGGTCGATAAACAAAATTATTCTTCAAATCCTTATCAGTTAATAAGGTTAATTTACTATGTGTCTTCCCATATATTTATTTAACACGTTAAACGCCATGGGGGTCACCGGTGACCGGCGTAAGCGGAGGATTTACCTTCAAAAGTTTTTTATTGGCAGTCAAAGTCTTAAAATTCTCTATAAATTACATTTTTAAATACAAAATAAAAAATAATATTTAAAAATATAAAAAATAGGAGCCGACCAGTAGCGAGAGCATAGTCCAAGCTACCGGTAGTTAGGGCTCCAGAGACAGAAACCTCCTCACGATACGTGCCGTTTCTAGGAGAACTGCCTTCTGTATCAGGCCCTTGATCCATCCACCTAACGCCAGCCTCCTGAGATGGATGTCGAGGCTTTTATGGATTAACCCATTGGCCGACACGACTATTGGCACAATTATAGCCGAGTCCACACTCCACATGTCGACAATCTCGTGAGCTAAGTCTAGATATTTTATTTGTTTATCTTTCTCAGCTTTCACGAGGTTCTCGTCATGGGGACTATGTGTATTATTATTATGCTGACTGCCTCGTTGCCCGAGTGCAAGTACGACTGCCGGGCAAGGGGCCTCGAGTTCGATTCCCGGGAAGGGCAAAGTAATCTGGTTTTTTTTTAATTCTCACTAGTAGCACGTAGTCTGGAATTGTGTCCGATATATGGCAATAGGCTCACCCCCTATTACATGGGTCTCATAAAATAAATAGTGAAAAGTGGGTGTTACATGTGGTGGCATAATGTGCACCTCTGCGTACCCCTTTGGGGATAAAAGGCGTGATATTATTTTATGAAGCTGTTTTCAATTAATTACAGATTATTCCTATACCCATTATTAACACATAATATTTTGTTGCGGGTGTAATAAAAAATTGTCTATTCACAATTTTTTAATCATTATTTTCGTAATTTCATCTTACGAAACGGATCGGTTTATCAGAAAATAAGTAGTAATGATAATAAAATTGAATTGTCCATCTCCTACCATGAAATTTTTAGCCTGCAATTTTTTAATCATTATTTTCGTAATTTCATCTTACGAAACGGATAAGTTTATCAGAGAATAAGTAGTTAATAAAATTGAATTGTCTATCTCCTACCATGAAATTTTTAACCATGGAGAAATTATTGTACCTACTCGGATTGGTTGCCCAGCCACCGCACCAACTGTGCAATTATACACAGAGACCTGTCAGCAGCGTTTTCTGAACCTTTCTTTCCTTCTAAAATGCAATCTACAACTGTGTGCCAAGCGTGGAGATTGTAGGAAGCTCCACTTTAGTACAGGAGTTAGGTACTTTCTTTTAACATAACATAACATCACGCCTTTTATCCCCGAAGGGGTAGGCAGGTGTACATTACGCCACTTAATGGCACTGTACAATATAACACCCACTTTTCATTATTTAGGTTATGAGTCCCATGTAATAGGGGGTGAGCCTATTGCCATATACCGGGCACAATTCCAGACTCCGTGCTACTACTGAGAATTTCTAAAAATCCCAGTAATACTTTGCCTGACCCGGGAATCGAACCTGAGACCCCTTGCCCGGCAGTCGCACTTGTGACCACTCGGCCAACGCAGTTACTATTTTAAGAGTAACGAATGAGTTTCTTGCTCATTCTTGTCCATTTGAATCTACAATTTGGAATTAGCATCTAGCTTCACTGATAGGCAGACAAACTGACTATTTTATACTTGTATTTATTTTATATTTGTTGACGCTTCGAAAGCGCGCGCCTCAAGTAGCCATCAGACCACCACAGATGGGGCCCAAAAGAGCTGATACCGATCCGGAGCCACGGAAGGCTTAACGGGTAACCGGGGCTCCGGCTCGAAGGGCAGGAGTAGGAATGGGGTGGTTCTTAGTCAGTAAGAGTCTGACACTCTCTCTCGCCTCACCCGGGCGAGAAAAGTAATTGGATGATTTCCCCCCATCAAAAAAAGACTACCACGTTTTCTTCTAGATCACGGTTGCCTAATAATATTATTGAACATGTTTTTCCCACAAATGAATTTACTACGAAAGATTGAAGAGTAAACAAGTGTTTAAGCAAGGAGGTCAAGTAGGCTATCAGCTCTGCAGCTTTGTAGGTAGGTATGTACACATTGAAATTGATAGGACACGAATTAAAACTCGAAATTATTATGAAACTAAAATGATAACAGACTCCTTTCATAACTGAGTAGGTACCGTATAAATATAAATACAATTTTACAACTTTACTTTTTAACGAACGTTCTTATTTCAATACAAATACAGTGTGTAATGTAAACGCAACGCTCCCGAAGAACACCACAGGTGTTGTTAAAAAAAAAACAAGTATTATTTTCATAGGGGGAGCCATGGAGCGCGGTATCTTAGGAGTTCGACTATCGGACAGAATTAGGAAAATCACGCTGGGCTCCACAACTAAAATCGTTGACGTTGGCCATAAATCCGCAGGCTTGAAGTGGAACTGGGCTGGTCATGTCTGCCGCATGTCAGACGAGCAGTGGGCAAAACTTACTACTGAGTGGAGCCCACTCAACATCAGTAGACGTCGCGGCAGGCCCAAAAGGAGATGGCGGGACGAATTAGACATCTATGACAAGGATTGGCCGCAAAAAGCTTTACATAGAGAGGAGTGGAAGGCCTTTGCCCTGCAGTGGATCGTGGCTGAAAATGAAAATGAATGAAATGAAATGTTTTTCATAAAAGAAAAATTCTTCTTTACATTTAAACAAGTCACAATCCGGTTAGGCCTTCATGAGGATGACAAACGCCGCAAGAACACGGAATTGGAGATTTCGCACGTGCAACCGTGCAGGAAGTAGGTACTAATAAGAGCCGATGGTTTCTATAGCGAAGACAGTTATCGGGCACGTATAGTCGTATTGATCGTCAACTCATTGTGAAGATCTGGACCATCAGTTAATCCACTACTCAAGTACTCACTTTAAGCATTATGCCTATTTAGTGAAACTCCCGCCTCGTCTCCGGAGTGTTATATCCAAGACATGACTGCACGGTTGGCGCGGTGGTTGGGCAACTGACTGCCGCACAACGTGCCGCAAGGATCAATTCTTTGTGTGATCCACAGATTGTTGTTCCGGGTCTAGGTGTAATGTGTATGTGAACTTGTATGTTTGTAAACGCACGACACAGGAGAAAATCCTAGTGTGGGGCAACGTTTTTAAAAAAAGAATAAAAAACTCTAGTCCTGAATTCCGTTACATACAGAGAGGGCTTAGTAGCGTAACGAGACGCCGTTCGGAGCTCTGATTGGTTGGTTCATTGTAGCCGGCCAATCAGAGCGCCGAACGCGGTTTCGTTTCGATTACTTTAAACGTAAAATAAACTCGTACTAAACCCTCAGCTACGGGTAGTAACCAAACAATTGTTTATATATAAATCGTATGAATGCTTTTTGTATCTTTTCTAACAAAAGATCATAAAGGGCCTCATGTAGATACCACGCGCAACGGCTTGCTCCGAACAAGCGTATTGTATAATAGCCGAATAACATGGTCTTTATGGAAATCTCTTGCGTTTATTAAGTAAAATCACGGGTTACTCACGTGAATATACTCGCGGTCGCCGCGACCGCGCACGCTGCTAATGAGGAAGAACCCCTCTGTGGTTCGAAACTAGTAGTTTCTCAGTATATTCACGTGAGTAACCCGCGATTTTAATTAATTTAGTATGTCTCACGATAGTTATTATAAAAACATCTCTTGCGTTTCTAAATGATGACAATATGGTAATTAAATGCAAGTTTGTAATAACTTAATAAGATTAAATAGAACTGTAATAAGACTGCAAGACACAATCCCTGCACTGCACTGCAGTCTTGAGTATTAGTGTCTCAGCTTTGTGAGATAGATTGAAAAGAGAAAGTATTACATGAAACTGTGATAGTCTAGATTTTAAAATTTTCTGTCCATCAAAGTTGTAAATCTAATTGAGCGTCTCAAATCATCAACTACAGTTGGTGCAATGCCGTAGCCAGTAATTTGATATCATGTAGGTATTGATTAATGAGGTATGGAACATTTTTGACTTACATAATAAAATAAATCTTTTTTTTAAACCTTTTCATGTGGTTTTACAAACTGCGCTCGATCTGTCAGTAGAATAAACATATCGGGCATTGACCCAATAAGTATATGTATTGTGTGCTCAAATCCTACATTGCATAATATTTAAACGAACACACAACTTGTCGAATTCCAGCTTCATACGTTCTCTGTAGTCTCGGCTGTGCGTTGTCTGTCTGTCAATGTCATTCATGCAATAACAGAAGTTTTAGAACAGGTAATATATTGACGTATACCAAAAGAAAGTAAGTTTACTTACCATTCTCTGCAGTTCATTGGCCCCATCTTTGTATTCAGTGCCCTGCCATTTCTTGGCTAAATGTCGGGCCCCATAGATCGAGTCATTAGGACCCCATTGTCTAAATGCCTCTTCACCATCGAAGAAAATGAACATTATGCTTAAACGATTGTTTTTAAACGGCTCCAATTGTTCCGCCATTACTTTGGCCAGGTTTATCATCATAGTACATGGTACTGCAGAGTCCGTTGCACCTAAAACGAATAAAATAAATTATATCTTAGAACCTGATTGGCTGCCAAAGAAAGCCTAGTATTGTTATATCCATAGGTAACCATGTTCCAATAGAAACTGGCCGTATTTTCACACGGGTGAAGCCGCCGGTGGAAAGCTAGTGCTTAACACATATTATATTAACTAAGTAAATACGGACATGCCACGTTCACCTAAAATAAGTCGTGTCTCAGCGGCTGAAGAATTAAAATCGTGGATTCTATTGTATGCTTAGTAAACAGCTAATATTAGTTGAAATACAAAAGTCTAGTGAAGAGTTGCGTTGCGTGCCTTTACAAAAATTTGTTTAGGGCCCTTATGAAGGCTAAAAATTTTGTCACAAGAGAAAAAAAAACTATTCATCATTCAAAATATCATACAATTGTGTGTCAAAATCGGAAAGCTTTCCATGCAACTCCCTCTGCCTAAATTATTACCTACGTTTTTCTAAACTTTCTGTCAACCTTTGAACGCTTGCTTTACGCGGGAAAAATATCGTTTATTTTGACTTTTGTGAAAACTGAAATAAAATAAAAATTGGGAAGTCCGGGGTCCGGCCCTCGTAGTCCCGGGCCCCGTATAATTGATACGGCAGATACGGCGCTATCTACGCCCTTGCTAGTGAACAGAACCAACATCCATAGATATTATAGCAATACAATTATTCCGACTCGCCTTGTAATTCCCTAAAAGCAGAGTTTTAGCTTAGGTCAGGGGTTCCCTTTTCTTTGTGAAACGTCCTTTAGTGAGATGTGATACAGAACATTTGTTCCTAACATTTGCAACAATATTCCCGACGAATGCTGCGAATGAATAATACACAGACGATATGGTTTAACAAGAGATCCTCGCTGATTTCCAACATGTTTAGCAACATCATGATATCATATCGCGTGTAAAGTGTTACCTATTGCATATGAGCTTTTTAGGTGCGCCATAGGCGATATGCGATATAGGCCACTTTAGAATTCTTATTAAATGCGCCAACTTTGGTGAAATCTGCCACCTATAGTACAATTTTTTTCAGTATAGTCACTTAAAGTAAGGTGAAAAGTTTATTGCGAATACTTGGTTCGTCAAAAACTGATATTCTTTTCGAAACTAAAACAGTTAGCCCAGAATTTATGATTCCATAATACTAAAGCAATATTCAGGACAACGTAAGCAATCCTGACGAAAAAAAAAATATAGAAGCAATAACAGTCAAAAGACTGGCACAGGGTGTACTTTTTCATGGATAACCCATAAGTCATTGTGATTTCAAAACTATGACATGGAATTTTTTCTTTAGTTTTCTAATAACTGTTGAAACCTTGCCGATCACCTGGTCCCATTTATCGTCGACTTCAGGGACACTCCGTATAACATGGAAAAAGTCACATTGATACCTGCTAGATTTAGGTTCTGTATGCTTGAAAAGCAGGCCTCCGCGGATCTCTGCACCACCATGACAATGTGAAATCAAAATATTAAAACAAAAATACTTGCCTACAAAAACATGTTCCCTCATATATTTGCTGTCGTAATGGCACGCTAGCACTAAGAATCTGTCAGCATTAGGATTTAATTTGGCTATAATGTTTTTAAAATTCAATGAGCCAAACACAGGTGTGGTGTCTGAGAAAACATTCTCCGTGACCTCCCAACCTAAGTCCCGCATCTGTTGGGATATGTAGTTGCTGACCTTATCATGATTAGGAGTACCCACAACTCTTGGAATCAGGATCTCATTTAAAACTGATTTGAAATGATTCATGTCAGACATTGCCGCTATATCCCTCACATTTTGATCTGACAACTCTTGAGCTTCGTGGAAATTCTGGAAATAAAATAATAATAACATAACATCACGCCTTTTTAATCCCGCAGGGGTAGGCAGAGGTACACATTACAGCACTTAATGTCACTGTACAATTTAACACCCACTTTTAACTATTTATGCTATGAGTCCCAAGTAATAGGGGATAAGCCTTGCCATATACCGGGCACAATTCTAGACTTCATGCTACTACTGAGATTTAAATCCCAGTACTATTTTGCTTGACCCGGGATTCGAACCCGAGATCCCTCGCCTGGCAATCGCACTTGTGACCACTCAGTCAACGAGCCAGCATAAAATAGTAATCTTTACATAAATATAGTTCCCAAAAATAGGTTGTTGCAGTTGTAACATTTTTTAAACAACCTGTATTTATTCAAGTTGAATATTAAATATTAGTGGCATTGTAATAATCACCTAACAACAAAATTCAAAATTTAATGATAAAAATTAAAACACGCAATCACTACAGATATAGATATTACTAATACTTTTATTTATTATATCTATGAACACTATCAACAAGGGTATGAAAAAACCAAGTTAAGTAGTCTTAGTTTTTAGTAGTGAGGTTTTCTTACTTTAATATGGAAGGGGTAAAAAAGCATTACATTTTTAATGTAACACAATGAAAATAAAGTTACGTCCTAATTATAAAGCACGTTGCCTTTGAACATATTGAAAAGTCTGTTTATAAGTTGGACAATACTTGGAAGACATTGAACGAGTAAGTACCTATGAATAAAAGGTTAGGTACTTAAAAATAATATTTTAGCAACACAAACCTACTGACCTTCTCCTCGTAAAATTTTAACTTCTTTTTTGTGTTTACAGATGCAAAACAAAGTACTGCGATCACGAAACACAGCACTGATTTAGACATGTTTTATCACTTTTATAAGATATAAGCCAATTTAATTCTTATATTTAAAACATATGTGCTGATACACTTTAATACTAATACGTGCGCTCGGTCGGTTCACACAGTATCACTGATAAAACTAGATTTTACGAAACTTGTTGCGAGTTTCGTCAACCTTTCACCTCACTCATCTAACAACTGATTTTGACAGTTCGTTACAGGGTTACAGTAACAAAAAATAAATTCCTCCTTTTTTTCTTTTGCACCTCTAATAGGAAACAAAATTAACGCACACACTTTTAAGTTAGTTTATATTACTGGGTTTTAAAACTTTAAACAAAAAAGAAAACATTTGAATAAAAATATTGATAGCTGTTCACTGTTCGTAAAATTATTTCCTACATTTTATAAAGACTTTTTATTATAGAATCCCCAAATGACAATGAGTACGGAAATATTCAACTTGTACAGTTGGTGAAGGTAGGTAAAGAAATAATTGAGTGAAGTGGAGCCGAGGGAAGCGGAGATGAGTTGACAGGGCGATGAATACATTTTGTTTTCCAGCACCGCACAGTTTTACTAAGCTCACAGCTGTGCTGTGGCCCGCTTATCTCCGACAACCATTAAGTATTATAATGTAAATCTTCACAACTCCGCTAATAACACTGTTTCCACTGAATCGGAGCGGATATAAGTATGTGTATTTTAAGCAATATGATTGGTCAATTCTTATCTGTCTGCTCAGCTCAGCTTCTGTGGAAACGCAGCCTTAAGTCCTTTAACTGCATTACGTATCTTTATCAAAAAAAAAAATTACATACATGTTTGTAAATTGTCCTTGCAGGCACGGTGTACAATATGTCAAACATATACAAGTAAAAATAATAATGGCTAGGTACCTACCTAACCTAGTAAAGAAAGTAATGAAATGAATGCAAAAACGCACAAAGTACAAACCTGGCGTCTGGCGTACTTAGATACATAATTATATAATTATAGGTATCTTATAAAAGTTAAACGTCGTGGTGGCCCGGAGGTTTAAGACGCCCGCTTCTCATGCATGAGGGTGCGGGTTCGAAACCTACCAACGACAAGTACCAATGTGACTTTTTCCGAGATATATGTACTTTCTAAGATTATCTAGACAACACTGAGAAACGGTGAAGAAAAACATCGTGAGGAAACCTGGGCTTATAATTTCTAATTATAAGTTTGTGATCGCCAACCCGCATTGAGCAAGCGTGGTGATCAATGCACAAACCTTCTCTCTGTGAGCAAAGGCTCAGCAGTGGACACTTATAGGTTGTTGATGATGATTTAATGATTTTTACCTAGTATTGAAAATAAAATAAGTACCTACCTAGATGTCGAGGCGAGCCTGAAATACACTACTTACTCTATGTTTTCTAGGTACTTTTAATCTTTGACGTCAGTTAGTGACGTCACTCAGAAAGCAGCTAAACTCATCTTAGAATGCAGTGACGTCAGTAGCAATTCAATCAAAGGGAAATGTGATTTTTCTACTACAATAAAACAGTGGTGATGCAATAGGCCAGGCTGTTAGCATTTTACGAACCGTTATTAAAGCATAATCTCATATAGGACCATTTCGCACCTAATGTGTGAGAATACTTAGGTCCCTTTTCACCAACGAAACTGATCACGATTACACCTAACAAAACTGATTTAAAGCGTCTAATCGAATTTAAAGCGTTTAAACGAAGTTACAGCTTCATTTTACATTTCACCGCTACAAACAGAAACTAGTTTACACGGAACTCAGTACAGAAAACACAGAACACAGAACTTAGGTTACTTTAAACTTAGGTTACGTGTAACTGAGTTTTTACAGAGCTTGGTGAAAAGGGACCTTAGTGTTTTTATTTTTTTAATTACCTGGTACGCGGTAACGTCCGATATTGTATATTTTTCTTTACTAAATCTTTGTATACCTACATCTATAGGAAAAACCAGGAAAAACTCTTCCGTGAAGACGTTGTATCTAATGCCACCACAGTATTGTTTATATTTAAGTTCATATTATTAATGTACTAGGTGTGCCTGTAATAATAAAATAAATGTTGCTTTGTAGTTAAGTTAGTTTTCACAAAAATTTAAACGACAAATCAAAATAATTAGGTAAATATTTCTAATTGCAGTACTTAAGTACTTACGTGTATTGCATTATAGGATTATCGTTTAGACAGTAGTTCCAGTTCCGAGGTAGGTATAAAGTTGTAGGGCCCCCCATCATTAAAACGAAAAGTACCTACTTGTAATAATGTTTGGGAATTTTTTTTTAAACGTTGCCCCACATTCGGATTTTCTCCGTGGGTGCGTTTACAAACATACAAGTTCACATACACAATGACACCCAGACCCGAAACAACAATTTTTGGATCACAAAAAAAATTGTTCCGTGCGGGAATCGAACCCGCGACACGTTGCACGGCAGCCGGTTGCCCAGCAATTGTTTGTGTAATCCTTACTAATATTATAAATCAGAAAGTGAGTTTGTTTGTTTGTTCCACTTTCACGCCGTAACTACTAAACCGATTGCTTTGAAATTTTGCAGACGTAAAGTTAGAAGTCCGGATTAAATAATAGGGTACTTTTTATCCCGGAAAAAATTTATATTCCCGAGGGAAAACAAAAGTATTGGTATAGATGGCGCTGTGTGTATTGGTATATTATGTCGCATTGGCTTTTTATCCTTTTGTGACGCGAGCGAAGCCGCGGGTAAAAGCTAGTTTAATATAAGTGGGTTATGTATGTATGTTATTGGACTTCAGGTTCGTTTACTATTTATAATTAAGATTGTTGTGTACGATTTCAATCTGTTGTCTGTATATGTACTTATGTAAAATAAATAAATGTTGTTACACTGCACTTCTTTTTAATGAGGGGTCTCATTTAAGTTTGCTTCCCCGCGCTACTGACGGGTTTAGTCCGCTATTAAACATTGCCGATGGCAATTGATAAAGTAGCTAAAATATTTGATTAATTTCAATAAAATTATAAGTAAGAACGTGTAGTCGTTTTTATTTCCAAATTAGAGAGGGTCAGAGGCGCGACACAAATTAGATATGAAATGGAATGGAGAAGTAATGTTACCCTCTATGGGTGGTAAATGGTAGGTACGTACTGGTACCTAATGGGCCCTTATACTCAGTGGTATTTCTGCTAACTTAGTGTAATTACTGTACTTAGGTTCACACACACACGAGTAACCTTTAGACACTATCACCGAAAGTTTTTCTATTTTGTTTTATGAACCGATACCTTTAATTACATAACATAACACCACGCCTTTTATTCCTGAAGGGGTAGGCAGAGGTACACACACACACACAAGTGACACCCACTTTTCACTATTTATGTTATGAGTCCCATGTAATAGGGGGTGAGCCTATTGCCATATACCGGGCAAATTTCCAGACTCCGTGCTACTACTGAGATTTTTTTCTATAAAAACCCAGTAATTCTTTGCCCGATCCGGGAAACGAACCCAAGGCCCCTTGCCCTGCAGTCGCACTTGCGACCATTCGGCCAACGAGGCAGTCTCACTGTCGAGGTGATCACCAAGATTGCGATTTGACCTCGTTAGGCCTCTTTGAAATCGGATGTGTATGCGAATAAGAACAAGCATTTATCTATTGCAGCCTCTAAACGAACTATTTACTTATTTATAGAAAAAATTTTTTGTGTTGTTTTTTTTTAAGGAGGGAAAATCATCGAATGACTGCTCCCGCCTGAGAGTGTCAGACTCTTACTGACTAAAAACCACCCCGTTCGTTCCTTATCCTGCACGTCGAGCCGGAGCCCCGGTTATCCGTTAGGTTCTTCGCGACTCAGAATCGGCATCGACCCTATTGGGGCCCGTCTGTGGTGGTCTGATGGCTCTTTGAGGCGCGCGCGGAACGCGACGCGCCGTACGCTCGGGTCTGTTTCTGGTCGGACGGGGAGCCACCCGTGCTCGCCGTCCGCAGGCCCGCGCTTACGGTGGCCGGAGATCGTCCCGCGATCCCCGACGCCCGGTGTATCCTTCGCGATGGCTGGGTTGCGAGGAGGCAGCGCTTCGCTGCCTCACGCGTCCCGCCTCCTCCTTAGCTAGCATGACTGCTTCGCAAAAGGAGGAGACGGCATCCCAGTCCCCCTCGTTCTGCATCATGGCCTGCACTAGGCCCGGACGCGAGAGGTCGCCATCATTTATAGAACATGGAAGACTTACACAGCTAAAAACAATATGTAGGTATTGATCGACGCATGCCCTCGATAAAATGCTTTCTGATTTATTTTATTTCAGATTCGGATACATACCTAATGGAAATCGCGCTGGAAATTTCAACGATAATTAAGACATACATGTTAGATAGGTACCTAATACGGATAATACTTCGATACTACACGCTCTGAAACCTAGACCTCAATATGAGTTGATAAATATCAAACGCCAATATGTCCATAGTAAGTGTTATTTCTAAGATTTTAAGGTTTATTTTACCTTTGTTTGACAAAGACTACTCTTCTTAGAAATAATGTTGTCAACACCTGCAAATGAAAATACTATGATATCTCCTTTTCACTTACTATGGACATATTGGCGTTTGATATTTATCAACTTATCAATTTATCAAATATTTTTCTAAGTACTAACATTCTATAGCAATACATAATTGTTTCACTCGTTTAAATTCAAAGACGGGAAGCGCCTGATGAAGTATCCATTATTTATAATATCGTATTGATCGGTGAGAATACGTCGCGAATCAAAGGGCGGATGTGTCTCGCGGTGGGATGGACCCTAACCATAAATATTATCAGAGTTTATATTTCTGCTTGCAGTGTGACTGAGGCTGAGTTCGTGACTATACAATTCTTTGTTCGATGTATTGTTAGCGATAATTTACCAGTGAATAGACTGAAACAATAGGAATTTTTATACTACTACTATTGTTGGCTCCCGATCGATATAATATTTGCGCTCTCTCAGTCTATTACGAGTGACTAACAATTTGAATGCGTGTAGATATTCTCCAATCTTCGCAAACAATACCAGGAACAGTGCCAAGGAGAATTTTAAACGGAAAATCCCAATAACCTTTTGATTACAACCAAACTAAAAGTCTGACACCATTATCAAACTACCGCACTCAAATGTTTGAACTGTAACATTTGAAAATACAGCGTAGTCTCATTCCTTTTAGTTCCTGAACCTAGATCTAGTTACTGACACTAGCGGTAGCTGGTTTAGGTAGGTAGGTAGAGACGTATTTCTTAATAAATTTTATTCACACACTTACAACTTAATAAGTACAATATGTCATGAGCTACAACAATAGTTAAATATTACACTGTAAATAGCACTTTCTTTTGTTGTTATTAACTCGGTAACTTCGTATTAATGTCGATTGTCATACCAGCCTATCATCAGCCCTCTGCAATGAAAACGAAGTTCCCAGAACGAAAGTGAAACTGTAGCCATCCACTTGATTAGTAGTTTTTCTGTTTCATAATTCTAGCATAACCTTTAAACTAAGAATTTGAATGGAACTTGTATACTGCAAGGTAACTAAAGGTAAAGTTTACTCCAGAAGGGCTGACAGACATTTTTAGTTCACTATTATGTCGAAAGAACAAATGTTCACGCGCAGCTCCGTAAATACAGCCGCCTACTACAACGCTCCATCATCAGTGTTCCTGCCTTTTACTTCGTATTGCTTAGTCCGTCGTTATGCCAATTTTAATGATACCTATTAATAACATGATTTTTCAATTGCTTGCGGAGTTTATTGTCATATCCGACACTGCGCCTGAGTCGATATTGAGTCACATGTAACTGCGTGTCTCCTGCAATCCTTATACGCATGGACTTCCGCGGATAAATGCGACTTGAAAACACAACCTCACCCGTACCACAGAAAACCTCAATGGAACTATAGTCGACAAAAATACGCCAGTGTATATGTGTGACGGGTAACCAGTCTGCTCGCCTGACGCCGTCCACTCCGCCGCGGTCCACGCTCACGTAGCCTCGCTCTGATGAGAAGGCAATGGTGTACTGCCGCTCCCCGCTCCACTCTAGTATGATTGCAGCGTCGTACATCACTGTACTAGAGTTCACAAGCATTTCGAAAGCTCTTGATCCCGCGTAGAATGCCTCCCCTGGACTGTACCAAGCGTCCTCTAGCACCTCGGCACGCAACTCGACTATTTCTCTAACCGGCGTCATCAGAAGTTTGCCTTGAAATGTCAGTTTTAGTTCTCTCACTAAGGTCAGCATGCTAGCCCAGCCGTCATTCGATTCTTCGAACTCACTTTCCCACATGCCCAACCAGGCGACGAGCAGTCGGCGTCCATCGACAGACTGCATCGTCTTGGCCGCATAAAAGTCGTGTCCGTAGTCAAGTTCATTGAATGTCGCTGTAGATATTTCAAGGTCTTCAAACTGCCCGGTTTGGTAGTTGAAATTTCCAATGACGTATCCCGTCTGATAAAGGTTCCGAAAACGATGGCCGTCGCCTTGAATACCTTGCACTGATAGTATAAGAACAGTGAATCCATCAATTTCAAAAAAGTCTGGGCTCTCCCACATGTACCCCATATCTCCATACGATTTTGCTATGGTGCCGTTGAGCTTCCAGTTAAACAAATCAGCCGACGTGTACAATAATAAGTATGCTTCTTGTAATCTTGAAGTTCCAATCAGCATGAACCATGAGTTTCTAAACCTCCACACTTTAGGATTTCGAAAGTCTGCGTTGCCAAAGGGGCCGTCTCGTATTATGGGGTTGTATAAATACTTCTGAAAGATAATACCGTCAGCACTAATTGCGACATTTTGCGTTTGAAAAGTCTTGTTATTGGATAGCACGTGGCCCGTGTAGAACAGTGTTAAATAGCTGTTGTGAATGACCGCCGACCCGGAGAGACAGCCGTGCTTGTCGTAGTGGTCCTTGGGCACCAGCGCGGGTGGGTAAAACGCCCAGTCGACGAGGTTATCACTGATCACATGGCCCCAATGGATCGGACCCCACGCGCCGTTGTACGGGTGGTACTGGTAGAATATGTGGTACTGTCGCTTGAAGAATATAAATCCGTTTGGATCGTTGAGCCAGCCCACGGGCGCCGAGATGTGGTACATAGGCCGGTACTTCTTCTTCAGAAGATATCTTTTCTGCTGGATAAAGTCCTCGATGTGCGCTAAGTCCTGTGCGAGCTCGGCAGTGACGACGCAAAGCCACACTGCCAGTACGAACACTTCCATCTCAGAAGGCAGCGGCTCAGATACTAAAGACTAAATAAAACTATCCGGCCGTGATGACTCAAAGACGAAAGTCACAATAGTATAATGTTTGTAAACCAATAGTTCAATAATGCTGGGATTACACAACCACTTATTCTAGTAAGGGACAAATTGTAAACAATTACGTTATTTCAATTTAGATCATCTTTAATAAATGATACATAATAAACTACCTACTTATTTTACTACAATTTATAATAGTGGTAGGTATTTGTTTTCTTTGATGAATTAATCTCATTAGTTTCAGGACTTGCCCCGTCGCATTGTCGCAGCATTTTTCTCACATCTCTTATACTTACAATATGAAATTAAAATAATGTTTCAAGGAGATTGTAAAATATAACAAATTTTACGGGTCGAGTTCCATCAACAACAGCTCGTTTGAAATCCAACCCATACCATTATTACCGTAAGACGACACCCGCAACACCAGAGGAGAGGGTTAACAACTGCGTTGTCGGTTTTTTGGGGATTGAGGCAATAGAAAGGGGGATTGGGCGTTCTGTAACGTTACCCACACGGAAACAACGCAAGCGTGAGTTCACGGTTTCTTTTGTGATATTGTAGTTTTAGTCGAGCCAGCGAGTCTGAGAAACACCCATTAACTCGTCGAGTACCGTATTTATAGACATAGGTTGCGGTCACCAGTGACCGCTTGGTGTTTGACAGTTTAAGTACGTTACGAGTGCCCTATGTGCCAACTAATTGCCGGCCTAATGAAAATTTAGATATAGGTATTAATCTAAGCACTTAATAATAATAAACCTACCTACTTGTTGTGGGGATCGAACGAACATCTCAATCACAGGAGCATAGCTTGCGATCTCACCATGAAAACCGATCGTACTGGAATCTTAAACATGTCATTATAAAATTATTGTTTCTATTGTTTTCTGGTTTACCTCTCTCTCGTTTTTCCCAGATTGTTGTCATTTCTGATCTCATACTGTATTACTTAAATATTGATATCCATAGGAATGTCCAGTAGGCTCGATTGTTTAATACGACTATTGAAGATTATTAATATTATTATTATCTACCTACAACAAACTACTCAATTCCCATCCTACGCAGTCTACACACGGCATTTGACGACAGTAAAAACAACCTAGACAACCACAATGTCGCGGAGAACCTAGCGGGTTACCGGGGCTCCGGCTCGAAGTGCAGGAGAAGGAACGGAGTGGTTTTTAGTCAGTAAGAGTCACTCAACACTCCCGCCCGCCTCACCCAGGCGGGAGAAGTCATTCGATGATTTTCCCCCCTTAAAAAAAAAGACAAACACAATATCTTCGAAACAAATTCGTGCCGGATTAAACAATTTGTTTTCCCTGTCATACGGTTGGGTAAAAGATAATTGCGCATCCGGTAAACGTGTTATGCAGGCTACACACCTAACGATAATCGTTACGATAAACTGAGGCCTTATAGTACCAGTTTGGTTACTTAACCCTTCAACTGGCAGGCCGCTAAAGGCTTAAAGGCGATCCTCCCCGCGGGGTGTCAGCACCGCGCAGACGGGGTTACATTTATTAAGTTACATTATTGAGGCCCCAAAATTGGGAACATTCGTGAGCAGACATATTATGTCTACCTGCCAGTTTTTTTTAAAGGGACAAGCCCGCCACAACTTCCTATAACCGCTACAACTCCTGTAAGCCAGGATCTACATACAGTAGATACAACCATGAAAACACCGGAACACTAAAGTCCGGCGCGTCCCGAGGACATAAGTCTTGGTTCCCACAACGAAGTGAATCAGAAGATATTATAAGAGGAGAAGAAAAAAACGATAGTTTCCACTTCCTGTCAGTTACGGAACTTTTTTGTAATCGATTGGCCTGCTCCAGTGAACCAACCTATCAGAGCGCAAAAAAGAGTTAAATCGTACCTCCATACAGCTTACCCACCTTACGATTTAACTGTACACTTGTACAGTCCGACTGTACAACTGAAACTGTCGATTATCGTAAGGTCTGTAGCGTGCAGTACGGGTTCGGCGAAAAACGAACTCATAGGACTCCTAATAGAACTTAAGAGGGTCAAAGAGTTTCTTTTTACGTTTGCGCGATCGAAACGTTACCACGCGGAATAATCTGCTGGTGGCGCTAGAGTTTTTCAGAAAACTAAACTTTAATCGCACCTCACTGCGATATCCGAAATGACTTTGCAAATTAACTTTCATCCCGATACGGAGTCGCGGAAGGCCCAACGGGTTGCCTGGGCTCCGGCTCGAAGAGTAGGAGTACGAACGGGGTAGTGCACAGAAATATTTTATTATATCTGTGGGCTAGTGTTTAGTCAGTAAGAGTCTGACACTCCCTCTTATTTAACCCAAGGCGGGAGAAGTTATTGGATGATGTTCACCGCAATGAAAAAAAACGAATACCGATACTTCCATAACATTCAATGTGTTATACATTATACAATTGCGAAAAAATAAATATATCTCGGTAAATATCACTGTGCGGGCAGGTTTTTTCCTACTTTTTTTGTACGATTTAAAGACGTCAAAAATAATAAATCATTAACAATTTACAGTCCTATGGATTACTGATTAACCAATAGGAACGTAGATTTAGGATAAGGCAAATACCAAACAATAGATTCGGTGTATAGAAGATATATTTGTCAAACAATAACGATACAATAACATAAAAGCAACAAAAGTAATACTTATATTTATTCTCTAATGGTTTATTTATTCATAATTGTGTTGTTTCACTTAAATGAGATTGCTAAACATCGACGTCAATAAACGTTTTATTAAAATATTTTATATACAATACCTTCAAAATATTTTTATCGAAACATGAACAATGATGAGCATAACACGATCAGCACCCCGCGACAATCCCATGAACTATGCGTTACATCTACATATTTAAGTAGAAATCTACACGCTTGTCTGGTGAGTTAGAGATCGTATTAAGATAATGGGACCTACCGTATTTTAGCGGACTAGGTGCCGCTAGTGTCAAACTCGTTACATATAGTTATGTTATTCGTCCAATAAAGGATTGCCGAGTGTCCATTGGACGTTTTATATTTGACAGCTGCTGTGATTGGACAAAAAATCCTCTTTCTACATTTACGCCATCCGGTGAGAAAAATACGTTAGACCCCATTGGTGAAAATATGAGTATCATATTAATTATTAGCTTTAGAAGGTTCAGGTTCTAAAGACGTCTTTGAACTACTGTAGGATTGTTAACTGGTGATATCAATGTATTGAGCAAAATCGAGTTCCATAGATTAGATTCAGGAATGTATTCGAGACTGAAACTTAAAACTAATGGTTTAGCTTATTGCTACATAATATCTGATTGTAGCCATAGTCATCCCACATCGGATTCTTTGCAAGTTGAAAACTGCCAGAAGTATCTGCAGTTTATGTTGGTTGTACCATCAGGTGTAATTAGCATGTCACGACTTAGCTGTAGAAGGAGACTAGCGGCTAGAGCGCGAGCGTGCGTGCGAGGTCGGCCCAGAGCTGAGCTCGCGCGGCGTGCGCGGCAGCGCGGCGGCCCGCCAGCCCGCCCAGCGAGCCCCGCGCCGCGCACACGTACGCGCGCGCCACGCGGCCCTCCTGCAACACAAACGACATCTCAACAACTCACAGTTAGGTCCTTATTTATCCTTCCGAGGCACGTCGCGTCCTGAAAATATATGATTTCTACCGTTAAGCAATAACAGTGACCTGCAGAGCAGCGCGCAAAGCGTAGCGGTGTCGCAGATGCAGCGCGCGCGGCGCGGCCGGTGCGGCGGCGGCGGCCGCGCGCTCCCCGTGCAGGCCGCGCGACAGGCGCGCGCACAGCGCACTGTACGCGCCGCACGCGCGCGCAGCAGCAGCGCCTCGTCGCGCCGCACGCGTCGCGGCCCGCCGCGCCGCGCACAGCAGCAGCGCGGCCGCGGCCTCGTCGTCCCACGCCGGCTCCGGCTCGCGGCCCGCCGCGCCCGCCGCCCTACACACACACACACAGTCACGCGCGCCCAGCAGCAGCGCGGCCGCGGCCTCGTCGTCCCACGCCGGCTCCGGCTCGCGGCCCGCCGCGCCCGCCGCCCTACACACACACACAGTCACGCGCGCCCAGCAGCAGCGCGGCCGCGGCCTCGTCGTCCCACGCCGGCTCCGGCTCGCGGCCCGCCGCGCCCGCCGCCCTACACACACACACAGTCACGCGCGCCCAGCAGCAGCGCGGCCGCGGCCTCGTCGTCCCACGCCGGCTCCGGCTCGCGGCCCGCCGCGCCCGCCGCCCTACACACACACACAGTCACGCGCGCCCAGCAGCAGCGCGGCCGCGGCCTCGTCGTCCCACGCCGGCTCCGGCTCGCGGCCCGCCGCGCCCGCCGCCCTACACACACACACAGTCACGCGCGCCCAGCAGCAGCGCGGCCGCGGCCTCGTCGTCCCACGCCGGCTCCGGCTCGCGGCCCGCCGCGCCCGCCGCCCTACACACACACACAGTCACGCGCGCCCAGCAGCAGCGCGGCCGCGGCCTCGTCGTCCCACGCCGGCTCCGGCTCGCGGCCCGCCGCGCCCGCCGCCCTACACACACACACAGTCACGCGCGCCCAGCAGCAGCGCGGCCGCGGCCTCGTCGTCCCACGCCGGCTCCGGCTCGCGGCCCGCCGCGCCCGCCGCCCTACACACACACACAGTCACGCGCGCCCAGCAGCAGCGCGGCCGCGGCCTCGTCGTCCCACGCCGGCTCCGGCTCGCGGCCCGCCGCGCCCGCCGCCCTACACACACACACAGTCACGCGCGCCCAGCAGCAGCGCGGCCGCGGCCTCGTCGTCCCACGCCGGCTCCGGCTCGCGGCCCGCCGCGCCCGCCGCCCTACAACACACACAGTCACGCGCGCCCAGCAGCAGCGCGGCCGCGGCCTCGTCGTCCCACGCCGGCTCCGGCTCGCGGCCCGCCGCGCCCGCCGCCCTACACACACACACAGTCACGCGCGCCCAGCAGCAGCGCGGCCGCGGCCTCGTCGTCCACGCCGGCTCCGGCTCGCGGCCCGCCGCGCCCGCCGCCCTACACACACACACAGTCACGCGCGCCCAGCAGCAGCGCGGCCGCGGCCTCGTCGTCCCACGCCGGCTCCGGCTCGCGGCCCGCCGCGCCCGCCGCCCTACACACACACAGTCACGCGCGCCCAGCAGCAGCGCGGCCGCGGCCTCGTCGTCCCACGCCGGCTCCGGCTCGCGGCCCGCCGCGCCCGCCGCCCTACACACACACACAGTCACGCGCGCCAGCAGCAGCGCGGCCGCGGCCTCGTCGTCCCACGCCGGCTCCGGCTCGCGGCCCGCCGCGCCCGCCGCCCTACACACACACACAGTCACGCGCGCCCAGCAGCAGCGCGGCCGCGGCCTCGTCGTCCCACGCCGGCTCCGGCTCGCGGCCCGCCGCCCTACACACACACACACACACACACACAGTCACGCGCGCCCGCCGCAGACACGTACTGCGCGGCGGCGGCCAGTTGCGGGTCGGCACCGGATCCGGCGGCCGCGCCCAGCCCGCTCAGCGCCGCGCCCAGCTCCCGCATGTCACTCCTCTCGGCTTCACATCTTTCTTGCACTATAACAAACCACACAAATATAATAGACTCCCTGCATATCTAATCTAAATATACAGGATTTGGATTCGACTCCCGGTTCAGGCAAAATTGGGTATGGATCTTTCGGTTAACATAAAAAAACAGTGATATCACGGAGTCTGAAATTGTACACACTCAAACTCATAGTCATAATATAACGGATGAAATCTGAAAAGTGGATTTTAAATATGTACTTTCATGATAAAATGAAGCCCTAGAATAGAAGCCCCGAACAGTGGAAAAAGTGCTAGGATATTATACAATGAAATTATAAAGGTACCTTTTTCAAATATTTGCGTGAGCCTGGCGAGGGCGAGTTGTGCCAGTTGCAGCGGTTCCTGCTCGCTCTCGAACGCGGCCTGCAACTCTTGTGTCGTCACCTCGCTCTGCAACAATACATGTCACGTAACTCATGTATACATACGGAACATACTATGCTGTAGGCATACCGGGCAGACGCGCTCTGCTCGTTTGCTACTTCCAGACTAGAGTAACGACTGTCAGAGATGTTGTACCACAAACTGTACACCTACGAGCCTTTTCCTCATTTCTACAATCTACCATGCTTCGGGCGACTACTTAGTGAAAAATGTAATTTACCACTCTATACGTACTAAATTACTAAATCGTTTGTTAGTGTATATAAGCCTCGGTTCAGTGGTCGACGTTTGATCGCAGAGCATACTCGACCGATCTTCCATCCTGGCTTATCAGTACTACTAACATAACACAGGCTGACGATAACTAATTGTGACATAAAAATAATATTATTAATACAACAAACATAGCTGTTTCCAGCTTATCTCTTCAAAAACTATAGTCCTCGCACATAATTATGAACAAGCGCTTAAAAATGAATTTATTTTTAACAATACATATCTACATAATTAGATAATTACATACCACCCACTAATTGACTGTCAGAGAACGTCTTCGTGTGCAATAATGTTTTTAAGTTAATATGTAAATATGACCAAAATGCGACACTGTTCTAGTCATTTTTGATATTCTCTAGATTAAAGCAAAACATTTTACGATTGATTATTATTTAAACCAAAATACGTGGGTGAACTTTAAGTCAAAAAGAAGAAGACCAAATGTGGGAGAGCCATGCTTCGGCACGATTGGGCCGGCTCGACCGGAGTGATCACGGCCTTGCAGAAAACCGACGTGTAACAAACGCTTGCGTTTAATTTCGTCGTGTGAGTGAGGTTACCGGAGGCCCTATTACCCCCATCCCTAGTCCCCGTCTCCCGAATCCCCGAATCCTCCACAATCCTAAAATACCCAATTCCCAAAAGGCCGGTAACGCACTTGTAACGTCTTGGTGTTTCGAGTGTCCAGGTGATCCGTCTGCTTGTTTACCGGCTTATGCTATAAAAAAAAAGTACCTGTCAAATAATTATATTTTATAATGATGTTGCTACTTACGGATACAGAACTGTGATCCTGTGCTTTGTATGCATGAAACAATATGTACCATTAAAATAAATATCAAAATACTTTTACAAACTACGTTTAAATAAGAGCGTCTTCCCCTCTTTTTTGAAGTTGGTTCAATAATTAGTCGGAACCTCATCATGCTCGAACATGCCAATTCAACGAGATAATCCTATGTGACAACATACCGAAAACGAAAACCATATTATTAATTATATATAACTAAGAGAACTTCACATAGTATCAAATCAATTAAATGGTACCATTTCAGCACTAAATACATCACATGACTTACAATCATAAGACACATACATTATATTGTGTTTATATCGGATAAGTTTAGTACATAAGATCATAATTGTAAGTAAGAAGCGAGTCACAAGTTGAATCCGACTTTGACTCATTACAATTTCCCCACCTCTCAATGTACTTTTGCTTATCTCTCTAACTACCACACACCAATGTAGGGAGGATGTTCAGCTTCCAAGTAAATGGCATAAAATGTTACCAATTAATTTACCCAACTTTATACTTATGGGATTAAGTTGATTTATTCAATTCATTGTTATTACTGGTTGGTTTGTTTTCAATATGAAGTCAATGCACATAAATTATGTTTTATGTAATATTAGCGACCCGCCCCGGCTTCGCACGGGTGCAATATATACATACAAACCTTCCTTAAGAATCACTCTATCTATTAAAAAAAACCGCATCAAAATCCGTTGCGTAGTTTTAAAGATCTAAGCATACATACGGACATACAGCGAAAGCGACTTTGTTTTATACTATGTATTGATATTGATGGAACATGATGTAGGTAATATGGAAATACTTTACCAGATTATCTTCCTGAGTGCCAGCTAGAATAAATTCATCATGTTTGGGTTTCTCCAGTCGTAATGTGCTTTCACAGAGAAACACCCTGAGGTCAGCATCATGCGCCAGAACAGGGTGCCGCGCGACCAGAGTCAGCCAGCGCTGCAGAGCGGCGCGGCGCCGCAACAAGAAATTTGAGCTGCCTCCCCCAACTACCACACGCTTTGGTGGCAGTCGACATATGGCACTACAAATATTAATTATATTGTTCAAAATCCCAAAATAGATAGATATTCCTATATAGATAAAAAAAAATCATGTCATTTGTAGTTACTCACCGATATGGATACTTGGCATACAAGATGTCATATAGCTGAACGAAATCATTGTATCTTCGTGATACTGTAGTACCATGTCTTCTAGAACTGACGTAGTACTCACAATGCTTCAGTATGAGACCTTTACGTTCTGGTACGAGCTCTACACTTATAACATCTGTTGCTTCCAATTCTTCAAATGTCACCTCCTCGGTCACCACTGACATAATACACTCTGTAATGTAAAATTTATACCATCCAAAAATTGTTTATGCAATATATCCAGAGGAATTTATGAAGATTGACACAGGTCAATCTTCATATTGTACAAGTATTGTACAATAGGATGTAAACCACAGGGTTTTTATTGTATAAGGTATTCCTTGTACTTACAACAAAAATAAGTTGATTATTTATTGCATATGCGATAATATAGGTTTAAAAAAACATTATTTTAGTTCTAAACAAATACCTTTTGTATGACGGCTTCTTTTGGACAAACTATTATCTTAAACGAGGTACCAAGTTAGTTTTTACTAAAATGTTTGCAAGCAACAGGTCATCCGGTGTATCAATCTCTAAACTTTCTGAGCCACTAACTTCTATCACCGTACAACTAAAAATAAAATACAATACAAGTAATTAGACAACTAGTATTTCATACACATCAGCTATAATAACTTGTTAAAAAATCGCAATAAAACAAACTATTTACGATAAAGTTTTATACGTGAGATGACGTCCATCCCACAACATGTCAAATGTCAAGTTGACAGAAGCAACATCAGCAATCAAGATTGTCACGTTAACAGTGTCAGTGTCAGAAAGGTGCATGGGGAGGGTGCATAGATGTATAATAGAGAAGGTGTCAGAAGGCTATTCCGTGACGAGGGGAAACCTTCAAAATACGCCTAGAGATTAGATTTAATGTGGGGAGAAAGACTAGGGAGTGTGTGACTTTTACCCCACTAAAACCACCCCGGTGGCCACCCTCAACACCTATAAGGAGCATTAAATCCTTTACTCGGAACACCCACGCCACGGTGCAATGACTTTTTCGGCACATCCCTAGAGACTAGTGTCAGAGGGGCCTACCTGTATGAGTTCCTTCCACGGTAGTCCGCGAAATTTTTTTTTCATAATATTAAGCAACAATACACCATTAAATGGTCCTTAATTATACGTAAATTACTATGTAAATACTGTTTATTTGGGCCACGCTGCGCGCTTTCAAAGAAACATAGACATTTTTATTTTACATGAAAGCACTTACTTATTATTTTGGAATTTTCCCGATTCTAAAAGCCATCTCCTTGTGATGTAAAAAGCTCCTGATTCCAAATATTCACCACCCCAATCTTGTCTACGCATTCGCGCATCAACATTAAAGTTTATAGGAGTCAATTTTCCATTGTTAAATCGCCAACGAAGTTTATAACTTCTAAAAATAGAAATACCTAAATAATTGTTACATAACATTACTAATTATTACTCATTTACCTATTTAGGTAGGTATTGCTTTTGAGTAAGTAGTTACGGTAGTTACACCTACTTAACACTTACCTTGTTACAGAAAATACACAATCGAAAGGAACAGGGCGCGATATTATTTCAAAAGCTCTTTTAAGCTGTATCGGCTGTGTAAAAGGTGAAGTTACTTGCAGCAATATTAATAGTTCCACTTTAGGTCGGGATAACAAAAATTCGCGAGCACCCCAGATCGATGGCGCCCAATCAGTAGCAGTTACAAAACTACGACGAAATACTGTGACATTGTCTAAAACAAAATATATAAAAGCAAGTAGTGATCATCCTTCCGTCCAATGCATATTATAAACGAGATGGCAATGTACCAACCTCTAATACTTTCAAGAGCAATAATTGGGTTGTCTGTGGAAACTGTTATGTCATAGAATCCAGCGGCTTTAGCAGCATGTATGGTGCGCTTCAGCAAACTTTTATCGCCCACCTTCTGTAAATTTTTTAGACGCACGCCTTTTGAGCCACCTCTTGCGAGAATAAGAACTGCTACTTCGGCACTGTAGTATTGTAGGCTAAAAAAATTTAAGGATATGTAAGTAGCTATTTCTAAAAGAAAGCACAAACAGTTGAAATTAACAAAATTAGGCAGCAGGTATTAATGAACCGATTCCAACTGTTTCCAAAAAAAAGTTGAAAGTCCCACTTTAGTCTACAATAAATTGATACACTGTTAGGTAACACCGATACCTATTAAAGTTCTTTTTTTACCTATTATAGTTTCTTACTATTAACTGATCTAAAATTATCAGAAAAAAATAATGCACTTTTCCCCTCGCGACCCAAAAACCCAGTTTTTTAAAAACACTTCGAAGTAGGATAAACTTATATTGTTATAGATTCCTATGTACTTAAACTAAATTCTTAGATACTTCTTCAATACTTACATTGTTGTTATAATGAACACTTTAATCCACATTTTTACTCACAAAATATTGATTATCACGTTCGTTGCCAGACATAATGTTTAGGTCGAAGGCAAACAATTTTTAAAAGTATAAGGACTCTTAGTAGTGATAGTAGGTAACCTTTGATACAAATGTCTGTCAATTGTGTGCTGAGATAAGCTAAGGAAGTTTCCAATTGGGTCTGACCAATCACTGCGCCAACCGCGCCTACGCCACGCAATGGCTTGTGGTTGTTTTCGGTTCATTTGTTTGGTCACGTTGACGTAGCACTCGGTCACCAGTGAAATTTTGAACCCCAGTCCCCATTTAGCAATACATATTGGCAATACTGCAATAGGCTCAGGCCCATAGATTTATTCTACGGGAACGCGGGCGAAGGTCTTCTGCTCATTTGCTGGCTTGTCCCATACAAAAAAAGACATTTTTTAAACTTTGCTCTACTCTAGGAATTTCTCCTGTGTCGTGGGTGGGTTTACAACCATACAATATCACCTACACATGACACCCAGACCCGGAACAACAATTTGTGAATCACACAAAGAGTTGCTCCATGCGGGAATCGAATCCGCTATACGTTGCGCGGCAGCCGGCTGCCCAGCCACCGCGCCAACCGTGCAGTCGATCGATAAACATCAAGAAAGAAATAAAATAAAAACACGAATGTTTTAGTAATGGAATTTATGTTTAGGTACATTTTTACATTCATTAAAATCAATAAAATAATAAGTACCTACTTATAGGTATAGCGATGGAAATTAATAACCTACATACATAATATAAGCAACCAATGAATTTCGCATTCAAAGAGGTCCGTGTACATGTGTAATAGATTTTGAAATTACAATAAACTGAATGAACTTATCCTGAAATATGACAACAAGTATTTTTAAGTACCTATTATAATATAACAGAGCTGCCTAATAATATGTATTTTATTAAAAAAACTAGCTTTTACCCGCGGCTTCGCTCGCGTCACAAAAGGATAAACAGTAGCCTATGTGACATATACCAATACACACAGCGCCATCTATACCAATAATTTCGTTTTCCCTCGAGAATATCAAATTTTTCCGCGATAAAAAGTACCCTATTATTTAATCCAGAATTCTAACTTCACGTCTGCAAAAATTCAAAGCAATCGGTTTAGTAGTTACGACGTGAAAGTGGAACAAACAAACAAACTCACATTCCGATTTATAATATTAGTAAGGAAGGATTTTTACGCATAGGCCCTGCTGTTTGTAAGTTGTCATTATTTTTAACATAGATGGGTACACGGTTATTAATTAGGTAAGTACGTTAATAAAATTACAAGACGTACACTGAAATAAAAATGAAGTGAGTACCTACATAGGTATCATAAGAATCAGCAAAGTTGTCGGTCGACCATTGTTAGGCGATATTCGCTTGCACTCGACACGAGCAACTACAGTTTCTAGGTGATTCTGTAAGATGTCAATTCGAACTTTGGAAGTGACCTCAATCACGGTTCTCTATATCATTGGCGAGATTATTCTCATCTCGACCAATGACTTATAACTCCACTCCACTCCGAGAGTTCGAATTGACATCAAATGCTACATATACACTCTCGCGCGAGTCGGGACGAGGCCGAGATACATTGACGTTATTATAGATGAGTTGTAACCCTTCTCGCATTATAAGACTGTAATGTACCTCAACCTCGTGTCCGCTCGCGCGAGAGTGTGAATGTAGCATTACAGAATAGTCTAGCTGCACAGGGAAAACAGGCGTAGCTGCACAGCATTTTGTTTAAAAAGAGTAGGTACTACCATAAACTTGGCCGATAGGACTTGTAGTCTAACATGACAATTAGTGAAAAAGGTAACAATCTAGTTACTTTGATTATATAATGTCTAGATGCAAAAATTTTGCAGTGAACTGTTTACTGCAATCAATTGCAATTTGCAATGCACTTTCCCGTCAAGTAGTACCAATCGTGTCACGTAGGCGTCAATACATGCATGCGCGCTACAAAATAAAGTAAACAAAAAAGGACATTGCAAAGATAGCCACATGCTCCATAAAATTGTGCTAAAATTATAAATGACGGTTAAAAAGTACTAAACCTTATTAATCGCTAAGTAATTATTATTCAATTTATATTTTTGACCTATTAGTGTTGCCAATTTATTTTTCAATATTCCCTTCTCATGGATCTCATAAAGACGGAAAAATTGACAAAAAATTTCACTTGCTTGTAAATTAAAAATACAATATTTTTTTATTATTTATTGAATTAACACTTACCTACACTTTAATGCACTATTTATTCTAAACGACTAAAAGAAAAGAAGCTTCGCTTCGATTTTCTACAGTTATTTTGAAATTATTAAATCGATTAGGCAAGTTATAGTTTTGATGGAAAGGGTGCAACTGCAATTTTAAATTTTAAATTTGTTTTATACAAATAATTTGTAAAAAATGTCTTAATATGAATATTTAATTATTTCTTTTCATACGGAAAATAAATTCCTTGTATGACTAAATATAAATATCAACAACGGTGTCCAATAAAAAAAAAACTTTAAAATCACAAATTAAAAAAGAAGCTGGTACTTAGGTATTATTTTTATTCCGTGTAAACCACAAGCCGCACGCACACATGCAAGAAATTTTAGAACGTCATTTTTGGTTGCTATTGTATGGTGACGCTCTATCTAGACATAAATAATCAAAGTCTACCCAATAAGTTTGCTAAAAAAATAAAAAAGAAATTCGAAATATAAAAAAGAATATTCAAAGCTTACTATGGTCAATGAATATAATTATAAACAAGATAAGAACATTCTGTATAATATTGTAATTATTTTACTGGCGACGTCTAGGAGAGTATTGCAGTGGCGAAAGTTGAGAATACGCTGTCACATTTTCTTCAATGCTGCGCGATCTAGAATTCCGGGCAACAATTTGCTTTTTCTTGCTATTCATAGAATTTTTTGAGACCACTGTAACATATAGGTATAATCATAATAACATCAAATAATCTTCTTTATCTAGTCACTTCTACATGTTTTTATTTTAAACGTGGCTCTCACACTAGGAATTTCTCGTGTACCTATTATGCGTGCATTTACAAACATACAAATTACAAGTTTACATTCACATCAAATCCAGACCCGGAACAACAATTTCTATGGATCACATAAAAAGTTGTTCCGTACGAGAATCGAAGTTGCTACACATTGCATAAAAATGTATGTAAGTATGTAACGTAGGTAAGCAGTTAATCAACTATTAACCCTAGAGTGCGCGCGCTGTGATCATTTTTAGTATCTAGCGGCCTCAGCCCCTCGGCAGCCTTTGTTTCGTTAGCAATGCGTGCGCAAACACTTGAAGCTGTAACTGCGTCGCGGACTGTTTGATACGTTTTACAAAATGGCGCGCCTACTCTAGGGTTAATCTGAAATTCTAAACTGTAATGTTAATCACCTGTCGAAGTACTCCGATGACTTTTCAAGTCTAGTGGTTGAGATGGTTTTGTGCTAAATCCTGAAGCAGTCGACTTCGGCGTTGAGCACTCGCTATCGATTCCCAAAGCGTCTAAAGCACGCATTCTTTCTGCAATCTGATCTTTTATAATGTCTCGATGCGGGCCCGCTTGTCCCAAATATTCCATTTCAGCAAGCCATTCGGTGCGTTCTCGAATTTGAGTGACCACTGAAACACATCTTAGGCTGTAGGAATTTTACAAACCAAACAGTGTAAGAGTCTGACTGTTTTTCAAATTTCAACTGGCAGATATAAATACTAAGTTATTTACATTTCTGTCACACCTAAAATCATTTTGTAACATAGACAATATGCCAATATGAATATATTGAAGCACGAAACTTGTTCTAACTCAAGTTGACTTTGATTTACAACCCAAACAATTATTTATATGATAGAGTCAGACTATCGTGTTTATAAGTAGCTGTATACTTAATATCTGTTGTTGCATGATTGCATCCAAATCCAATCATCCAACGCTCTCAGATGATTGATAAACTTGGTGAATTAGGTGCCTACCTAATTTTACCATACTTATTATTTAGGGAACTAGGTACCTATAGATATAGTATAGTATAGTGCCTAATTGGTAAAAGAGTGTACCTAAAGAGTACTTATAGGTACATACACTAGAACGACTTTCCAATGTATTCAAGCCCCTTCTGGTAAGCTATTCTACTTATAACTTTCAATTCAAAAGATCGATGTGAACTCGATTCTCTAACTCACTTCGAAAGTTCGAATTGACAGTTACAGAATAGCCTTAATGTCAACGTACAGTACCTACACTACCTGGCCAGATTTATAAGACGCACCATAATTTTTTTAATAGGAAACACACGTGTGCTTATCTTCAATACAATTTTTAAACATATAAAACCTCTCTCTTTTCGATCCAGAAGGAAGGACCTTCTTTAAATATGTTCTGTGCAATGACCAATAGCATCCGAGTAGCGCCCATCGTACCGCCGGGGGGGAGGGGTGGTTAGTTAATAAGAAGAACAAATAAAATTTACATTCATTCCACTTTTGGTTAGCAGTAGGCAATTTGGGTTGTTGTTTTTTCTTGTCTATGAAAACAGGAGGCGGCTGTTGTTGGTCATTTCCGAAAGCCATTGTGTTAGCCAGCCTCTCTTTCAATTGTTCCCTGTCTTCGCCACGTTTCAATGGTCGATATCTGAAAAGTCAGCCATTAAAAAAATATGTTACACACTGTTGCTATTCATAGGTGTTTGTGATGATACTTTTTCTTATATCATCATGCCTTTTAACCCCGAAGTTGTAGGTAGAGGTGTACATAATGGCACATAATGGAACATATTCAATAGATTCCCACCATAGATATTTATTTCTGTGATTCTCACATTACACCAGTGACATTATGAGTCCCACATAATAGGTGATGCTATTCCCACATATAATTTTACCGGGTACAATTTTGGCTTCACTACAGAGATTTTTTTTATAGATAAACTGAAAAAGAAACAGTAAAATAATCAATTTTCCTAAATGCCTCATACGTCTTGTGCACAACTGCTAAGCAAGTAGTATAGGAGTCAATTCCTAGTTCCTTAAACATACTACAAAATCAGTCATTGTGCCAGGTAGGTATGTGGTTGTGCCCACCTAATGATATGAGCCTCAATATTAATTAATACATATACGGTACATACTTATTTGGGGAAAACAGTAAAGTATACTATTTTTTATGGAATAAGAGGCAAACGAGCAGACTGATCACCTGATAGTGAGCGATCAGCGCCACCCATGGACACCAGACAACACCAGAGGAGTGATATAATGATGCATGTGCCTAAACCTTCGGGCCTTATAGGTAGGTAATGGTATTATGTTAAAAAACGTTAAAATAACAACTAACCCATCTACGTTAAAGACTCCAGATTCTCTGATGGTGGACAGTGATCTTCGACGGGATGTTCTGGGACGAACCACAGGCATTTGGATAAGTACTTCAGAATTTTCTCTTCTTTCCTTATCATCACGGAGCCTTAGAGATGATTTTTGTCGCTGAGCGATAGTAAGCTTTGATTCTTCTAATAAAACTAAATATAAGAAAAAATAAAACTAGACATGTTAATGTAAACATGTTCGCATAAAACAAGAGCAATAATCGTAACGGTAAAAAAATGGACTGTTATCTTCAGAGCGTAGTTGGTAAAAGGCGTAATGAGGGGATGTATCTTCAACTGGTCGTTCTCCAAGCAGTAAGGTAACTCCACTGCATGCCTGACTGGTCCTCAAAGGTATTTGGCTATAGTGCAAGGCCCTACCATCGCCAAATTCAGCTTGAGCTTCATGATAGTAATTTATAAGATTTTCTGTTTTTAAATCTGGTGTTCTTACATTCATTTCATTGCTCATAAGACTTGAAAATTTCCCAACACGATTTGTTAAATCAATATGATGAAAATTGTTGTCAGATCTCATGATGTTCCTTAAGCACATGAGGTTTTGTAAGTCTCTATATAATGAATTTCTGTCATACCCGTCCGGTATGATTTCATCAGGATTTAATATGGTATAGTTTGTTAGGTTCCATTTAGCTGCAGGTATCGAATTGTAGCGATGAAAAGACTTTCTATATAACAGTGCAGCTTCCGAATCGTTTGTATCTGATAATGCCAGAACTGTGTCTCGTAGGTTAGAAAGTAAGATGTTCTCCGGTCTTGGCACAAAATTAGCGCATTTTAAAGTGTTTTTCGACATAGCAGGATAGTAACTTACATGGTTATATTTGATTACACCAATCGCGTCGACAATACTATGCAAAGGTTTAGGAAGGAAAAAATGATAAGAGGCTAATCCCCAGCCTTGGTATTTATAGGTATGGTCATAATGACGACTAGGAAATGGAAAGTTTATATAAAATTTTTCCTCAACAATTCCTAATAGTGCACGGTAAACAGAATGAATGTTAGGAAGTTCAGTCTTACTACGAATTTCAAAAACACTCCCAAAATAGTATAAACATAAATTAAAACCAATTCCTCGAGTTGTTATCGGTAATGTTAAATCTAGTGAATTCCAATCACCACGCTTATTACTATAAGTCGCCATTGTAAGAAAATACCTAAACTTTTATCAGTTTTATCACTTTTACGAGTTTAATTAAATACAAAACTAAGATATAGCCATAAGCCAACAGCTTAAAAGGGCTAAAGGGTTGGGTTGGATTTGGAATTGGAATATTTGGAATAATTGAGTTGAGGTCACTAGTGTCCTAGTGTTGTACCTTTACGCTACGATAAGACTCAATCGATTTTGATATTTATTTTCATAGATATGATTTAATATTTCTGTGGTATGTATGGGTATATGGATGTATAGATGATTATTTATTCGTGGGACATGGAAGTGGGTAAATCAGTCAATATTAGTTCCACCTGTCACTACGTCGAACTATTTTTTGCCAAGCTGTACCTACACTGAGACTGTCTACGACGTACTTTATTTGGTAGGCTTTGACGTACATACATTGCTGAACTAACCTGCCCCCACAAATACAACGCACCACCACGTTAACATTCAACAACTCATCGCAGCTTTCACAAGGCTTCATGATGAAAACAGACTTTTTTTTAAAAGAGTAACGAATGGAGTTTCTTGCTCGTTCTTCTCCACTCGAATCGACATTTTGGAACGAGCGCCTAGCTTCACTGACGGACAGACTGACAGACTAATATTTATTTCATATTTGTTGACGTTTCAAAAGTACCAAATTAAGGTTTAATTGAAATAAATGCTTTTGAGTTTGAGTTTGAGTTTTGAATAGGTACGCCTCTCTCAAGCACTACACCAACTTCTCAATTGAGCGGGAGGTACTGACAAAATTGGTACCTACCTGGCTTACTGTCTACTAGATTACTATATCTTTGTAAAGAAGATGTGCAATTGGACCCAAAGGCACAAACTGGAACTGGCACAAAGGTTTCAATCCCAAACGATTCGAAGCAGGTTATTTTATTATACATTATCATATTTTTCAACCACTCCAACCAGTTAACAGGTTATTATACTTCACCATAACACCGGCTCGACACGTTGTGTTTGGAACTATGTCTAATCTACTTAATCTTCCGAGGTAATAATGACATACTTTCAGGGTTTTTGCCATCGTCGCGTACTAAGCCATTAGATTCTTAAGTAGCTGGCACGCCGATGAATAATAGTCATTAATAGCTACTTGGGTGTCGAGCAAAACGGCCCGAGCTGCGGCTACATGACAGGCTGTGGTGTCCGAGTAACAACTTAACGATAATAATGAGCTGAACTATTTTTTTAGTACTATTGACGGAATATGTATGAAAGCCGTTAGGCCTATATTATACCTACGGGAAATTATGCGGACGCCGAGCCTACCCTTGCTACCAGACAAGGTGGCTTACCTATGTCCATTTGGTGTCCGCTTAATGACTATTATCATAAGTGGTATTAGACTAGATTATGAAGACAACACTTGTCAAAAAATTAAAGTAGTGAAATTGAAACTAAAGAAGAAGTTATAAAAAATCCTACCCCTTAGCAACTGTTGCTGACTGTCCGTTGGTTCCGTCACGCGAGTATGAAATATTCCTCCGTGTGGGATATTTTTGCTTGGCCAAGTAGTATGCACATAACCATTTTTATCAGGGTTTAACATTGTAAAGTTTTCTTATTGTAAAAATCTTTGCACTCTTTCCAACTAAAGTTTGTAACGTTTCCAGGGTAACCACCAAAGAGAATAGCGACCAAAAAGTAACAGGCCCCAATTTTTCCCCAAAAATTAAATATGTGTGCCTAGCCTACTGCGCAAAATGTTTTTGAATATGAATTGTATATACCTACGTCTTATGCACATGCACACAAATGCATACAAAAACTTGGTATTGAAAAAATCAAATCTTATTTTTATATGTCACTATTAGAATGTAAGTCCTCCAAGAGGAAAAAAAAACTATGAATTACAATATAATACTATCCGTCTGAAATTCCAGAAAACACCTAATAATTGTGATATAAATATGTATAAATAAGTTAGGAATTAATCAAGCTCAAAGGTCAGGCTAAGATGCATGCCGGTGCCGATGCATGGAAAATTAGATGATTATTTTGCTAATTGCGCAACTCAGTGTTTTATTATTTTTTATTTTAAAATGATAAAAAATTACCGTGATCATTCTACACCTGGGTAAGATAAAAAGACAGCATTTCATTGCATCGAAATTAAAAAATATTTATTAGCGCGGCATTTAAATAAAGAACGATGACAACTAACTTTATTGCGCTGAAGAAGTCAGGTAGAAAAAAAAACCATTTGGATGTTGGATCAAACATACTGTAATTAATAATACACATAATTTCAGTAGCATATGCACCCACTTAAATAAATATGGAGTCACCTGTGGAGAAACAAATTCAAAGAATTAAAATGCAAGAACAAGATAATGAAATTAAATTACGGGAAAAGCGTGAATGTAAGTTTGAACTTTGAACTCTGAACAATACCAATAGGATTAGTCCATCCTAGGACTAATACAGTTATTAATTTATAACACCGTAACTTATATTATACAGTTCGTGTTTTTACAATATGTAGGTAATACTTAAAATTGATGTACACAGTGCTTCTAAACGGACAATATTATAACTATTTATGTGCAAATGTGTCTGCACTGTAAACTGTAAGGGTCATGGTAATGGCCATAGCAAATAATGCCCAATAATGTTGGGCTTAGGATAAAATAATGTAAATAAGTCATAATTATGTCGTACGGTCGTAAGTATGGCGCGTCGCGTTCCGCGCGCGCCTCGAAGAGCCATCAGACTACTACAGATGGGGCCCAACAGGGCTGATGCCGATTCGGAGACGCGGAGAACCTAACGGGTTACCGGGGCTCCGGCTCAGCACAGGAGAAGGAACGGGATGGTTTTTAGTCAGTAAGAGCACAGTAGAAATAAACGAATAAACGAATTTCGTTTATTTCTACTGTGGTAAGAGTCTGACACTCCCTCCCGCCTCACCCAGGCGGGAGAAATAATTAGATGATTTTCCCGCCATAGAAAAAAATGTCGATAGTAATATTTTTTAAATATTGTATCGATCTTCTTAGTTATATTACCGGCAAGCAAGTTGCCTTGGTTAAATACTCTAAGTTACCGGCCACTTCTGTTGCACCTACTTAGAGGCCAAAATACAAATTATCTTAGCGAGGCGTGTCGTGGCGCGCCATATTAATTGCAAATAATGTACCACCAAATTATTATAATTACAAATACTGTAGGAGGGAATTTCACAGTTTTGAATTCATTATTCCACTATTTCGAAAATTCTTTTAATGAAATAAAGCCGTAAAAGACATAATACTAGTCTTATCATATCATTGCATAATACACGAATAATTTATATAATGATTAGACACCATCGATGTATATCAGATAGATTGGAAATACCTACGATCAAACATGAATATCTATACACAAGGACGTTGAAAAAAGGCGGACAACAACGAAAGACTCACACATAGAATACACACACATTGACAAGAAGGACATTTCCCGTGTCATGGCCCGTCATTACACTTTATACAATACGGTGTTGCAAGTACACGCACACATAAATACACCACTGACATTTTGGTGCTTCAATCATTCCTAAGTGACTTTTTTTTCAGCATCCTTTTAGACGTATTATTATTTAAATATACATAATTATTTGAAAGATAAAAAACATAGAATAGAAAATATCTGTCAAGAAATTAAAAAAAAATACTGCCTCCGTTTCTTTGCTCCCAAGTGCAGTATTAAAAATTTATGCAGCAGTCTCCATAAAATGCCGCATTAAGTGCTGTATAACGAGCACCTCTGCCTACCCCTTCGGTTCAGAAATAAAAAGGCGCGATGTTATGTTAATCTCCATAAACTGATTTCTTTTCATTTTGTTGCGATAAATATCTCGACATGTAATATAATCTATTATTTTAACAGTGAATAATACAATAGTTTTCACCAACCGAGAGGTTCGTGACAGCTTGGCCCAGTTGAGTAAACTATGCAAGGAATATCAGTATCTGATCACCACTACCGATAAGCTTGTCCATCAAGTGGCTGTGGAGAAATTGCGATTAACTGCGCTTACTACAGAAGTAGATAATTATGTTAAAGAATTTAGAGAACTTCATAATACATCTGTAAGTTTATGATTTATAATTAATTAGTGGTTAGTCACATGTGCTTATATTTTGTAGTAGGTACGTTAAGTATTTTTACTACCTACACATAAAATAATGAAACTTTATTATGGAATAAAGAAAAAAAATACTACAATTTATCGAGAAAGGTTTTATGCCAAAAAGACAATCATCAGCGCAGCGTGATGTTCTAAAAACAAATGTATTTAATAAAAAAAAAGTAATATTTTTATTGCAGAATGATGGTGTTTGGTCTGTTTGGAATAAACGATCAGAATTGCTTCAGGCCATCGAGGACGTTGTAAACAAATGCGACATTTGGCCGTTGCTAATTAAACCTTCACACAAAGAAATATTTTCAGACATTAAACCTCTCATAATTATAAAAAAAAATATTCGAGATAAAGACAAATTGAGAAATGCTTTAGAAAGACGTAATAAAGCACAAATAGAACGTAACTATCTGTTATCAGAACCAGAACTGGGAGAAGAATTTATTAGGTAATTCTGAATCCAACAATATCTAATGTGTGGTACAGCTTGGCAAAAAAGAGTCAAGACTAATTAATTGGGGTCGCCAGAATCGTACCTGTCGCAATCTATATTTTTATTATTTTCAAGTTTAAAAGGAGGAGGTACTATGTCCCAATGATTGTTTATTTGTGGGATATGGTCCGAAGTTGGTGATTCAGTCCAAGTCAATGTTAGTTCCAGCTGTCACTGCGTCAAACCCTTTTTGTCAAGCTGTTCCTTAGGACAGCTGTGCTTACGATACTAAAGTTGCTCATATGATAGTGGAGTAAGCTCCATGGTTTAAGTCATGAGTGCGTTAGATTATTGTCTATGCCTGGATTTATTAAGTGCCGACCCTCACATTTTTCATAAGAAAATATAATACATACACATGAAGGAAACAAATGCTTAAAAACTGAAATTTTAAAATATATTGTTTTAGAATAAAAAATGCTCTACAATACTCGATGGAAGCAGCTGCTAACGCAATGTAGCATCATGCGGAATTAAACAATCTCAACTAAGTACTAAATGCTTTCTGGTTCCGCGAAAATTCTAGTTCAGTAAGGTGAAATGCCTTCGTGAAAGGCCAGGTAATTAATTTAAATTAAATAGAATACAATATAATAGAATACAAGATTAGCAATGTCGGCCATCTTTAAGCACTATTTGACTGTAAACAATGCATGCATTTTTTTTAAATAGAATATAGGTACCCAAGTCCATGTCTACCTTTATATCCGTGGCTATCTGTCAAAATTGTTTAAGTCAAATTGTCAAAGGCGAATCTAAAATTTCGTCTCATCTTTCGAATTTTGCATTGACAACCTAACCTGATTTATTTATTGGAAAACGGCAGAGTATAAATTACATTACATTTATAAATAAAATGATATAAATCAGTATCCATTACGATGTATAGAAATATCGCAAAGTTTTTAAGGTATGTGCTCGCTGGCTGGTAGTTAAAAGTGACTAATCTAATGGCAACGAAAATATAAACTACCGACAATAAATTTGTGTTAATTTCTTTGCAGAAACGTCGGGCGTGACTTCAGGTCGAATAGATCATTCAGTAATAAAATTGATGCAAGCGAAAATGAGCCTATAAAATTTTCTACTAGCCAAGCTTCAAGAAAGTCAGCCAGACCTTTAGTTAAAAAAGTAGATTTAGATATGCCCTGGTACCAGCCTTTTTCAGTGGTTGGTAGTGTTGCAGTATTCTTAATATACTTCTGTGTGCTACGGGAAGAAAATGATATAGATCTTGAATTTAACAAATCACTTTATGACAGAATAAAGGGTCTAGAAAAAGAACAACTTTTGCAATCATATAGATTTAACAAGGAGCATGGCAAAAGTGTTGATGAGATAGAAAGGAGACTAAAGGAATTAGATGAACAAGAAAACAAAGTCATTGTGCCCGTTGCTGAGTAAGTGAATTTGTAACAATATTAATATAGATTACTTGACTTGATTATTTAAATGTAGCTAGCATTTCGATTATTATATAAACATTGTTTAATGTCTTGTTAATTGTGTAGGGAGACACTATACATAGGCTATTAGGTAAATAAACAATACCAAACTATTAGCTGTGGTTTATTATTTCATCATCAGTTGAAAGACATCCCCCTTCCTTTTTAAGTTACATGTAAAGTTATCTATAAAATAATTAATGATTATTATGAACAAAATAAATTGGGGAGCACCAAAGTTTACAGAGTATTTCAAATTATGACCGATAAAAGCAGTACTGCTTTTATTTACTGGGACATCAAATTATTACATAATTAAACATTAACTTAAATATATATAACAGTAAACTACCTAATGCACGACATTTTAACTCGTCGAGTACCGGTTTTATAGACACAATTAAAGAACAATAGGTCGCGGTCACCGGTGACCGCTTGGTGTTTGACAGTTTAAGGACATTACAGTCACAGCATTTGTTGAGAAAAAAAAAGGAACTGGTTCTATAAAAAAGCAACACTATTATTAAATTAGTTAAAAAAAATATTCATAAAAGAATGATATCTATACATATTATTATAATAAAACTGTAGAAGTATGAATTCTGTACATTGAAAATATTTAAAAAAATAGTAGGGGTTGACACTAAATAGACACCAAACTCAAAAATGTAATTAAAAATTTTTTTGTCTGTCTGTATGTTTACACATCACACAAAAACTACTGGTCTGATTATGATGAAATTTGGTATGATTATACTTTAATATCCTGGGCACAACACTGGGTAGTTTTTATCTCGAAAAATTATATACACGAAAAAACCAACATTTGTGCGGTTCGATTCCTAGACATAAAATAAGTTTGTCGAATGTTAGGTTGCCTACAGTGGACTTTACGCTGTAACTGTAGGGCCGATGATGGGAATTAATATAATACAAAAAAATCAAGGGATCAACCATTATCATCAAGAACTCATTTATCCAAAGGCAGTAATAAAAATAGTATGTTCTAAAAGTTGTGTCGGCTAATGGGTTAATCCCTAAAAGCCTCGACATTCATCATAAGAGGTTTGTTTGGGGTGAATGGATCAAGGGTGTTTCGTCAGTTTTTTTCTAACTAAGACCATCCTATATGTACTGGTTGTGTCCTATTTTTATTTATTTTAAAGTTCTATTTAAAAAATTAAATGTAAGTTTAGAGGATGTTTAAATAAATATTTGGAATAATATGTATATGTACATAAAACAGAATTAGTTGTAAAACATAAGTTATAAGGTATACCTATCCAGTTTACACATTAGGTACTTAAATTATCCCCATGTGTAACTTCATAATGCTTAAAATGTATTCTTTTATTGACGAAATAACACTGGTATTACAATACTTACTAACAGTTAGTTGTTCCCCATTTTTGTAGTTACAACACCTAGATATGAAAATCATTAAGTTGCCATCACGCTAGCTGTAAGAACTCTGTTCGAGCTGAACACAGGCCTCATGACTTCCAGGTCAGCGGATGAGGTGCGACCTGCATTCGGTAGCTCCCAGCTTTTATCAGTACCAGTGTTTAAGCATGGCAATAAATCGCATTACTGCATAATTATGGTGATGATCTAAAAAAAGCATCGTTTTTTATTCACTCAGAGATCCGGCCCTGGCGAGAAATGCGTACTTATGCACTGTTCTTTATGACATTCTATTCTTTTATTCATTTTATTCTTCAATCTTTGGTTCCCCTAAAAAACTGAGCACCAACAATCAACGTGACTAAAAAATGGTAATATCACAGATCAGTGGTAATATTTTATTGAACTTTAGTAAACTGCAGAGGTACGATACTAAATTTTAAGATTTGTCATAGGTTTAGTCATTTTTGTTATTGCACTTATGGTGCAACATCATGACATGAGTCACCCAGTTTTGATGTAGGAACCTAATGGTAGGTAATGTTTTAAAAAATAAAACAAAATTTAGACCCTAATCATATTTATTTAACACCAATTTTCTCATTACACATCGAAAGATGCAACTTAATTACGCCAAACACTAACTCACACTGCACATGGTTCACATTACCTATTTAATCTACTTATGATTTAAAAATGTTAATTACGAAAACTTATAATTAAATAGTTAGTATCCTGTCTGGAGTACTGCCAATGCCAATATGTGGAAAAATTAGAACATGACAAACAATAGTTACTACACAAACTTAATTAACTTATACAATAAAATATGCATTTTATTAAAAAAAACTCAGTTCTGCTTCTTCCTTATTTATTACAATGAATGAATATAATGTAAATAAAGATTAAACAAGACATTAAGAATTGTTATGGAATTTAGATCTATTGAATTACCAATAATTTATGATTAAAGTACACTAGTTTTAAATTTAAGCACGCTCGCCACGGATTCGTCGGGCCAGCTGAATGTCCTTAGGCATGATTGTGACACGCTTGGCATGGATAGCACACAAGTTGGTGTCTTCAAACAAGCCCACCAAGTATGCCTCACTGGCTTCCTGAAATGGAAATATTTATGACATAAATCAAAGTTGAATTAAATGTAAATTTTAATGTTTAGGGTCATAATAAATCATTGTTTACCTGTAGAGCTCCAATAGCAGCAGACTGGAAACGCAGATCAGTTTTGAAATCCTGGGCGATTTCTCTCACCAGACGTTGGAAAGGCAGCTTACGAATAAGCAATTCCGTAGACTTCTGGTAACGACGAATTTCACGAAGTGCCACTGTACCAGGGCGGTAACGATGAGGTTTCTTGACACCACCAGTACTCGGGGCAGATTTACGCGCCGCCTTTGTAGCCAGCTGTTTACGAGGAGCTTTACCTCCGGTAGATTTACGGGCAGTCTGCTTAGTACGTGCCATTTTTTACTGAAATAAAGATAACGTTGTTAGATTAACAATTACCACATCAGGAATTCTCGAACACTCATATCGCAATTGATTGTGTAAGAAATTATTCATAAATAGTTCACATTGATTAATCATACTCTTTTCTACGAAACTACACACCTTTTTAAGTTATTTCAAATGAATAATCCACAACTTTTAATTAAAATGGAACAGCGAAAGCACACACAACAAAGATCATATGCTCAAGATGGCGTCGAAGGGAATGGCGGGTGAAACAGACGCCAATACTTCCGTTACCTGATTGGTCGAATGTTATATGATTTCTGAAATAGGATTGGTTAGTAATGTAAGCATAGTTATTGGCTCCTTGTAACGAACTCTGGTCACTGATTGGCCCAAACGTTGTGTGTGGCCATTATTTAAAAAGGTATTTTTTAAATTAAAAAAAATATCAGAACATCCAATGTTGCCATAGAGTTGAGTTAATTATTCTTCGACAATTCGACTTAAATGTAATGAAGATGAAATAGTTACATTTTTACCCGACTTTAAAATGCAAAGACGTTAACCAAGATAATTATAAAGCTTATGTATTTTGTCCCGATTTATAAAATATTGTTACGAATTTTGTAAACTACAAAAACAAAAGAACAGGTATTTTAAGTGCAGTTTAAAAGCATTTTATAGATTTTATAGTATATTATAGATTTCAAAATATATTATTATTAAAATTGTTCCAGAATTCAATATAATGAAAACAACCTAAGGTCTGTTCAAAGTTACTATGTACTTAATCCAGCCCTATACAAAATTTAGTATCTGTAATTTAGTAATTTAGCAAAACAAACTATTGTTTTATTTTATAGGTATTTCATGAAACTGACATTAAATTTGCTGCAAGTGACTTAATTAACAACAATTAATAAAAAAAATAACACGCATTGTAGCATCGTCAATGAAAATACCTATTTCTACTACTCTTCAACTAAGTGCTATTGTCAACTTTGCGTTTTGTACATCACACTTTGTGTCCTATATTTTGTCTTTGTCTATCTGAAGAAAGTTCTCACTGAAAAGAGCGAGTCAAGTAGAAAACATTTAAGTTGACAGTGTTGTCAATTGATTGCGTTCTATTTTTTTGATGCCGAAATTAAATTCGACTTGAAGATAACGCCTATTTAAGTTCAAGGCCATTTAAAATTAAATTGTTTAGATTTTTCAATATTACTACTATGCATAAAGAATTGAATAAAAGTATTTACCTTTTCCCTTTCTAAAATAAACGTATCACGTGATCTTATATTGAATTTTAATTGGTCGTCGTGAGCGTGCCCTGCGCGACGCGAGAGGCGCAATAATTTTCCAAAATGCCGTCGGAATCTAAACCTTTGTTAGCTGCTCAAACAGAAAAACCAAATCATTACAAGTAATTACTTGTTTTTTATTTGTGTAATAAATCAAGTGGTAGTGTTTCATGTGAAGTTCAATACAGTGTATTAGCTCTGAGTTTCCAATTTCATGTTCCAGATATCTTAAGGAGTTTCGGGTAGAGCAGTGTCCGTCTTTCTTACAACATAAATGTACACAACATAGGCCTTTCACTTGTTTTCATTGGCATTTTAATAATCAAAGACGACGAAGGCCCGTAAGAAAAAGAGATGGGACTTTTAATTATAGCGCTGATAACTACTGTACAAAATACAACGAGACATCGGGCATCTGCGAGGATGGGGACGAGTGAGTGCATTTTGCTTTGTTTTGTTGCATACTTTTCTTTCTTTGTTCTCTTTAGTGGTAGTCTACAAATGCTTGTTATAGATTTATTTGCTTTGGTTATACAATTATGATTTTGGATAGGTAATCACGTCCAGGAATCTTATTAGATTCATATTTGTTTACTGCTATCTCAAGTATAATCCGACTAAATTCTAAGTCCACGTCACCGCTGAAAGTTGTTACGATTGCCATGACATTGTGTTTTTATAGGGTAGGCCCATTGTTCAATCTGTTTTGAGAGATAATATTATGTATTTGTGAGTAAAGAAGTGTTACATTCTTGTTATTGTTATTGCCGTTTGGGCGTATACAGCAGCCAGGAAGCCACTCAAAAGTAAACTGTGGCTGCATCTTGTATGTTTGCAATATTTATGTTGTATCTCTTGAGATGAGTACATTGTATGAAAACAAATTGCTGTTCTAACTACAATGAGTTACATACTAATTTTGTTTGTTGATAAATAGTGTAGGTAGGTATTCACCTGTGAGTTAAGCCTAAAAACTAAAGTAGCATCCAATTAATCTTTTAGGATTGTTTGTTTTTTGTAAGCATTACAATTTTTCACTCATATGGAATAACCAGGATACCTTAGGTGTTGTTATAAATACACTTTTATAATAACTTAGTCCTTAGAACTTTGAATAATTTGATTTCCCAAGTTTTGGTTGAGTATTACAATCAATATAGGTAGCCATTATTTGTAAATCTTATGTTACTAGTGACTGAGTATTGACAATGAACAGCTTCAACATGTATGTGCCTATAGAAATTGAGAAGAGCAAACAAGCCTTCAAACATAGCTACAACTGTTTTGGGTGATCGCTTCACCAGTCAATGAGAAAGTGGGTTTTTTTTTAAAACCAACAAACTGTATTTTAAAGATTAACAGTGAAAAGTGTTACTTTGTACTTGCAGTAAAATTATCTTTACATATCATAATCTTTATATGTTTAATACCACAGATGTCCATACCTACATCGCACAGCCGGAGACACAGAGAGAAGATACCACTTGCGGTACTATAAGACATGTATGTGTGTGCATGACACAGATGCACGGGGTTTGTGCACCAAGAATGGTGCGCACTGCGCGTTCGCTCATGGCGCACCCGACCTGCGCCCGCCCGTACTGGACATGCGTGAGCTGCAAGCACTCGACAACCCCGATTCCACAGATGCTGATGCAGCAGCGCCTAACGCCTTAGATAGAGAAAGAAATCTTCAAAATGAGGATCCTAAATGGCAAGGTACATAAATACATATTAAGATGTGTTTTATCAGAATGTAGTGCGTTGTATGAATGTTCTGTGTCTATCATCATTCTTTCATATTTCTAATTTCAGATACAAATTATGTTCTTTCATCTTATAAAACTGAGCCGTGTAAAAGACCACCTAGACTATGCAGACAAGGATACGCTTGTCCACAATATCATAATAGTAAAGTAAGTATTTATAAAATATATTATTTTAAGGTATTTTCGAAAGAGTAATAATTAGAAATTTGGTGACTGCTCACCGGTTAGTTGGCAGTTGTTGGTATAAAATAAAAGAACTTTGATTTAGAGCTGCAGAGAGCAACAACTGCATAATATTTAATTGAGATAAGTTTTTGTCCTGCTTATTGAATAGTGGGAACGAAAGCTGTCGCAAATGATAGATGCTGTTATCCACTTATTGACATAATAATATGGGAATATTGAGAAAGTACTTTTTATATTTTGGTATTTGACTCTACACTTCACATACCTACATATTGATAACAGATATGTGCCAACTAGGACTGTGGCTGACTAGCCATACCGATTATAGTTATTTGTCAACTCTTGTAGGTTTTATTGCAAATCATTTTCTAAATTACATATGACATATGCGCAAAGTAAAGTAAAAACTAAAAAGCAAAAATTGACTATTATTGGCCATACATACTTATAGCTTACACACCCACTGGTATTCATAAAAGCTTAATGCTTTAACACTAGAAAGACGGAAAAAGTCGTCTACCTACAAAGACGGCGAGCGGTCAAATGACTGCTCCAAGTTTTTTGATATTTTTTTATGTTTAAGTGCTAGAAATGGTACTTATAGTATTAAACATGGTATAATATATTGTTAATTAGGTAATATGTGTAGAATTTCTAATTTTATCATTTTGTTTACATTACAAAGGCCGCAAAGTGGCTTTTTGCAATTGTCGCATTCTTTATGGGTTTTGTATTTGCATTTGTATATATAATATTTTGGAATTTACTGGATTTTGTGCAGAAGATTGTGAAGTAAAAGATCTAGACTCTTCAGGCAAGGATTCAGTTTCAGAGAGTCTTCTTCAATGTATACTTTGCTTCTAAGTTCGCCCCCTGAACTTAGTATAAATAGCCTTTGTTTCATGTAATATTCTACATTTTCCTATACCAAATGAAGGAATTATATCTAAAAAGGAAAATTATCTAAATTATGTTATATCTTTGCTAGGTCTCAAATATGAAAAAAAAAATGTATTTCACCTTTGAGATGCTCGTAACATTTTGACCAGTATTTGCAAAAAGTTTCACAAGTCGCATCTGTAATTCTGTATCAACGGATTCATCGACATTTGACCACTTAGAGTAGATGCCATTTGAGGTGTGTACAAGAAATACAGTCGATAGTTGGGAAAGATCTTGATGCTCAGGATCTTCCAAACTCCTTTCACAGCCTTTATCACTACCACAACAACGATTACAACCACGAGAACCCGACCTGTCAACGTCTGATAAATTTGCTCGAAGTATCTGGTCTTCAGGTCACTTCCGTCCGTAGAGGAATTCGAACTGACAAGTAGTACCACACAATCGTCGTCGCTATCATGTTTTGTATTTTTAGAGTCAAAATCAGACTCATCTTCACAAATATTTTGGAAGTAACAAACGGTTTTTCATTTTCAAGACTCCAACACGTTGCGACCACAAACTACTTTCAATAATTTCGTAAAAGTTCACAGACACTTGAAATGATACGGTCTCATTTGATAAACAAACTATAAACAATGAATTAGTGTATATAATTTGTATTCTACCCTCTCATATTACACTTATAAACACTCATTGGTTGTCAGCAGTCAAATGACTGCCGCCGTCTTTGTCGGTAGATCAAGATTTTAAATAATAAATAAAAGAGTTGTGATTTATTTTCATACATAGTTGCATTTAACTAGTAAAATAAATAAAAGTCACAAAGTCTCAGTTTAAAAACTCAAATAGATTTCAAGTTATTCAACATTTAAAATCAAATTGCGGTCAAATGACTGCTCCCGTCTTTCTAGTGTTAATGAATAATTATGTTTAAATCTTGTGGCAACGATTTCTCACCTACCAGTGGGTTTGTAAGCTATAAGTATGTATGGCCAATAATAGCTATTTACAATTTTATTATGAATTATATCTGTGACCATTACCTTATTTATATTTTGTTATGGGTGTATTGTGACAATCACACCCCATCTTGGTGTAAAGTCCTCATCAATACAAATGATCAAACCCAAACACAAGAAAGCTACTGTTAACCGTTGAGGACTTCCCTCAACTATCGTACTAATTCATTATCAGAACCTTATTGACAACCACACGACACCTAGGTGTAAAGTTCTCATCAATACAAATTAGTCAAATTTAAACACAAGGTAGCTACTGTTAACCGTTGAGGTGTTCCTTCGACTGGCTCTCGGCTCCATTATCAGATCGACTCTAGACTTTCATCAGATTGTACCGGTTTTAAATGAATTACTTGACTTATAGTCCTACTAGCTTTTACCCGCGGCTTCGCTCGCGTCACAAAAGGATAAAAAATAGCCTATGTGACATACACCAATACAGACAGCGCCATCTATACCAATACTTTTGTTTTCCCAAATATCAAATTTTTCCGGGATAAAAAGTACCTACCCTATTATTTAATCCAGACTTCTAACTTTACCTCTGCGAAATTTCAAAGCAATCGGATCAGTAGTTACGTCGTGAAAGCGGAACAAACAAACAAACTCACTTTCCGATTTATAATATAAGTAAGGATGTCCCCTAGATGGGGCAGAGGGCGTCCACACAGGTTCTCCATCTCGATCAGTCTTGAGCTTCTCGCTTCACCTCGCTCCACGTCATTCCGATACTCGCCGCTTCTGCTATCACAGTACGACGCCAGGTTTGCCAAAGGCGGCCACGCTTCCTTTTTCCTTGGAGATTCCAATCCAGCGCTTGCTTGGAAATATGGTCGGGACCCCTTCGCAGCGTATGGCCTATCCATCCCCACTTGCGACGTTTGATCTGACGGTCGATCGGAGTTTCGCGGCATCTCTCCAATAGGTCTACAATTGGAGATGGTCTCGAGCTAGAAAATACCGAGAATGCGACGTAAGCATCGGTTGACGAAAACTTGGATTTGGCGGGAGATGTCTTTTGTGACCTTCCACGTCTCGCACCCGTAGAGCAGTACGGATTTGACATTGGACCCGAAGATTTTGAGCTTAATTATTCGGGTCAGCTTCCGTGACTGCCAGACCGGTCTCAGCTGCGCGAAAGTAGCTCGGGCTTTGGCAATCCGTGAGGCGATGTCCTCCTTGCTCCCTCCAGTTTCTGACACGACGCTCCCGGGGTAACTAAACTTGTGGACGCGTTCCACTGCCTCAGTGCCAATCAGCAACGGTGAATAATTCTTCACGCCCGATCTCATATCTTTGGTCTTCCGTGTGTGATCTTGAGGCCTGTTTTTGGCGCGTCCTGACGCAGATCGTCCAACTTTGCTTGCATGTCGGCGTGAGTATAACTAAGCTGGCAAATATCGTCGGCATAGTCCAAGTCTTCTAGGACGTTGGATAATCCTTATTCTATCCCGCGGTGCCGATCTTCTGAAATGCGAAGCATAATTCATCAAGTACGACCAGGAATAGAAGCGGCGACAGGATATAGCCTTGACGGACACCTGCACGGACGCATGCACTGTTATGTCATCCGATATCAGCCCTTCATGGGTGGTAACCCAATTTAAAAAAAATCACAAATGTTCTAGTCGCTTATATTATTTTTATAAGTTCTCCTCTGTTCCCTTGGGATTCCATCATCAGATCCTGACTTAATGACAATGAGACCTAATGAAGACCTACCCTTCCAAATTAAAAAAAAATTTTTGGTATCGGTCCAGGCGTTTTCGAGTAACAAATAAAAAAAATACGGTCGGATCGAACCACCTCCTTTTTTCAAAGTCGGTTGATAATTATTTTCATAAAGTACCTAATGGTATTAGTATTTATTACCGTCATTAATGTGTGTATTTATTTATTATTAGCTACTGCCGCGCGGTTTCACCCGCATTACTATCCAAATCCAACACTAAAATAATAGGATCAATCTAGCGCGTTCAAACAAACAAACTCTTCAGTGTTATATATTAAGTAATAGATTATTATAATTTTAACATAAACTCATTTTAGGATAAGCGCAGATCACCAAGGAAGTATAAATATCGTAGCACACCGTGTCCCAATGTGAAGCACGGGGAAGAGTGGGGCGAGCCCAGCAACTGCGAGGCGGGCGACGCTTGCGGCTACTGTCACACGCGCACCGAGCAACAGTTCCACCCCGAGATATACAAGTCCACCAAGTGCAACGACGTGCAGCAGGCCGGCTACTGTCCTCGCGGCCTCTTCTGTGCCTTCGCGCACGTCGAGCGTGAGTACAAATACTGGACTATAAATAAATAAATAAATAAATTTCTGCCCGCCGATTAGGGACCCGGCCGATCAACCGAGCTTACACCGATCGTTCTTTGCAGCCGAGGAGCTGGGGGCTCGCGAGCTAGCTGGTGCGCTGGACTGCGGAACCAGTTTGGCCGAGTTGTTGTCTTCAGCGCTGCCCCCCGACAAGAAGGCGGAGCGCGCCGCCTCTCCTGCGCCTGCGTTACCATTGGCGTTGGCCCCTGTCAGCAACGGCAGCGGTGACGGCTCCGAGTGCGCGTCTACGTCATCGGGCGGGTCGGCCGGCCGAGCGCTGCGCCACGAAGACCACAAACCCGCACCGCCGCCGGCTTGGCCCGCGCGGGCACCGTTTGATGCCGGCGTATTGCACGATGTAGTGGGCAACGCTCTCGACGACTTGCACCTGGACGAGCCGTTAAATCTCGTGGCTGCACTCGACCGTGACCTAGCGGACGGCGAAGGCTTACTGGCGAGTTCTGCACCGGTCAACATCCCGCAGGCGCGACCCACATTGCGTGGCTTCAGCCCACCGCCTGCAGGCTCGCCGCTGCCGTCCTTCCTGAGATACTCCAATGAAACCGAGCGGCTATTTAATTCCCATGCTATGAAGGCTGGTAGCTTCGGCGGTGGCGGCGGCGCATTCGAATACGCGGCTGCGTCGCCGTCGGCTCCGGGTGAGCTGTCGCGACTGCGCGAGGAAGTGGTGGCCTCGCGCCAAGCTGTGGCGCGCTGGGACGAGCGCCTGGCGCAGGCTCGCTCGGCATGCGAGGCCTGGCAGCGCGAGGCGGACGAGGCAGCGCGCGCGGCGGCGCTGGCGGAGCGTCAGCGGGACGACGCGCGCGCCGCGGCGCTGGCGCTGCGTCGCGAGCTGGAGGCCGCGCGCGCAGCACTGGCCCCGCGGCGCGAGCTGCGCGGGCTGCCGTTGACGGCGCTGAAGGCGCTGCAGGCGCAGGCGCGCGCCGAGCTGGAGGACATCGAGAAGGTACTGTACCTGGAGACGGCCACGAAGTGCATGGGCTGCGAGGAGCAGCCCCGCAGCGTGACGCTGGCGCCGTGCAACCACTACGTGCTGTGCGAGGCGTGCGCCGCGACGGCCGCGGAGTGTCCGTACTGCCAGACGCCGGTGCAGCACCACCAGTAGCGCCCTGTGCACCGCTGGGATCGGTTTCATCAGATTGTTTCTATTTACAAGTAGATGTTCATGAAGATTATGTTATCTGTTCAGAATATAATAATACTACAGGTCTAGGTTTACTAGGCTCCTTCTTGAATACTGGTAAATTGTGATTGTCTGCAAATAATAATATATAGTTATCGAACTGCACATATACAGATATCAAATTATGGCTATAACTTAATACTAAAAATGCCATGAATATTCGGTTACTTATATTTGGTATTTTTGTTTGTTGAAGTTGGAAGTACCAAATACTAAATCAAGGAAAACAGATGCATACTGACAAATACCTTACACTGGTAAAAATTTGAAGATAGGTTCGTCTTTAAAATCCACACACACAAGCACACATCTGGCTCACTCTCTTCCTTTGGACAGCCGCGTAGACTAGCCGAATATTCAGTATTTAGCCAAAACACTATTTGTTGTGGTACCTCTTTTCCATACCACCTCATCATTGACTTGACTTGTTCACCAGCTCACCAAAGTTGCAGATAATTATACAAACAGATTGAATATTTACAAGTGACATTATACTAGAGTTGTAACATGATGTTATGGTATATTATGCTTTGATGTTAACAATTTTGTTTATTAGCCTCTCGTGTTAGTGGACTGTTGCTTTTATATTCATAAAGATTCAAACAAAATATAAGTATTTATGAGGTTTTATCTTGAAATTTTACTTTGTGGTTATGCTTTCACCAATTATCTTAGATGTTAAGAAAATTTTGTATCAATTTGGATATTCTCATTGTGACTCAATTTATATAGTAAGTTATAATATTGTATATTGATATTGATGGAAGCACGGCCATGAATGTACTAGTGCTCGTAAGTATTGGAGAATACTATAATGTAGTATTTAGTTTTATACAGATATCTACAAATCATTTTACATATTCAAATTAGGTTAATTAATAATGGTATGACATGTCTATCAAGAGCGTAGCTTGTATTGGCTTCCTCGTCGTGTGATCACATAGCATGATTTTCTCTATTAACTAGCTATCTAAGGACCAAAAGTTTTCGATAATAATATTGAGATTGTGAGTAGATGAGTGGGCGCGCCGAGCCAAAGCGATGTAGGTAAGGAGCGAAGCGCGCCGTCTCCTCTCCTAACTGAAACTATTGCTTTACATATTTGCCTAGCTGTCCTGGCTACCTGGCTATCTTAGCTGCCCCATTTGTAAAGCCGAAGAATATATTTTTGTAGACGACGTTAATTGCTTTTTTCATATTAATGTTATGAAGAAGCAAACTATATAATGTAAATCATAATCGATTTCTATTTGCATTTTTGTTTCATATTGTATTGACAATGTTATAATAGTTTTAACTTGACGTTTGTTGTACTTGCGACCTCTAATTGCGACGATGGGTGCGACCGACAGTTGCTCTGAAATTAACAAAAGTAACAATAAATCGTTGATATTGGCAATCATCATTTAATTTAACAAATTAAGAGAGAACATGACATTATTTGGAGTGTTAAAGAGCAAAAATATCACTGCTTTCCTCAAGTTTATAGATAAAAAATTGTAAGGCTAAACTAGTGTTTTAGTAATGTTATAAATAGTTTCGCTTATCTGTGTTTAAGAGAGCGAGGAGCTATCTGACCGAGAGTACCTAATAAGAACAGGCGCAAAATGCACCGAGCTAAGGTTCAATAGGTACAGGAATGCCCAGAGTACAACTGAGAGGCCTTTTGCTGAATGCTGCCAGACTGAGTTACTGCTGCCCGGATTGAGCGAAGACATTACTAGTCTGCCGGCAAAATGTATTTTTGTACTAAATGAAAAACAGTATCATGCCTATAGACCGCGTATTAGATTTATAACACGTAGCGTTATTTTATGTTAACATTCCCGAATAATCTAGATATTATAAATACATATTCGTTTGAATTTATCCATGGCATGACGAATTCGGAAATGATTGATTAGTTATGCGTCATATAAATTAAAAGGTTCTGTCATAAATCAATGAGTTAAGTGCCACAAGAACATGTCTAACGCATTTAATTTTATATATTAATTATCTTACTAAACGATATATAAATACTATATAAATTGTTTGCAGAGTTCGAGAGAAACGGACTGGGGTAAATAAATTATATTATTGACCATCATTTCTCAGACATGGTTTAATAAATTGTCATTTATTAGTAGAATAGTTATATAGAATATTTAGATGGAAGTTATCATTTTTATAATACGTTTGTTTTCTTTTACTGTACTAAAATTATGTACAAGCATATATTTTATTCAAATATAGTTATGTAGTATTGGAAAATATGTTACATGTTTGTTATATGTTTAAACAATAGTTGTGTAGAATGTCCCATACAGCATCAGTACTACATGAGTAAGGGTCTTATCCAAATTAGGGTTTAGCAAACAGAACGGGTCTTTCGGGCACGGAACACGGGTTGCTAATCAGATGGAAATGAAGAGTTAATTTAACTATTGCCAGTATCACAATTTAATTGGCATTTCGTGCCTCGAATATACTATAATGTAAATTAAATAATTTACATGTTTTATACATAGACTAATTTTATATATTTTGCTATGACATTTAAAAATATCTACAAATAAAACCGTTAACATTTTTAGACAATTATCCTACGACGAATCTATGGAAAGGACAATCTTAAGATGTTTTACAAAAGAGAAAACGGCACAAAATATAAGCAATATGTTGTGAAATCGTGTTGCCACCATCGTGAGGTGCTTGAGTATGTAATAAAATCTATAATCTCCAGTCCGAGTTCTAAATATTTATAACACTAATGTTTTTTGTATGGGTATAATTATTGTAATAGTAATATAACAAATTAAACTTAGATTATATAACTTAGAATTAAGTAGTGTTTTCAAATTGTAATGGACATTGATTTAAGTGTGTAGAAGCGTTTTGTATCGTAAAACAGAAGCAATATGACCACAGCCGCCTTTATAATATTCAGATATATACGATGTTGAACGGCGCCGAGCACAGCGGATACGTTTCTCGGCATTACACGTGCGTGGCAGCACGGACATGTTCCACGAGATCTATCTTATTCCACAATAGCATTAAACGCACCCGCTGTGTTTCGGTTGTCTTTTTATAAGTATGTCGACACGGTACATTTTGTATACTGGAATAATGAATGAAATAAGATGTTTGGAATGTATAGCGTGCAAGGGACCCTGGCCGACAATGTTTGTATGCAATCGTTTTAATCAATTCCATCTGAATACATTTTGTAATATTCTCCATTGTAGTTGTCGCACCGCGTTTCTTGTGGTTTTGGCGATAGATAGATAGATACTATATGTATGTACTGTACGCGTTGTTATCACATGGAGTGGTTTTTTCACAAATAAGTAATCATGTTAATAACTATAGATCAGCACTATTGCAAGCACATAGGTACAACTGTTATTAGGCTTTACCATCGGCCAATAGTCTGGGTATCACAATATGTCTATTTTCAGTCCAACAAGTAGTTTTAAGTTATCTTTATCAATTCCCATATTTTTCGCTTGTCTGCCTGCGTCCACCGAGAGCGCATCCATAACTACGTGAGGCGTTTGATAAGTTTAGCCAAGTCTCATGCATGCATGTAGAAAGGTTTATTGTAGTAAAATACAATATTCCGCACATGGTTATGCAAATAGATCGTCAAGCTTGGTATTGCATTTCTGTATGCAAACGGTATTAGGCTTGTTGATAGACTGGCTGAACTGAAGTGAGTTCGAGAGGGAAGAGAGGGATTTCGAAACATTTAAATCGTCTAGTCGAATCTATGGACTCTTCATGACTGCGGGCTTGTTTATGTTAATCTGCTATTACCAAATTTCGTATCTTCCTCCACCAAAGTAAATACAAGAATCGAAGATGTATTTATCAATAACGTCACACAGCAACTTCGGCGTACTCACCTGAAAGTTACTGGTTTGGCAAGATGGCATACACGTAAACCTATCCCACAATAGTCCTATTGTCTTGCAATGAAAACCTTACCTGTATTACTAGGGGACCATGCCTGTATGTCTAACAACGAACACCTAAAATAAGTAGTTTGAGTAACAATGCTGGATTGGGAATTTTGTGTCCCAAGAAATGTTCCCGTTTCTACATTTATCAGCAAATGCAATCCTCAGCTTCTACATTTATCAGCAAATGCAGTCCTCAGCTTCCAGTATCAGGGGCTTTAGTATGAATTTGTTTTAAGTTTAAAGTAATCGTAACGATTACGCGTTCGGCACTGTGATTGGCTGGTGTCAATGAACCAACCAATCAAAGCGCCGAACGTGTACTCGTTTCGAATACTTTAAACGAAAAAGAAACTCGTACTAAGCCTGCAGAGCGCCGAACGTGTACTCGTTTCGAATACTTTAAACGAAAAAGAAACTCGTACTAAGCCTGCAGAGCGCCGAACGTGTACTCGTTTCGAATACTTTAAACGTAAATCGAACTCGTACTAAGGCCTCAGGTCCAGTTGTGAGCCAGTTATTGCTCGGAGAACACCAAACTCCCCATTTTGTCCATGTCAACGACCATTCAAGATACCTTACATCTCGGTCACAAACTTCCACTTAACACATGCATTTTAGTAAATATACTCTGCTGTGACACACTCCTTGTGGTGGAACGATATTGAGAGGAAGATGTGTGTAGTTGTTGCTTCAGTTAATAGAACTCCTGTACCAAACTACAACATGGCATGTTCGTTAGATCCAGCTTTATGACCCCCTCTTATGTACCTTTGTACAGATCCTTGGATTTATGCACACCAACCATTGCATTTTGGAATTAGTTATTGATAGAATGTAAGGGTTTTTAAAAATATGTCGTGATCAATTGTGTCTGAAACGTAAAAAGTAGTGGCGTGAAACAAAATGTTCTGTGTGGCCATAGAATGTTAATATAGTCTAGCTTGCTAATAATTTGAGATTTAGATGTGTATTAGA